TATATTGCGTCCCCCCTCCTGCCACCATTACACCTCCATCACGACCCCCCTTATACAGAGATTTCGCGGGCGCAATTGCCACCCCCCCCCCATTTTTCTTTTGCGGAGCTCGCAGATTTCAATAATCGATTCCAAATATTTCTAATCCCGATTGTATCCTAAATCATAAGTGATTAATGACCTTTCAATGGCCTCCCCATGGAAAAGTCCGGACGGGTACGTTAGAATTAGCGTAATAAAGTCCTACAGACTTAGCGACAGACTTAGCGTTTTGCCGATCAAACCCCTTTCGAAAGGCCTCACCGGCAACTCCACTTACGACATTTAGGTTCGAGAATTCTACCATCTACTCGGGATTTTCTAGCAAGAATCAAAAAGAAAAGTTTCTTTAGGCAGCAGACCGCATTGTGACTACAGATAGCCAAATCATCTCTCCTAATAGATAATCTCATATGAGCCCATCATGAATCATTTATTTTTCGTATCATGTCGAAATATTTCTATTGGATTCTTTGATTCAAATCTATCATAGCAAATATTGATTCAATGAATAATCTTGTCATCCATATTCTCAATGATATTGCGAATTGTTTCTTTTGCATGTGTGCATCGTTATATGTTCCAGCCGATGCGTAGCAGACACTTCTGATACAATCAACCAATTCCGTCGAATAATTATAAATGACAATACGTCATCAACCAATGTGTCCTCTCGGATTGGTCCGCCATTGTAGATTTTATATGGCCCCTTCATTTTTAAAGATTGAATCTCAACAACATGTGCTGTTGCGAACTGCCTGTCCAGCCACTCCTACGTGGAAGAGCAGGTAACGCACACCGAGGCAGCATTAGAGTTAATGTTGCACTTCATGTCGTTCTGGCAAACTTTCCTTGCGTCGTGGCACTTTTCTGCTACTTGCGTTGACCGCCCTGCTTATTCACGAACTTCTGCTTCATGTTCGATTCACTTCGGGTTGAATTTCCGGACTTTTCGAAAATGCATCATTCTTTGTGCCGACTTACACTGTCGCCTGGGTGCCACACGCATCTCGTGCCCAAACCATGCTCCTGCCACCATCCTGCAACGATTCGATTTCCTGGGCTTGGACGGTTCCGCTGCGTGCTTTCTTCGTCCGTTCCCATTCTGTCGGGAACTGCGCTTCTTCGCATAGTGCAAGAACTATGATCGCTTTGGGGCCACGCTCGTGCCATAGTCTCGCGCGCACGCTCCTCACAAAGGTATCGATAGAATGTGCTAATTCATCCTCCGGGGCACAAAGCTAGTCTTTATGACTATTTGCTTAAGAACCCCCAAAAATTTCAAACAATAACATTACCCTTGTTACCCTTATAAGGAAGATTATGTTTTCAATGTTTTGGGGTTCTTAAGAGATTAGTTTACCACTTGTTCCATCTCCATCTTTGAAGAAATGTCCAGCCACGCCCGCTCTGAGATGCGGTCATCGCTAAGACGTCTCGCATAAGTTTTGTACCTTAGTGCATTGGCACAATGAACATCTCTTGGGTGCAAGGCTTAAATTTTCATGAAGGCCTTGCGCCCTTGAACTGGCCGGCAAAATAACTGCAGTTGAAAGATGCGGAACGTCCAGGTCTGGGTCATGTTGCAGCTGACGTTCTACAAGCGCACCCTGCCCATCTGTGAAGAATATTGGCGTGAGGCCATACCTTCCGCACGTGAGCTTGCACACATACGCGCACTCACATGTGTGCTTTCAACAAGAACATGGCCCCAGCTTGAAAGCCATCTTAGCAGCCTGACATGCACTGTAAAAAGGTGCGAGCTGCTTAGTGAGCAGCTGGACGCAGCCACGGGAGCACGGCTCGGCCCAGCCTAACCCAGGTCCTGCAGGTGACATGGATGCCGTGAGTTGTGTTGCTGCTGACATATTGCAACTCCTGCCTAAATTCGCACTTCCAATTTCCGGCGCTGGAAGACATGCTCCAACTCTGTACTCTTATGACAGCTTCTTGCCCGCGTCAGCTCTGATGGCTGGCTCAGCACTTGCACTGCGCTCACGAGCCTCCTTGCGAGCACGTCTCCTCATGATCCAAAACAAGAGGTTCGGACAGCAGGTGCGCAGGAGGCGTGCCACGCGAGCATCGAAGGCTGCAGGAACAAGCTCGCGCTTCTTGCGGGCCACGGCTGCAAGGACTTTTGGAGCCAGAATTTCAGGACGAACACCCTTACTGGTGTGGCCCTCTGGATATTTCACACCTTCGCCTCGCAAGGCATTCTGACTGTGGCAGGTCGCAATATACCCTGGGCACACGGTCGTCACAGAAATTCCGCTATCTTCAACTTCAGCACGTAGCGAATCATAGAAGCCAACTGCTGCATGCTTCGCCGCTGCATATGCAGTTCGGCCAGGGAGCCCGAAGAAGCCTTGTACGGAAGACACCTGCACCACATGTCCGGCATGTCTCTGCAGCCAATCTGGTAGAAGGGCTTTGACAAGAGCAACCCCTCCAAAGAAATCTATGTTCATGACCCTCCGATCGACTTCGATGGACGTTTCTTGCCCCAGACCGCGGAAACCCACCCCGCCGTTGTTAATAAGAACATCAACTCTTCCAAACAAAGTCTTTGCCATGTCAGCGACGTCAGGCAAAGCAGAAGTATCTTCTAAGTCCAAGGGCACAAGTTCCACCTTGACGCTTGGTAGAAGCTCCAAACATTTGGATTTAACTCGCTGCAGCTCCTCTTTGCGCCGAGCACTGATGAGCAAGGCTTCTGGCCGTGCTATCTGGCACAGTGCAACGCACAAGGCTTCTCCGAAGCCGCCGGAGGCACCTGTCACCCAGATCACTTTGTCACGGAAGTACGCCTGTATCTTTGCATCATCATTCTTGGCAAACACTGCACCCATACCTCTGCGTTGTGTCTTCTTTGCTCTCGTCTGACTGGAGAGCTTTCGTGATGAGCACTGGCCCGCAATGAACGCAGCACAGAGGGAGCCGCAAGACTGCAAGTGCGAAGGGGCGGGCCTGCGATGCGCGAATGCAAGTACACTTCCAGGGTGCTTCAAGCCGCACCAGCCAGCTGGGGATGGTACACGGGCCATGAAACTGCTCATGTGCATTTTTCTCTGGGCCCGAATGCAGAGGCATCACGGTAGGCACAGTCTCCCTCGTGTTGATTACGACCCCGACGGAAGCATTGTCATGTGTGCCTAAAGCTGGTGCCATGCCGATGGTGTCCTACGTCTGCCACCTCCACGATCAACATCTGCTTCTGCTTAGCATCTGCCAGTCGACGTAGCTGCAGAAGGCAGTGCACCTGTGCACACTGTCCATCGATGCTATCCCTCATGGCAACATGAAAAAGCAGCAAAACGTCGCACAGGCTCACAGTGCCTCCGCATGACGTTGGGTCACTCTTGCTTTTGCTCCAGCCAGTGCTGCGGCTCTCCTCGGTGGAAGAGTTTCCAGCTCAAAGCGCTGCTGGAGCAAGCTTCAGCCTTCAGCTAGCTTGTGACAAGGCTCTCCGCTGGCAAGGGTGCGGCTATGTGGTTGAACCCTTCCGCCACTACTTTGTAGCCGTTGTCGCCCCCCTCGAATAATACCGCTCCGTGCCGCCTACCTCAGCAGCGACGAACTCCCGAAAGCTTGCCTTCACCTGCGCTCACTGGACCATTTGCGATATAAGTTGCGGAGGATGCCAGTAGAGGCACCTCTGAAGGCCAGCTGGGCTGCCTTTTGGACCAGGTCAGCCAAGTCGGAAGAGTCGCCTGCATCTGACACTGGTGGGCTTGGCTGATGGCTTCCCAAGTACGAGAGTTAGCCTGGAGGCTTCGCACTCTTCGCACGACTCCACAGGTTCATGGTCAGGAGATCTTCGAGGAACCCAGGCTGGTATGCAAGCCGAAAGTCAATCCTTTCTCGCAGATGCTCAAAGCGAGATCTCGCTCGTTCTGGTTCGCCCAGCTCCATACAGATTGCACCATAAAGCCCGGTGCCTCACATCACGTGCTGGCAACTGAACACATCAGTCTTGTGTACCCCATACTTGCAACAAGTTCCCGGAATGTTTGGGAGTGCGAGCCTTCGACATCTTCGTAGCATCCGCGCCGGTCCCAGCAGTCCAGCGCCAAGCGAAGTCGGAAGGCATCAGCATCATGAGCCCAGCGGCACTCCAGCCATTGCGGAAGATTACGGTTGACAAGTTCAGCCATGAGCTGCTCGTTTCTCTTCAAGAGCTCTGGCCGCTTCTCAGCTGGGAGGCTGTGTGCCCAACACGAGCCAGCACTGAGAGCTTCGGCCTAGATACAGAAACAACAAAAAGCAGGGGCGACATAGTTGCTCATGACACATGTCCCTTGCCTCCACTTGATCAATGTCAGGGCACTGCATCATCAATGCGCTCTCGAGCAATCTTTGGGAGATTCCCTTGAAGGCCGTGGGCTCCATGATCAAACCTCGCTTCCGCATGAGCCGGCTCAGAAGCCTCAAGGCGTCATTCGCCAGCAGCTCATTGGATCTGGCAAGAGCCGCTTTCATCAGGCCCTTCAGTTTCATCAGGAGCTCAGGCTCAGAGCAGTCCTAAATCTCGCCATGCTGATCTTCGGCGCTATTTTACAGAGAATTAGTGTGGCACTGTGGCATAGCAAGCGCGACGCCTGCAAAAAGTTAACAGAACATGAAAACAAATGAAGACAGCTACGTCTCTTTCTGCTGGGGTAAGAGCCCCAGTCGCGGGCCCATTCCAATGTCTTGAACGAGCTGCCGCAAGGACTCCGTGGTGACGCGTGGGTGGCCACTCCTCTTCCGAGCCGAGCGACTGCAAGGCCAGCCCTCCACCTCCCAGGCTTCCCGACCCAGATCTGTCCGTCTCCAGCTTGCCCGAAGGAGGGTTAGGGCGGTCAGGGCCAGGAAGCTGTCGGAATGCCATGTTCCACGTCTTGGACGTGTTGCACCGCGCCAAGGCGACTCGCCCTGCCGACTTTGCGAGCGGAGACCTGCCAAGCCTGCCAGTCTAGCCTCTCCCGAAAGGTCGTAGCTTAGCCCTGCTCCTGCCCATCGCAGCTGCAGACCGCTGTGCAGCATCACTACCTTCCATTGTCGCCAGTGGATAGAGTGTTAAATTTTCTGTCAACTGATCTCAAGCATGTACCTTGCAACCTCATCCTGACGAGCTGTGCACCTTTAGCCGCTCTGCCATGTCTAACATATGGGACCGGATATGACTGAAACTCCATCAAATCTACTATGATTCCTAGTCGTCTGCTGCTTAAGCCTTTGGCTCCGACACAAAAGCCAAAGGCACGTGCGTGTCCATGATTGTTCATGGCCTGGCTGCAAGCTCTTTCAATCCGAGGATTCCTGATGCTTCATGCGCTCACGAGGTGGTCATTTGCAACGCCCTTTCCGGAGCGGCCATGCGGCGCGTGAGCAATCGGTGCTGCATCTGAACCCTGAGTGCCTGGGGCAAGGCACACCTCTCGCACCAGGCCCTACACGGAAGCATGAAGCCGTGCGAGGCACGGCACATGCCACGGAGCTCTGGCTTTTTTCTAAGGCTTCAAGGCCCTGGAACCGGAGGCTGTTGAAGGCACCTGGCTCTCAAGGGACTTCACGCGTCTTCATGCACATCGGCTGCCGGTCACACTCTGCAATGCTCTGCCCCTGGGCACCTAGAAAGAGCCGCAGCAAGGTGGCTGGGAGAAGGCGCACAGCATGTTGCAGCAGCAAAGCTCCGCAACGGAGCCAGCGAGCTGCAAGGTTTGGTGGCGGTGCCAGACCCGCATCCCTGGCAGCGGCACCTCGCATGAGTCATGCCGGGCTTCCTCTGCGCTTCGCATGCCCCTATGAACACCCACATGCTGTCAATTGAGGTCCCAAACATCTTGAGAAGCGGGAGCAGCCTGAATGGAAGGATAGCCAGGCCGTGAACAACACCTCGCACAAGTGCAGGGATGCACTTGTGCACATGCAAACCAAGCACATGCAACAGGGAAAAACTCATCGGATCCCAGCAAACTGAGCATAAAAATATATATGTCACGCACCCTTCAATTGAAGACATACTTCCTCCTGTGCTGATTTATCTAGCCCGAGCCCTCAATTTGACATTCGAACTGCTCAGCCACAACTTCAAGCGTCAAAGCTACAGCTGGCTCAGTCGGGCAAGGTCAGATTTCAGTTCAGGAGCTGGGGAGTGGCCAGAACAACTCCTTCATGTCAACACACGGCGCATATTCGCAGACAAGCAACTAGTTCAGCGCCGTATCCTGACTCCCAACGCAAAGAGCCGCAGTCTGAGATGTCTACATGCGAACATATGCGAACCAAGGCTAGTAGGAACCCTGGAGTTTCTCAAGACTTCTCTTGGCCAGGACGCCGATTTCAGTCGCCAAGTAGAACTCCCACTCCCGCGCCAGCTCCAAAGCCAAAGCACCAGGAAGCGGCCGCAAAAGCCGCGCAGGCACGGGGCGCTGTTCCAAAACGCCACCCTTAAACCAAATACTCAGCGACACGTTCTCCTCAGCAAGCGACTCTACATGATGCCACCACATCTGGGGCAGGAAAAGGCAGTCCCCTGGCTCCAAGATTGCTTCCACGCCTTGCCCCTGGGCCAGGGCTGTGCACGGATAATGGGCAGAGAAAGGGCCTTCCTGGCGTGTGCCTTGGTTTAGCCGCGCTCGTGCACAGCGATCCCTGGGATGTGAAATGGGAAAGGGCGCAAATGCTGCTGCCCCAACCATCGGTGGAAACAGTATGAAGCGCTTCATACCTTCCAGCTGCAAGAAGATGTTCTGGCTCTGGTCATAGTGGCAGGCTGTGACTGCCCCAGCACCGCTGCAGAAGAGCTGTACCTTTTTCACTGAGCCAAGTTCCCCAATCTGACGCAATGGCTCGATTCCTTCCCACTTGAATGCCCCCAGATCTTGCCACAGCAGCTCTGCCAGCGAGCTGCGCAGCAGCTCATCCTGGCCAGACTTTGTGGCCAGCAAAACAGCCCAGAGATAGTAGGGACTTCTCTCAGACGACCGCAATCGCGACACAAAGTCAGAAAACTTCATGGTTTCAAGCTGACCTTGCGCGGAAGAGTCCGCAAAGCAACAGTTCTTGCTGTCGTCTGCGTAGTCAAAGATTGAGGATCCGGGCTTAGCCACGCGAACGCCATCAACCATTACATGTCCACACATCCTCTCCAGATTGGCCAGGGTCCAGGACACATCCAGCAAGTGCCGCGCAAACCCTTTCAAGACAACAGGTCGCTGAGAAGCCGGATTGAAAAACTGGCGCAGCTGCTTTATGTTGTGCTGTGGACCATTCCCGCAATCCACAACAGCACATCTCGATCCCAGAAATGCGCTCGAGAAGTCAGATTGCGGTGTGGGGCTGCCGTTGTCTATTGGCTGTTCGTTCGGAAAAGCCAACATCTGCACAGAGCGAGGCGGTGATTTCGGGGGCTCCACGTGTAGAAGTGATGCGGTCGGGACTGCATCCTTGGCAGCACCAGGAGGTTCGCTAGTCTCGTGTCGGTACCCCAAACCGAATACCTATCCAAAGCCCTCTCCCTCTCTCTCGCATACTCACACTCGGGTCCCTCAAGTTCCAAGGACCTCACCAGGACCTTGACCTTTTTTCAACCACTGTCACACACACACAGACACAAGATAAAGATATTATATCCTGCATGCATAAGGACTGAGCTGCTATCACGTTGTTAACATTCGCACATGAAGTTTGTGCCAGAAGCCCATATCAGCTAGCAGTGCTCCCCTCGGCGAGCTGGAACCGGGTCATGGGTCGCACCTCCTCGTCACTCATGCAAGGCAACCGGATTGCAGGACGGCGTTCGCCCTTTTGCTTCTGAAGCCCGCGAGGCATACGCTGGGCAAGTGGCCGCTGGCACCACACCCCTGTTTTACTTATGTATGTATATATAGATATATGTTTACAAACTTGAACCACTACCTAAAGCATGCGGCTATATCTATATATGTGTGTAGAAAGGTACACGCGGCACGCCCAAAGTGTGGATCAAACCAGTTTCAAGCCAAGGCTCAAATGCACCTTGCACACCGATTGGGCTCCCAAATCGCCACTCCTGGTCGATGTCCCTCCACGCATTGGGACTTGGCCTCAGAACTACACGGAACATGGGATCTCTGTATCTGACGATCTCTCTGTATCTGAAAGGTCCCCAGAGTCAAGCGCTGCAAGAGGTCTCTGCCCGTGCCCTGGGGATGGCCGCCGATTTTGATTTCAGAAGAGAATTCTTCAGTAACATCCTTTCTTGTGATGGACGTGTTGCTACCGAACCTCTGATGAATTCATTCGTACTCGTTGCCAGTGTGCCGGTTTACTATGAGAACCTGTGAGACCTTCTATGATGTGATGGTGTGAACTCCAAGTGCATCGTCAGAACAACCCCATCGAATAACCAGTCTTGCTCACTCCAGTGTCACCAAGCTCAGTCGAGTCTCTTATGTACTGCCTGTCGCAATCGATCAAGCGCGCCTCAGTCTCAACCGGGCAGCCATTAGAACTGTGGATGCCATGCAGACGGCGCCGAATTGACAACCGGTTCCGAGCCGGTTGCCCAACCGGCTTGTCTCCTTGTGATCTTTTCCTCTCTAGCCTGGTGTCTGCTTTGCAGTGTGTCTCCGTGTTTCTGACCTTTTCCTTTGTAGTCTAGGGAGGGAGGGAGGAGGGGAGGAATGATCGCAGCACAGCACTGCGCAGCCCTGTGCGTTTTCTGTGTTTTTTCCATGCTTTTTTTGTGGAACATGCCGAAGGTCACAACGCTCATGCAAGCGGACGCAAGCCAAGTTGTTCACTTCGTGACCAAACTACCAGAGATCTGACACTTCGGGCGCTGCCTTCCAGGGACTCCAAGGGTGCTTGCCCTTGCAGTCCATTGGCCATTCTGCGGGCTTGCGGCCCCTAGTATGTCTACTACTTCATAAGGTCTTGACCTAGTCCAGTATGCAAATTTATTGGGTTGAAATATTGGCCCAAATGCTGTATCAAGCCTACTTTCAAACATCGCAGTTGCTGAATGATCCAACGCGGTGGTGCCTGCAATGTGTTCTGAGCTGATAGCCTCATCGAATTGCCTTGCCCACCGAAACTGCTATGCATGGACATGCGCAGCTGTCACTCGGAGTGCAAGCAGAGTCTGCCACGAATATCCCTTTTTTTGCTGCAGTGACCCACCGTTTGATCACCACAGACATGGTGCGCCGAGTCCACGAGCGTTGCTATGAACAGGGATGCTTGCCAAACAGCCAAGCTTTAAACGCCCATGCCTCTCATGCTTCCATGGAAAAACAGGGTTGAAAACTGGATACTCCAAGGAAGCAGTCGGTGCCCAGCATCACGTGCTTCTTGGCATGAGCAGTGCGGGTTCGTGGCCTGGCAAACGCTGCTATGGTGCATGGCAGCTAGAGGGAGAGAGAAGGAGAGAAGGAGAGAGAGGGAGAGGGAGGGAGAGAGAGGGAGAGAGAGGGAGAGGGAGCGAGAGAGAGCGAGAGGGAGAGCGAGAGAGAGCGAGAGAGGGAGCGAGAGAGAGGGAGAGACAACTGCGCAGGTATGCCTTGACATGTCTTTATCAGCCGCTTGAAGCGCACTTCTCACCGGCTCTCTGCCAGGAACGGGAACAGCTGCGATGCAATGCGAAACTTCCAAAACCTGCAGGTGATCTTGTTTGATCTTGGGATGCCACATGTTGATCGTCTGCATTGAGCCACGGACCCGGGTGGAAGAAGGCCGGCAATTTCCAGCCTCCGTCCGACCTTGCTTACCCAGCCTTTCACTGTGCCTCATGAGGCGAGAAGGGGCGAGCTGCAATCCGAGGCAGCCGCAGCAAGTAATCGGATCACGCTTGGATAAAAAATTTGCGCGGAGATTCCTTCCCGTCAAGCGCGCTCACAGTCAGCAGTGTTACAGAGTTGCCCAGTGCTGGTGAGCCTGATGCTGCTGTTCGGATTCCCACGTGTCGGTCTTCGCAGAGCATCGGCAAGCCCTGTTCAGGTGAAATCAATGGTTGCTTTTCGGCTGCAGGCTCAAGACTTGCTGACAGCCCGACAGGTCTCCAGAGCATGCAATGTTGGTGTGCCTTGTCGAGGAACTTTTGACTGTCCTTAGCTCGCTTCTTGGGATGAAACAGCAGCAAGTTGAAACGCAGTAAGGCACGAACCGCGTCATCCGGAGATGGCCACAAACGCAACTTTGCTAGTGACCATAAGGCCTGGCAGAACCACCACATGCATGCCAGAAACAAGATGCTGAACAAAAGTACGTTCAAGTACTCTGCAGATCTGGCAGGAAGGCCTGCAACACCAACCGGCGGCCTTCGTAGTCTGTTTCAACCTCCAAGCAGAGCAGCAACGGCAACATTCTGTGTCGGACGACTAGGGGCCATGGGGATACGTTGCACAAGTCGATTTCTTACTGCTTGCCTGCTTGGTGCAATTCATTTGCTTCAGTCTGGTTCTTTACTACATCATCGTCTCCACAAGCTTCAAAATACCTTTATTCAACATGCTCTTGGCACTTATCAATCCACCCCAAATCGTGTCCTTTGTGCCATGTTTGGTATCCTGCCAATCAGTCTCCATGCAATGACAGCCCTTGAAATCAGGTTCCAAGGCCATTGCTCGGGGAGGCGGTGCTCGAGGATTAACGGCTTTGAGCAGTAGCGGAATCGCCTCGAAAACTAGATGTTTTCGCAGGCATGGAACATACTGATGGTACCGATGTTGTAGCTGCATGAGCACATGACTCAAATCAAACACTGCAGATAGCGATGTGGTCGCCATGTCTGCTTGGAAAACCGACCACGGCAACCACAGACACCACCAGCAATTACCCGCACACCGGTGCGTCGCTACGTGCCGTAGAGTATGCCTGGCTCAGAGCTCCATACGTCAAATCGTTAGGGTTCTGGCTTCGGGGTCAGAGCTTACTCACTTCACACGTGAAGGACTTGTACTCCCAGTGAATGGAGTCTCCCTTCACGAGATCAAAGCCGGCCCAGACCGGCCCAGGAACTAGGGGTCTCTCAAGAGCTCCAAAGGTTGCCTTTCTGTTGATATATCGGCATACACGACTGGCAGGCGCTTGCGACATCGACAACGATGCACGAACCAAGGGAACATTGGATCACAGATGTCCGCAGGAAACCTTGCATGAGGATGTCGAGAACAGATACGAAACAAGGACGGCGCGCTGCTGTACAGCACCGACAGCAACGCAACAACAAACACAAAACCCAGCAGCAGCAGCAGCAGCACCACCACCACCACCACCAGCAGCTCCAGCAGCTCCAGCAGCACCGGCAGCACTAGCAGCACCCGCAGCACGAGCACCAGCGGCAGCACCAGCGGCAGCACCAGCGGCAGTACCAGCAGCAGCAACAAACAACAACAATAAGAACTAAGTGACATAAAGTTTGACAACAATAGGACGGCGTGGACAACAAGAACATCATCCATAACCACGACAGCGGCCATCATAGAAAAGTGGAAGCAACAAAACGTCTATGGCTCGCAACCAGGTGACTCGAGCATCTTGCACTAACCTCTCCGCATAAAGGCGGCACCTCGCAAAGAGGGTGCAAGTGCGGGCGAGTTTCGGGCAAATTTCTTGAAGAGACGGTTGATCAATTCAAGGCCGTAGGAGAACTCTGCTCGAGATCTATAAGGTTCATTGAGATTTCAATTGGCAGCTCCAGCTCGAGTTGCGACTTGGGCACCTGGATAGAACTTGAAAGAGCTTGGCACTGTACAGGAGGTGTGGAAACATGCCACCTCAGACGAGACAAATTCCGATTCGGCATGAGGCTTGCAATCTGTCAAATCAGGGCCCGTGCGGAACTCTGTCCCCTTCAAGGTGTGTTCCTGACCACATCAACAACATTGCAAGGGCAAACTTAAGTGAAACATTCTTGGTACATGGTGATGGAAAGCGCTCAGCCAGGAACCATAATCGGAATGCAGTAGCTGCTCACCACATCCCTTTCCATCAGAATGTCAACCTGCACGACCGCACCCACGAGACGAAACAACACGGGGGGAAACATGAGAACGCCTGCCGACACTGAACCTCGCCGTGCAGGAATATGATCACAGACCTCACCAGTTCAGCTCATGCAACATTGCACTGCTCAACCCTTTTGCTTCTCAGTTGTGGCCGACTCAGGCCAGGGCTCTGCTACACTCTTCCCATGGTTGCTGACATTGTTGTCTGACACCAGCTGTAAGAGAACGTTTGCCTCGGAAATTTCGCATAGACTGAAAGGCTGCTCCAAGATCCTTTCTCAGCTTCTTCTAACTCATCTTTAAATCTCAGCAGCCACGTGGAGTTCTCGCAGCTCGCTCAGCACAGTCATGGAAAGATTGGCCTTGGAACCACTACGAACTCAGAGGCCAAGCAGATGGCATCAAGACATCAACTGCCGGGAAGTGGCGAGCAACAGAATTGTGTTTCCGCGAAGCTTGTCGCCCACCTGGTAGGGGTCTCTCTTAAAATCGGGTGACTTTTGGGGGCATCAACACGATCCCAGCTGAATAACCCTTTCGGCGCCTGGGGACTCTGCAGGATCTTCAAGCACACGGGTTGAACCTCGGAACATGGCCACCCGCGTCACGCGGCGGCAGGCGCCAGTGAGAATCCCCCGCAATCTTTGGTCCTTGGAACACCAAGAGTAGAGGCATTCGGAGCTCAGCTCGCCACTAATCGCACCAGCTTCATGTGTCCAGCTGGACCTTTTGTAGCAGGCTGCTCGACGCCAGAACGATGGTGCGAGGTGCACAGCCACTGGATACTTGGTGTGATGCACGTCGCGGCAATGTTCACACACAGGAGAATGGCGGCCTTTGTGCGACTGAGAATCGCTGAGATCCCTTTCCAGGAACTGCAAAATGCGGAACTTGCCTGCAGGAGCCAATCGTCATGCAGCATGAGAGCCTGCCAGGAACGTGCGCTGATTGCCGCTTCAAGAGGCCAGTGATTCAACAGCCCCCGAGGGCAAGCCACCGCAAAAGCACCGGGAGGGGGTGGGCTGCTGGCTCTCGGTGGCTGCCGCGATGCAGTTGTGATCAAATCAACTCCTCCCTAAATAAATAAACCTGCAACGGTCGCTTCAAGATTGAGTTCCTTGGATGGGTCTCGCCTGGTCTGGTAAGTGAGACAAGCTAAGGGTATCTTAGGGTTCGATTCCATCTTCAATTCAAGATGGGGTTATCTGGAGCCATCTAATCAGGGGATTTTGTCTCGACGCGTGCTTGAACTCGTTTCTTCAGTTGAAATCTTCATTCTCCTGCGCTGGAAGTTTCTGTCCGGGCCGCTCGACCCGCAAACTACTATTTTGTGCCCAATTTATTTCTTATTTGGATTGAACTTTTTGATTTGGAGTTAGAAAGGGGAGGTGTCCTCCTTATGCCAGCGCTGCCGGATCGAATTCCACATCAGGCGCGCAACTATGCAATTGTATGTGTTTGCCCTTCTTGCTGCTGCGGCATGCTCCTCTCTGCCCGGGCTACTTGTGGTTGGTCCTTTTGGACAGGCAGGCAAGGTAGCTTCGAAGCAGGGTATCGAGTCCACAAGCAAGCTAGCTCGTCTCCCGTGGCTGGCGGCTAGCGACGCACCATCGATACGGTACTCAGGCTGAATGCGCATCACTCCCATACAAGTATCAGCGTTCACGAACAAACACAACCTGTGGTCCTTGCCAGCGAGTCCGGGCGCCGGGCTCGGTCCGAGGAAGACGAGAAGAGGTGCTGAAAGCGATCTGCAATCCGATCGAACACCTGATGCTGGGCCACGGACGTCGGCAAGACAAGCTCTTTGATCCAAGGAGGGGCACTGGTGTCGCCATCACCATGAGCCGTTTAGACTCAATTCACCCAATACATCGATGCCACAAAAAGCCCGGCTCTGCACAACAACAACTCTGATAAGAGTAACGACACTAGTCACAAATGACAATCAGAATAAAACTCGTTCTACCATGCGCAGTAACAATCAAACACGTTTCTGTAGTACTCCATCCATTGGCAGCCAACAGCAGGTTCAACGCCCCCTCAAAACAAAATTGGAGTGGTGGTCCACATCCACGTCAGAGCAGCCCGTACAGGGATTTGCAGGGATTTCATCATGACCATGCCGCCAGATGCCGCCACCAGTGCATCTACTTCCTCTTCAGCCCTACTCCACCCCTTACACGCCGCAGCGTAAACGCCATCACAATACAAGCTCAGAACTCCATAGGCTGTGCCATAGAATGCGAGAGCGCCAAGAAAGCAAGATGTACATGACCGAGGGAGATCGGCCTTGAGAACCTCCTTCGACCCCATGTCGGAATTGAAAGCCTAGGCCGGGAACATGCCCAGCCAAAAGATGCATCTTCAATCTTTGCGGGGGCCGGGCGAAGTCTCCAAGGAAGTTCGTGGCAGCTGCCGCAACTGTGGGAGATGCACTCCTGCATGCACTTGATGCCCCTCACCGGTGGACGGAACTCAACCACGACGGGTTCTGTTCAGGTGCCACGCTGAGCAGCTTGCTCGATAAGCCGTACAGCCTCAGGGACCTCAGCACAAGGGCACTCTGAGCAGCTCTGCTTGGCTGCACCTGCTCCTCTGTCAACCGAAGCCACAGTGCGTCTGGGGCATGTCTGAGCAGCACGCCACGCCTCGGTGAAGAGCTTGGCGCACGAACATCTCGCGAGCCTGCCCGCAAAGTGGAAGACCAGAAACTCAAGCAACAGCCGCAAAAAGACGCAAAAAAAACCGCAAATTTAGCCGCAGTCGGACGGAGGAAAGATCCAAAGATTCCAATGATTCCCACGCCTGGGGAGTCAGCTCCTGCGGCCGGAGGGCGAAGCTAAGCTCCTCGAGATACCGCCTCGGGGCCATCATGCGCCATTTTACGCCACCTTGAACCTTGAGTTGACATGCTTTACGCAAGAGGAGCTCACTTCTTCTGCTGAGGATTGACTTGTGGAGCACAAACCTTGGCTATGGCCATGGCATGACACAAGTCTTGATACAGACAACACAGAGCACAAAACACCACGCTGTGATGCTTCGCACAGCTCCAGGACACAAGCCATGTCCACCCATGGCAGGAGGTGCCTCCCAACAACGACTTGGATGCAAATCCATTCGCCGTGCCATGCCGGAAGTATCGATGAAGAGCACCTGATGTCTCGGGTGTCCTCCTGGTAGGTTCCCAGATTCCTGAGTGTCGGTGCGCAAGGGCCTATGCCATCATTGCATCATGGTGTCCTTCAGTCGGCGCTCCCTGGGGTGGCGGCGCGTGGCTGTGGTTGATGTTCATGAAGCCTTGCACAACCTCTTGTAGTGAAAGGCCTTGCGAAAAACAGAGTGCGCGGCACAACGTGCCAGTACCCGTTTTGGTCTGAAGAAAACGCTTCTGGGCCTTCATCCGAGTCATCATCAGCCATAGGGTCCTGTCCGGTAGGTTCTTTTGCCCGAAGCAGATACAGCAGGTGCCAAAGGAATCCACGCCTCCAGGCCGATGGCATCCCGAAAAAAGTCTTCCTGATTTCTTAATTGGTTTCCGCGGCACATAAAAATCTGTCGTTTCATGTGCAGATGTGCGTAAATACGCAGGCCTCCCCGCCCTCGCTCTCCGATTCGGAGGTCTGTGCGGGTGCCGGGGGCGCTGCCGTGATGGTAACGGCCTTAATTCTTCATGAGACACAGTCGCACATCAAGGTGCAACATGCTTGCAGGCCCTTTTTTTCACAGGTTGCCCTGCCGACTCTTGTCATGACATCTCGAGGTCAAGCGAAATCAGAAAAGACAGACTCCAGCGGCTTGCCGGCACGCAGGCTCCACTCCACCAAGTCTCCGAACAAGGCCAGCAGCTTTCCCCAGTCCTCGCGCGCAGCGAGTTTCAGCACCACGTTGGCGGTGGAAAGGGTTGACACAGAGGCCCAGCTAAGAAGCTTGCCCAGGAGCAGCCGCTCAATCTCATCTCTTGAAGCCATCGAAGCCATCGACATCGAAGTCATGGATCCAGCAAGTGCTGGCACACCCAAGCAGTCCTGATACTCTGCCGCGGTTCTTATGACCATGGCACATGTGTACTGCCGGCGTTGCTTGGACTTCCATGTGGCGTTCGCTTCAGAATCTGTCTTCAGTGCAGTGTAGTGCTGGAGCTCATTCGGGTAGCTCGCGGCATACCACCTTGCGTACTGCTTCCAGCTCTCTAGCCCTGTGCTGAATTCGTCTGTGAGGTTCATGACTGCGTCCATGCTAAGTCCACTGCCCTGAAACTCAGGGTAGGTCTGCAGCAAGTCATACCCAAATCCCCACTGCAAGGGCTTACCATCCGCGGTTATCTCGGAATAGACCATCTTGAAGTTCACAAGCTTGCCTGAGGTGCGGTTGTACTGTACAATTTTGAATGAAGGGTTGTTGTAGTAGACGGGGCTGATTGAAGCTGACAAGATGATGGGCCCAGCACCAGGCGGAGGGTTTGGCAGAACTCGAAACTCATCTTTGTGGAGGTGTCCAAACAGTTGAGCAGCAATGGCCGGTCCCAGCACGGGATCCTGAACGATCTCAAGGTACTTGGCCACGTACACAGGCCGCCATAACTCAGTGAAGCCAAAGGTCTCAATGCCCGGTGGGATGTGCCCCACAATCCAGACACGTCGTTGTTGCTGAACAGCCTCGCCCAGCCTCTCTTTGAGCCAAGCGAACTGACTGAAGGGATCGTCCTCCAAGGGACCGGCAGGAACATGGAAAACAGAATATATCACAGTGGAGATGCTGAGGATTGTCAGACCACCTACCGCTAGTTCGAAGTAGCCGCCGTACTTGTAAGCTTCCAGCGTCTTATTCGTCATGCATCCAGCTTGATTGATGGCATTGCCAAGAGTCCAAAACCACGGGTTGACAGGCCTGTCTGTAGTTATCTCTTGGCAGTAGTCGCAGTGACTGTCAGAGTTTCCCAAAGCTCCAAACACTGCCGGAATATCTGCAAAGTAGTTTCTCGTCAGCACGGACACATTCTTCACGATGTCCGATGCATTGGCCCCCGAGTTTTGCATCCGCAGCAAGTGGTGTCTAACAAAGTCTCCAGTGAACAGGACGAAGCTTGAATTTCCTCCTGACTTAAGCCAGGCAGCCGCGCCTTCAAGAACGGAGTAAAGTAGATGAGGAGGAGGGTCACAGCCTATCATGCCAAAAGGAAAGTGCGTAAGTCGCGACAATGGCATCTTGAAGCACTGGCGGTCAGGGCTCAGGTAGTACGGGTCGACGTGGGCATCGGTTAGCCACAAGAATGATTCGACGTCTGAGCTACGGGATCGCAGCGCCAAGTCCAGCTGCAGAAGCTGCAGGTATGCATCCGCATCTTCCACGCTGCAGCTTTTACTCTCTGCACCTCCGGCTCCCGAACCAGTTCCAGACGAGGCCAGGGAAGCAAGGCAGGCAGTCCGCAGGAGCTGTGCAAAAGTGTACATGTTACATAGATCTTGAGCCCGTGGCGGCTTGAGGAGGCATCTAGAGATCAGATTGCCTGACATTGCATTGCGAATCATTGAGAGTTCTTTACTTCTGGCCACTTACTCGCTGCGACTCCTCGGAAGCCCCGTGAGGCTTCAGCAGACGGATTGGATGGATATCCCTCGGCCATGGCTACCTACACCTTGCTGGGAAATCGCTGGGACCCGTGCTTGTGCTTTTGAGGTGGCTATGGCGAATGCCGGCTTCTCAGGTTGGAGAGGGGGACATGCTCTCGGATGTCTCCTGGAGCTCTGTTGTCGAGTGCTCTCAGCGTGAAGTCTGGCTTAAAACTGTTGAACTTCGCCTCTGATCTGAGCTGGCAAAGCAGCATGTCCACATTTGCTGCGGCCGCATGCGGCATTGCGGTTCAAACCCACCTTGCTGTCCTACTTCCTGAATCATCAAGAGTGGTGCTGCAGGATTGTTGTGTGATGTTCTGGCCCGGCCCATACTTTTCCGGTTGGCAATCAAGTACACTCCAGCGATTCGCGTGCTGCAGCGGCAAGACGCTCGAAGCTTTCCTCACACGTGAGCCGGTGCCGATCCAGGAGATGTCTTAAGGTGCCATACTAGGCATCTCTAGCCTGTGCAACCCTAAACCCTAAACCTTACTTCCATAAACCCAAAACCCAAAACCCAAAACCCAAAACCCAAAACCCAAAACCCAAAACCCAAAACCCAAAACCCAAAACCCAAAACCCAAAACCCAAACCCAAAACCCAAAACCCAAAACCCAAAACCCTAACCCTAAACCCTAAACCCTAAAGTTGAACCCAGACTCCTGAAGTCAGCTGGGAACAAACTTTTCACAAACCCTCTGTCCAGGCAGGCCTAAACCCTACAAACCCCACGCAGCAGGCCAGGCATCGGCCCCCAAATCCTTTACGATGATCATCCTTTCATCGGCCGCGTTGACCGCGATGCGGCCCTTCTCATCGCTGAAGAAGCTCATCTTCTTCAGGTCGGAGCCCAGAACAATGCAATTCAGCCGCAGGTTGTGCCCATCCTTCTCTGGCAAGTGGATGTGGGCTGTGAGGTCCACAGTCGAGATCCACAGCGAGATCGTTACATTCCCTCTCACACCACAGCCGGCCTCAAAAGTCTCCCTCCATGGCCTCGACGGAAAGTCACACAGGTGGGCCAACTCAGCACAGCTCACTTCCATATTCAGCTCTATGGCATCACCATGGCCAAAGAAGTCCACACGATCCAAAGGACAGCTGGAGAAATCCAACCAGACCCCGTGACACTGATTCATGAACGACTTCCAGAGCTGCAGGTCGGGAGCTTCACGGCCAGCACCTTAAGGGACTGTGAAGGGTATATATAGCGGCGATATGAGGGAATTTCATTCAGGGTCCCTTCTAGGGATCCCTCCTTGTACCCCTTATCCACCTCTTTCACCTCCTTCATCTGTCAGAAGTACTGGAAGGAGAAGGAGCTTTCCCAAAGCCGCCGCTTCCAGAACTGAAGCACGAGCTGCGGAAGTCACTTCGAAGATTCCCGCCATGGACAGCTCAGCGTCAAACACTTTGTTCTGCAGCAGTAGCAGCCGAAAAATGGACCGCACTCTCGTGGAGACCAGCCTTTGGCAAAGCTGAAGCACAAACCCCAGGCCCTTTGTGAAGATCAAGCTTTCCCGTGTGCTATGTACCAGCCCTGATAACTGGCAACCCACATCACTGCTAGCACAATATGCCCTTCAGCATCTCATGAGTGGATTGCTGGCTGGGCCACTCACTGAGCGCCAGTTCCGCGCTACGCACCAGCGTCTCTGAGATGCACCGGCAAAAGCGCCGGACCTCATCGAAATGCCGAATTGAGTCGTGCACCTTCTCAACGTCGATGTCCGGCACGCCTCTTGTGTTGATGCACACAAGACGCCGTGTCATGGTTACGACACTGCGCGCGCCTGCAAGCAGCATCTTCCAGACCTTCAATCGTTGCCACGTCTGCTCCCTCGGATCGAGCATTGCGATTCGAAAGCCAGGTTCGCAGCCAAAAAAACCATCCCAAACCCCATACTGGACAACGTGCTTGAGTCGAGGATCCCATGGCCTAGGGCCTACAACATTTCGCTGCTGAGAATTCTGGTCCAAGCTTCTCAGCTGCGGGCAGACAGCAGCCTACCAAGAGATCGTCGCCCGCTCGGGCTTTGCGAACGGCCGTCCAGAGGCGCAGCACCGACTGCAAATCCAGGAAGCTCCTTGGAAATGCGACTCGCGCTCCCTCCCGCCCCCTTTTTCTGACTCTCGATTTGTTTGGTACGTATGCCTTAAGCTCTTCAGCGCTTTCAAACAAGAAGGTCAAGCTGCATCAACAATTTGCACTCAGACCTGCAAGGCCACATCAGGCCACATGCCACATCCAGCGAGGCAAAAGAGCAACACAATGGCTCTTAAGGGCCTAAAACCCTCCCGTGCTAGTAAGTCAGTGTCCGCCGGCTGAGCCCACTGGCTGCACGGAGGAAACCCCGACCTCAAGAATCCTCAAGGATGCTCCTGATGTCTGAGCCAATCATGAACTGGGTGGCAATCCCAATGCTATAGCTGCTATGGACTGTCGGCAATCCCTTTTTAAGAGCACGAAGGATGCGCTTCGGCATCGCTGACGTCTAGAACTTCTCAGGCGCCGAGGTCCAAGTCGTCGTCTTCTGGAGGCAACACTACCTCGGAAACGGCCCCTCCATGCTGTGCCTCTTTATGAGGCAGCTTCTTAGCCTTTTCTCTTCGCAGGTTTTAGGCTGGGCTGCATTCTCTTGCTGTGATCGGCAGGGGTGCAATTGCGCTCGGACGCCGTTCAGGTCATCACTTGGCCATGCTTGATCAGATTAGCACGCTAAGCTTGCCGGCGAGACAGCCACACAGAGAAGGTTCGAATGCTTGGCTTATGAGCCCGTTTAGAAGGGACAGGCTAGGTGCCTGTGTTGCATTGCTCAGGCGGTCGTAGAAACAAATAGCTACCAACAGCAGCACCAAGGCATGAACAATGCTCTTCGTGAACTTCTCTCAGGCCAGGCGCGCGTGCAAGCTCTTAGTTCTCAAGTTCAGCTTGACATCCGCGCAAGTTGCTGCGACCACAACCACGACCACAACTACAACCACAACAAGGACCAGAACCACAACACAGCCGCAACCACCAACAATGGCAGAACCAAAAGCCAACAAGTAAGGCACCGACGGCACTAAGACCAACCCACAAATACAGCACGCGCGCACACACACACACACACCACCCCTCGCCTCACGCCAGTTTCACCTTCTCACCTGCCATATGCCACCTGCCATGCTACCCATCCCTGGCCTTGGACAAGCTGGTCTTCAGTTGGAGCAAGCTGTGCCTGAGGACAACAGGGACGTGCCTTGGCAGCTGGCGTGAAACTTTCGGCCACTGAAGCTACTGTCCCGGGGTAGGCTGAGTCCACGACTGTTTTGCTCCTGCCTTCTTAGCTTTCGTCGGCCGCACAGGTCTCAGCCGCTCAGCTGCTGATTCCGAAGCGACAGTCTTCAGAGTCAAAATGCAGCAAAGTCACTGCGAGTGAGGTTCAGGACCTGAGCCAGACTGCAGCAAGTAGGGTGCCACACGCCAGAGCAGAGACGATGAGCGCGTAAACCCTTCATGACGGAATGGCAGGGTGAGTTCTTGACATTCACCTCTGCATTGCTCGGAGCTTGGACCAGCAGCCTAGCAGGCATCTGCACCCGTATATGCGCCAGGCTTACTGCGTCGATCTATGCCGCTCTAAGTTCTTCAACCACTCTGTTGGGTGTTGGTGCCTCTCCCAAAGCAAGCAGCACGCACAACCTCAAGCTCACATGGCACCCATGACTTTGATATTAAGTATGCAGCCATGCCGGACATCTGTCGGGCATCTGAGAACAGGTCCCAAGTAAACGGCTGAAGCTCCGCATAGAACTCGCAAATCTCAGTACGGGCAAGAACAAGTCGGAAGGTGTAGCGAAGCCCCTTTGAGCTTTCACCAGACGGGGTGCCCAAGTCAAGGGCAGTAGGACGAAGAGGTGGAACGTGGTCCTTGCACATTTCCAAATCATTGCCTGGCCTATGGCTTGCGGCACGGCTTGGTGGCAGGCCCAGCAGAGACACAGCCTGGGAATGATTCTTTGGGGTAATCACCACTTGAGCCCAATGGCTTTCCGAAACGCTTCCAGTCAGTCGGGCCACTGTGATGCCTACAGGTTGATGGTTCATACCATGATGCACCATGATGCACCACGTGTCCATTGTGCCCGGCGGTCGAAGCGTGCCGGCAGAACACAAGCAAAGCAGACTTCAGCCCGCATCCTCTTGCTTGAAAATTTGCTGAGAAGTTTCACGCAAGAAGAGGCTGGACGTCACGTTCCTGCCCGCCAAAGGTCTGCCACTCTCGGCAACGGCTGCCGGCAACGGCCTACGAGGATCAGCTCATGACGTACACTCCCGGCCGAGTTCTCACCTCTGGAGGTGCTAGGCGAAAGTATCGGGACTCGAACTCCGGATGTTCATCGTACGGGCTGGAAAACAGATTCAGCAGCTCCTGGGCAAGTTGAAAGCTGCCACTCTCAGCTGCTTCGTATGCCTCCATGAGCATCCAGTTGCGAGGCACATACTTTGGTGACACTTGCCGCATGCGGCTGGCGACTTCATCTGGATCATCTCCCTCCTCCCTCAGGCGCGTCAGCCACTCCCAAAGCCATTGAGACCATGCTCTCTCGAGATCTGGGCTCAGGGCTTGGTAGAAGCATCTCTGCAAAGGGGTGAGGAGGCTGCCGCTTTCCATCAGTTCATCCCAATCTTGTGCTATTGTGGCAAGACATCGCCATGTCAAGGTCCAGTCTGCTCCCGACTGCTCCATCAGCACGAGCAGATCATCGCACAACCGTGCTCCATTGTCATCCCAGAAGGAGAAGCCAAGCTTCTGCATCCGAACCTCTGCGAAAGCCTCAGCCATCAATGATGGAAAGGCTCTCAGCACCCTCTGGGCCTCTTGGCGACCATCTGCATCGAGAAGACACTCAATCGACCGAACGGCGCTCGTAAAGTTTTGGTATGCGGCTTTCGGCTGATTGCGAAAGCTGAATTTGTCGATACCATCTGTCCAGCTGCACCAGCGTGGGTTGTAGCATTCCATGAAGCCAAAGGGACCGTAGTCCATGGTCCTGCCCCCAAGGAGGCAGTTGTCCGATTGGAAATTCCCCTGGCAGAATCCTACACGCCACCACTCCGCCGGCAACTGGGCCATGCGACGTGCCATCGGCAAGAGCATTCGCCGGAGAGGCGCTTGAAGTTGGTACAAATCTTCATCGCCCTCGAAGCACTCAGGGTATTCCCGAGCAATCAGATGGCGGACGATCTGCTCCAGCTCCCGCCTCGCGGGTCCATCCCAAGCGTCCCTTGCACGACGGCCGAACAGCTCCAAGTGGCCGACTCGTAAAAATGATCGGGATACTCGGCAGGTGATGGCACAGGGCTCATACACCCGCTCACCCAGCCATTCGCGCAAAGCACTCTCAGACCGGGACATGATCAAGCAGAGCCCGCGCGTCGTTGGAACGTTGAGATGATGCATTGCCTCAGATGCCAGGAACTCACGCAAGCTGGATCGAATTACGGCTCGACCATCTGCTCCACGACAAAAAGGCGTGCATCCAGCACCCTTCAATTGCAGCTCCCATCGGTTTCCATCTACGACCACTTCTCCGACTGAAATTGCCCGACCATCGCCATACATGTTGCCAGTTGAAATTTCGTTGCCGGCCACCGACAGGGTGTAGGGGGTGCACCAGCTTCGCATTTCCGGCATGGTGTCCGCAAACCCTGACATGTACTGCAGGAAATCGTCCGATTGGCAATCGGCTTCTGAGAGGCCTAAGTCGCCTGCCATGTCCGAGCTGTAGGCCACAAGGCATGGATTCAGCAAAGGCGTTGGCTTGACCTGGACATAATGACCTCGAGCAGAAGTCAAACAAGCGGGGCTACTGTGGTGTGGGAATTGTACTCGAAGTGTCTCATGCTCTTGATCTGTGGTATTTCAACAGAGGATACAGAGGCGGCTTCCGGCTTTTCAGGCACAAATCCTTTTGCAGCACCTGCCTGCAGAGACCAACCGCTTCTCGTGGTTGGGCTCGTGGAGTTGCTGCTGGGGATCTGGAGTCAGCTCCCGTATCCAGGAGTGATCTGCATTCCTGCAGCACTCAGAAAAAAGAAAAAAGGTAAGTCTTGGAAGGCTTTAGCAGTGAGGGTTGAAACGTTGAACATGCTTGCAGGGGAGTGCAAGAGGTGCCAAGGGTTGGAAGTGCGGGGCACAATGAAATCCAAAGCTATCCCAACTGACAGCGGCTTTGCTACAGTATGTTACGGCATGCCAGCTGTCGTCGCACCTCAGGCGGTGAACCCTCTTGCATCAAGGCGACTGCTGGAGCTCCGACAAGCCCGCTGGAAGGATCTGCCGCCTGACTCGATTAACGCGGGAGCCGCGGCATCTCCCCTGCGCATGCCACAGGCGACGGGCGCAGCCGGAACCACAGAGACCACAAACAGTGGCACCCATGAGGAAATCCAACCTGCATTGACGGCTCTGAGCTTCGCCATGGGCCCGTGGCCGACTTGGCTGAGATGGCTGGGCATGTGGCCGGCACTGCCACTCCCCAAGCAGCATGGCTCAAAGCATTGGTGCTCCAGGTGTCAAGAATGTGGCACTGGGGTGTGGATGAGACAAGTATTCTTGCTCTATTCTGCTCATCATCTGCTCTTCAGGCACAACAGCGAGCCATGGACTGCGACGCTGGACGTGTAGAAAGCGGCGGGGCGAAGATAAGATGGCTCAAGGCCTGTTCGTCCAGCATACGTTCTGCAACTATGTCCCTCGCGTTCATGTCGCTCAGAGTTTTGGCCACTGCAGACTGCACTAGCCATCACTTCGAGGGCGAGCAGGTCCTCAAGTTCTTCTTCGGGACCTTGGCATGCCCCCGGTGTACTAGAATTGGGCCCGCTTAACAAGAGGGCAGCTGGCAACGAACCCCCTTGCCAGCTGGAAAGCTGAGCCCAGGGACCGACGCCCACGACCAGCAGCGGCGGTATCGAGATCTTGATCCACTTGATCCACTTGATCCCCCCAACTTTCAGGAGCATCTTCTGCCTCTGGCTCTCCAGGCTCCCCAGCATCGTCCTCCTTTCCAAAAAAACACTGCGTTAAGGACCTGTAGGATACGGGGCATTTCGCAAAATGATTAGGAGTGCCCTTCATCTACCCCCAAAATACTCGTAGCCTTTTCTTTCAAACCCCCCAGCTTGTAGGGTGGGGGAGAGAAAAGGGAGCGCAACAAAAGCCCGGTTCGCCCTTCCTTTCTGAATGCCCGGTGCCTCCGAGCCAGAATGTGGTTCTTTGGGGCGCTGGTCTGCTTCAATACGGGCCTGCCCAGTTGATAACTCTTACATATTATATATATATATATATATACATACATATATATATATATACATATAATATATATATATATATATATACATATAATATATATATATATATATATATATATATATACATATATATATATATATACGTATATGTGATTCATTTACTGATATTTTTACTTATGGTTCTACTTATACTTCTACTTCTACTTCTATCTACTTCTACTTGGCACTTGTACTTATTACTTGTACTTACTACTAGTACTTGTACTTACACTTATACTTCTACGAATACATATTATTTACTTTTTCGTTCTTTTCTGTTTTTATATTTGTACTAGGATACATGCTTTCAATTGTATTTACAGTACAAGTATATCTACATATGTATACATACATATACACATATATACATATATGAATATCTTTTGGTATATACAGTACATACCGTAGCTGTTCTGACAATAACTAGCAGAACAAAGTCTGCCGATGCTGCGCAACTTTCACACTTGCAGGCCCGCCTGCGCCAGGGCTTCGATGATATGAGGGTCCTCCTCCGCCCGCCATGCACTTTGCACTGCGGCTCGTCGCTCAGCACGCCTGGGAACTTCGTACATCTTCGCATCCAACAGTGGGAACAAAAATCCCGGGTCACGTGATGCTAAGCGTTTTGTCAGTTCCAGGCCTTAGCCACTGAGACCATCCAAGAGCGTGGAAGGTTGTGGACATGTGGGGCGGCAGCGGCCTCTAGCAGCCCAATCGCAACACTTGACTTGGGGCCAGCCCCGTTCGTTGTTCTAACAACTCTGTCGAAGAACCGAGGTCTTCACGCAGTGACCGTCACTTCCTTCCCCGCAAAAGTCTTGATGGTCAACTGGCGACTGTGCAGGTGCAAGCCTTGAAACGGAATCGTGAGACTTGCAAGCCGCGAACAAGGCATCGCCCACACCATCAGCTCAAGACATGAGTGCGACCGTCCGACCTGTCTGCCTACTTAGAGGTTCATTTGTAGGGATTTACACCCTACCTTTAACTGCCCATGAACCTCCAAGTCAGCACTCAAGGCTGTGGATGACTCGCCTGTTATGGCCGAGGGGCGGGGCTGAGCGCCCACCAGCTCGGCACGTTCACGCCGTGCCTCCGCTGAGTGGTACCTTGATTCATTGGTTGTCAGATCAAAAAGGCATAGCCGTATCGCCTCGGACTTATTTGGGCAGTTCATGACAACCCTGCATCTGCATTCTCTTTTGCTGGAAAAAGAAATGGTCTCAGCACCTTAGCTGAGACTTCTGGCAACCTTAGCTGAGAATTCTGGCACCCCGTTCGATCACAGCCGCATCTACGATGCTGTACGACCTGAGCCAACTTCCGGAAAGCCTTGAACCAGTAGCTCCCTCAAGAGAGCTACAACAAAAATTCGTGGCAGCAGGAGGACCTGACTTTGAAGTCGGACACCGTGGACAACTCGTTCGACAATTGGTAGTAGATGGGATCCCCCACCATGGGCGCACGCAGTCCGAAGGCACAGTGCGCACGTGTTTGGTGATACCTGCCGCTGTAGGGATTCATGGACAAGAGGGTGAGGCCACCAGCCAGCGGAGAATACAGCAGTGACGAATACTCGGTCATGGCGGGCAAGCCACCATCGTCTTCTCTTACTGGTTTCGCAACCGATCCTGTGCCCAGCCTCTCCAATGCCAAGGGCATAGAGACTTGCCCAGACTTGGGCGTCCGTCCACAAACGACAGCCCATAGCTCCCGCTGCCAGAAAGAACGTTGCGCCACCATGTCCTTGGCGAAGGAGGCCGCAGCCTTGTGCCTTGCAAGCAGCAGCACCCCGCTCATCTCCGTGCTCAGCCGGTGGACCAGCCGGGGTGGCTCCTGCGCAGCTCTGCGCCCGTGCAGTTGTTCCTTAACCCTTAACCCTTTCTGCTCCAGGAGAAGGAACGACTCACAGCAGCAGGGACTTCAGACCGTGGTAGTCCGGTATGCACTCTTTGAACCCTTTGAACCCTTTGAACCCTTTGAACCCTTTGAACCCTTTGAACCCTTTGAACCCTTTGAACCCTTTGAACCCTTTGAACCCTTTGAACCCTTTGAACCCTTTGAACCCTTTGAACCCTTTGAACCCTTTGAACCCTTTGAACCCTTTGAACCCTTTGAACCCTTTGAACCCTTTGAACCCTTTGAACCCTTTGAACCCTTTGAACCCTTTGAACCCTTTGAACCCTTTGAACCCTTTGAACCCTTTGAACCCTTTGAACCCTTTGAACCCTTTGAACCCTTTGAACCCTTTGAACCCTTTGAACCCTTTGAACCCTTTGAACCCTTTGAACCCTTTGAACCCTTTGAACCCTTTGAACCCTTTGAACCCTTTGAACCCTTTGAACCCTGTGAACCCTTTGAACCCTTAGAACCCTTAGAACCCGTAGAACCCTTTGAACCCTTTGAACGCGAAACCCTAAACCCTGCACCCTCCAAGGCCTCCATGCCAAACTGCAGGCTTGGCAGCAATCGAAGCAGGTGCGTTCCGCCAACATGCTTTCCAGGAGCCACTGACCACCCAATGGGCTTGTCCAGGACGAGGAAGTCTGTATCCTTGTAGATGATTCCTTATCAGGGTGGCGTATGCTGGCCAAGTCATATACCCTATTGCAAGGAAGCCGACGAGAAAAAAAGGAAACGAGACCCTCGGCCGGGCATCGCCGTAGCAACCATCCGGGCACTTCCTTCTGCTGTGCTACCGGCAGTCTCTTCTTGGGCACAGGGCTCATCACCTTTGGAAAGTAAACCAGATCCTCGGTTGTGACACAAGCCGAGAACGTCTGAGGAAGCGCAACCTCCACCTGGTCCTGGGAGCCTGAACACTCTGCATCTTGTCATGGCACGTTAGCTTTCAAAGGCGTCCTCCCCTGACACGTAGGACGAAAGCGAGGGATCACAACACTTCCCCGATGCTCCTCCGCAGTGGCGTCTGGGCTCATAACCTCACCAGTGCTTGGTGCAGCAGAGGTCAAGACAAACCCTAAGAAGACATGCAGTCAACAGCAGATCCCTTCAAAAGCCGAGATGCCCATACCTGCTTGGAGCTTATCAGTTTTTGACCCGCGTTCCAGTTGGAACCTTAGGCCAGTTGACCGAAGCAAACATTGCGAACATGTTGTGCAGCCGAGGACAAACAGCAGAGCCTCTGGCAAACATGCTTTCTGAGCCAGCGATCCAGCCGCATCGGCTCGGCATCTGCTGGCACACGGTGGCATGCAAACGGCCCAAGATCAAAGGGGCGCTCACCTGTGTGCAGCTTTTTGCCACAAAGCAGGCGGACAACAGCGGCGAACAGGGCAGAAGAGCGGCCACAGTACTACGGTAGGTAAGTCAAGTTAAAGCATTGAAGAATGAAGCCGAATGAAGCCGAAGCGCCGTGCAAGTGAGTCGGATTCTCAAGCTGCAGTCGAAGTGTGGTCGAGCAGCGCTGGTGCCTCTGGCTGCGACAGAACCACCTCCTCCAAGCAGCTGCACCCATGATGTGTGTAAAGGCATCACGTCGCCATCAGCTTAGGCCGTGCTGTGGTTCAACCACGTTTTGGTGTCTACCGTGCGATGTCCTACCAGAAACTTCATGCAATGACTTCCGTCAGACTTCGGCAGCCCATGTATGGCCATGTCAACTCCTGTAGCCACGTCCACGACCAACGCAGGACTTAGAGGCAATTTCAGGCACACTTTAGCACCGCACATAGACACACTGCCGCGCGGTGGGTTGCCCTTTTTGTCCCGATTAGGTTGGCTCAAGTAAGCTAGGCGTTTCTGCCGCTCGAATTCCTTCGCCCTTGGGGCGGTTAATGTGTGCCGCCTCTGGAAGTCAGCCGTGACCAAATCACCCAAAGACGTCTCATCTACGTTCAGCTCCTCAAGCAGTCTCTTCACGACCCGACGCCCGAGCACTTTCTCCACAACCTTGATCGTGACTCGGGTTGGCAGAACGCCTCGCATAAGCATCTCACGGAAAACTGCCTCCACATCTGGGTGACCAGGCTCAGCAAGAGCTTGCAGTAGCTGGGTGTACTCTAGCACTGAAGGCGACAGGCAGCTATCACACATCGAGCGGAACCTCAAGATCACACGCAGTGTATTGCATCAAGCTCTCAATTTTCGCGGAATCCTAAACCCAAGAGCAAGTATTGCCAGAAGTGCTGCAAAGGGGCCAAGCCATGGCCTTCTCCTGGCGCAGGCCGTTCGGCATCTGAAGGCAGGAACGCAGCATCAGGCCGAAGGCAGCAAGGTCTGGCCGAACCTCGCAGGCTTTGCCCGACCCTGTTGCGCACTTCTTGGCACCACAAGACAGCGGGACAAAACCCCTACCTGCTGCGACATCAAATTGAAATTGTGCTCGGCACCTGCCAGGCTGGCTGTTGCAACATAGCGCGCCGCAATGCCTGCCAATAGGTCTCCCTCACCAGCTGGGCATCCGACCCCTCACATCACCTGCGTGGACGCAAGCCTTGATGACCGCTGTGTAGGTGAACAGGTCTGGCTGTAATTTCAGGGTCCTCAGGCTTTAGTGCTGCAGATCACAAACCAGACTCGAAACGAGAAAACAAGTTTCAAGTTTCGTCGGCATGCAGTTTTCATGCTTGCAGTTTTCATGCAGCTTGCCATGTATCAACCTATCAATGGCTACTACTAAGAAGATGTCACATGAAAGCATGGTCCACCCGCCGCGTAACGAACCCTGGCTTTGCGTATGGCTGGGCTAGACTTGTCTCTTACCGGGCTCAGACGCTGTTGCGCTTGCCATGTGGCTCCTAAACTGTCTGAGTGCTAGAAGCAGCCTCACACCTTCGTTTCCGGCCAAGTGTTTGAAGACTCCTTCCTTGACATGACTGATTTTACCAAAAACCGCAGCAGCCTCGTACAGCGGTAACGGCTGCCATCTAAGGATGTTGTGGTCCTATGGCGGTCGGAACGGTTTTGATGGAGACGGATGAGACCTCAACAATGTGCACGACGCAGGAAATCCCTCCCAAGCCGAAGCCGAAGCTTAGCAATGTGTCGAGATCAATGGTCACGATGTCGCCTGCAAGTGCTAACACGACTTCTGTTTCAAGCCTTGCGTTTGCGGAAGAATGAAGACTAAGAGGTTCCATGTGGGCAAGACAAGACAGCAAACATCACAGGTCGCAGCACTTGAACCCAGAGAGCCATTGCGTTTCCCCCCGCTGCGCCGTCTGAGGGCGGAGCCTGATCTGCTCTAAGAAGCGCTGTGCTTCGGCAGCATCACCTGCTTCAGCTGCTGCATCTGCCAGGATGTTCGTTACCAGGCCGGCATCCTCCCTCGATGGCTGTGGCATGTGCCGTAGCCACGTGTGCATGGAGCACCGGGATCTTGCCGCAGCGCGGAGTAGCCTGGAGTAGGTCACCTGAACCGGTGTTTAGAGCGGTTGGGCTCCCCAATCTGCCCAGACTGGAAGAGGCCCCAAACACATACCCCTAGTAGCATGACTAACTTCGGCAAGACTGCCGCATCTGGCTGGATTTTGCTAGCAGCCATCGCTTGCAGCGACGTAGCTGCAGCAGGCATTTCTTCACAGCTGATGCTAGCTGCAATCAGGGTCCGCCATGACACGGCAGACGGCAGCCATCCCTGCAGAAGAAAACAATGATGAATCACCCCTGCCCCACTCGCTTCTACAGCTTCCACTTGCGGCCTCGGCGACAAGCTCGCGAAACCAATGCTCAGCAGCTGGCAAGTCATGGTGCTTGGCGGCCACATCCATCAGTGCCTGTGGCAATGCAGTACTACAGTAGCGAGACGGAGAGGAATGTTGACCAGCCGTGCGTCGCACCTTGCTGTGTGCCGCTGCGCGCAGCTAAGTGCAGCAAGGATACATTAAAAGTTTCTGGCCCCGGCGTGACAGAAGCGGACTTCATGATTCTCAGCCACTCGTCAGCTGCCGCAACTCCAGACTCTGCACGTGCTGCCGCGCTGATGATGGTGTTGAAGGTGTACATATCTGGCCGAGTACCAGCTTCCTGCATCTGCTGGTAAATCGCCCTGGGCTCCAAGACTGACGTTCTGCACATGGCTTTCATGCGATCGCACCACTCGAACAGACAACAGCTCGCGGACAAGATGCCGGGAGATGCGAAGGTCCCCCTTCTTTGCAGCAGCGCTGAGGACCGAATTGTATGAAAAGATATTGGGCTGAAGATTCTCGGTTTCCAAATGCGCCAACCAGGCCACAGCCGAGTCCAGGTCATGGGCATTCGCCGCGGCTGCGATGACTTCGTTGTAGTTCAGGAGATCCGGCTTGAAACTGCAGCGTTGCATCTCTTGAAGCCAAGAGACGGCATGGTGTGGGTGGGCGCTTTTCGCTGCAGCCTCTATCAGTTTTCCGAAGGTCTTGCTGTTTGGCGCGATTCGCTGACCTAAGTTGTGGCGATCTGTGGCATCACGAGGCCGAACTGTCTGGAGAACAATAATTCCATTGTGTCTTAGTCACGTTTTATATGAAGGCACATGCACAGGACAGAGTGGGGGAAAAAAACTGGGCCCAAGACTGCACAGCGATTGGAAAAGACGCTCTGCCACATGGATGTCACCCGCGTTCGCACACGCTTTGAGCATTGTATTCCAAATTACTCTCCTGCAGTTGCAGTGGCATAGTAGAGTTGGGTCGGTTTCTTTCGAGGGGCATGCGGCTCATTTGGGGGCCCTCGCTCTCTTCTTCTTCTTCTCCTTCTTCTGCTGGGCCTGAAGGGCGCTAGCAGCCCCCGCGCGCTGGGCACGCCCTTGTCAGTCACGTGTTTGCGCGGAGAACGTATGGAGAACTTTTCACGGACCACTTTTTCTTCTGCTGGGCAGGGAGAGCCTCGAAGGAGCCCTGCGCAGGAAGCGGGCCCGAAGCACGGCTCTCTCTCTCTCTCTCTCTCGCTTTCCCTCTCGCGCTCTTCCTTCCTTCCAGCGCATGTGATCCCCGAGGGGGCCGATCTCTCTCTCTCTCTCTCGCTCGCTCTCTCTCTCTCTCTCTCTCTCTCTCTCTCTCTGTGTCTCTCTCTTTCTTTCTTTCTTTCTTTCTAGGGGCTTGGGGTCGGCGCCCCGGGCATCTTTGCCCGCCCCTGTTTCGGGGTGGTTGCTGGTAATGTCCGGTGCCCGGGTGTACTCTGCCGACTGTTATGCCCCCCTGGATCCCGTTTATACCCTATCACCCCATTACCCCATCACCCTGCCCCACTATGTCGGCAGTGTGGTCCCCTGGCTCCCGACCTGACGTGAGACCTGCAGTCAATGGCCCCCTTATGTCACTCCAACCTCGAAGCGCTACAACCTGACCTAAACCTGAACTGGCAATCCTCCTGAAAGCCCCCCTTCCCCTGCTTTGACCGCCTTCTTGCTGCTGCCTCTCCTCTCTGCGCCTCCCCCCTCCTGCGGACTGGCCCCTCAAACTGGGCCGGTGCCTTCGTGGAGCTCAGCGGCGGTGGTGGGCTCCACGGCACGGTGGCTCGGGTGTTCGGTCCCCGTTGTGTTCGGCGGTGTGTCGCCGTCTTCCCCCTCCACCACCTCCACCCCCCCCTCCAGGTCACAGATCTCCTTCTCAGCGTCCTTGCCATTGTCACGATCGTGTAGTTCTTCTTCTTCTTCTTCGCCTCCCCCTCCCCCTCCCCTGCCACCTCCACTCCCCCCCCTCCCTGGCCCTTCTGTGTGGTGTTCAGGTGGTGGTGCGCTGTCGTTAGGTGTGTCCTCGATCGCTAGGAGTCCTCGATCGCTAGGAGTTCTTCCCCCCATAGGTCGGCGCTCCACTCATCCAGGGCCCCGAGTGCTGCCTCCACTTGCTGTCTGACCTCCCCGCCGGTGAAGGGCAGCAGGCATCGCCAAATATCCCCCCGTTTGCAGCCACCCCCTATCCCCAGCCGGCGCCGCCTCCACTCCCCCCGCTGCCAGGCCGATCGCGTCTGCTGGGTGTACCCCCCCTCCCTCTTGCTCGCTCCCCCCAGTGTTGCGCACCACTTCCAGCGCGATTGCTTCCGCCCCCACACACACTTCCGCATGGTGCTGAACGTGCAGCAGTTGGCCGGCTGCCTGGTGGTGATTGGGGTAGCTAAGTGCTAGCAGGGCTGCTTGTTCCGCTTCCGCTGCTTTACCCTCGGCCAGGCTTTGAAGCTCCCAGTGGCCTGTCCTCTTTGCAGCATCCAGCCACCTCCTCCCCTGCCTCACCAGGTGCAGGATGGTCATTGCGTCCTGCATTCTTTCCTCCGTCGTGAGGGCCCCCCAACCCCGGCTGACCGCCTCCTTGCTTGGAATGCCCTTCCTCCGTCGAGCGTGTGATGGGCTCGACCAGTCTGCTGTGTCTGTCCGGCTGTGCCACACCCACCCTGTCCCTGCTGCTGCTGCTCCCGTATCCTTCTTCTCCCGGGCCGGGTTCCCGTGTGGGTGCTGGTGGTGGTGGTTGCAGTGGGGTGGTGCCGCCGGCGCTGTTGTTCGCGTACTCATCCCCCTCTTCCTCTTCTTCCTCTCCTGTGACCCGCCCTGGGCATTGCAGTGCCGCCACCAGGTGTTCCTCCCCTTCCTCCACTATTGCCACTCCCTTTCCTCCTCCCGTTTGCCCCCGGAGGGCGCTCAGTGCTGCTTGTATGTAGGTGCTTGCTGTGGTGGCTTGCCTTTCCCTGGCCCCCATCCGGTGAAGAAGTTATCCGCGTCTTTTTTTTTGGGTTATCTGCGTCTCTTTTTTTTGGGTTGTCTGCGTCTTTTTTTTTGTGGTTACCTGCGTCTTTTTGGTCTTGGTTTCCTGCAGCGCCTCGCACTTTTGCTTCCATCCTGGGTTGTCTGCGTCTTTTTTTTTTGGGTCATCTGCGTCTTTTTTTGCCTTCTTGCGTTGAGGGGTCAGGTTTGCGGAGAGGTTCAAGGTTTAGGGTTTAGTTGGGGTTTCGGGTTTAGGGTTTGGGGTTTGAGGTTTAGGCTTTAGGGTTTACAGTTCAGGTCTTGGGGTTTGAGGTTTAGGGTTTGGGTTTAGGGTTTAGGGTTTAGGGTTTAGGGTTTCGGGTTTAGGGTTTAGGGTTTAGGGTTTCGGGTTTAGGTTTTGGGTTAGGTTTGGGGAGAGGTTTAGGGTTTAGGGTTTAGGGTTAGGGTTTGGGCTTTGAGGTTCAGGCTTAGGGTTTACAGTTCAGGTTTTGGGGTTTGAGGTTTAGGGTTTGGGTTCAGATTTTAGGGTTTAGGCTTTAGGGTTCAGGGTTTAGGGTTTAGGGTTTCGGGTTTAGGGTTTAGGGTTTGGGGTTGGTTTTGGGTTAGGTTTGGGGAGAGGTTTAGGGTTTAGGGTTTAGGGTTAGGGTTTGGGCTTTGAGGTTTAGGCTTAGGGTTTACAGTTCAGGTTTTGGGGTTTGAGGTTTAGGGTTTGGGTTCAGATTTTAGGGTTTAGGCTTTAGGGTTCAGGGTTTAAGGTTTAGGGTTTCGGGTTTAGGGTTTAGGATTTGGGGTTTGAGGTTTAGGGTTTGCGGTTTGGGGTTTGGGGTTTGAGGTTCAGGGTTTCGGGTTTAGGGTTTAGGGTTTGGGGTTTCGGGTTTAGGTTTTGGGTTAGGTTTGGGGAGAGGTTTAGGGTTTAGGGTTTAGGGTTTAGGGTTTCGGGTTTCGGGTTTCGGGTTTAGGGTTAGGGCTTTGAGGTTTAGGCTTAGGGTTTACAGATCAGGTTTTGGGGTTTGAGGTTTAGGGTTTGGGTTTAGGGTTTAGGGTTTAGGGTTTAGGGTTTAGGGTTTAGGGTTTAGGGTTTAGGGTTTAGGGTTTAGGGTTTAGGGTTTAGGGTTTAGGGTTCAGGGTTCAGGGTTCAGGGTTTAGGGTTTAGGGTTTGAGGTTTAGGGTTTCGGGTTTAGGGTTTGGGGTTTGAGGTTTAGGGTTTAGGGTTTAGGGTTAGGGTTCAGGCTTTAGGCTTTAGGGTTTGGGGTTTAGGGTTTCGGGTTTAGGGTTTTGGGTTTGGGGTCTCGGGTTTCGGGTTTAGGTTTTGGGTCAGGTTTGGGGAGAGGTTTAGGGTTTAGGTTCGAGGTTTAGGGTTTAGGGTTTAGGGTTAGTGTTCAGGCTTTAGGGTTTAAGGTTTAGGGTTTAGGCTTTAGGGTTTAGGGTTTTGGGTTTAGGGTCTCGGGTTTCGGGTTTAGGTTTTGGGGTTTGAGGTTTAGGGTTTAGGGTTTAGGGTCTGGGATGTGGGGTTTCAATTTTATATTTACAGGGTTTACGCTTGGGATTTAAGGTCTAGGGTTCAGGGTTTATGGTTTCTGTTTTTTAGGGTTTAGGGTTTAGGGTTTAGGGTCTCGGGTTTCGGGTTTAGGGTTTAGGGTTTGGGGTTTGAGGTTTAGGCTTTAGGGTTTACAGTTCAGGTTTTGGGGTTTGAGGTTTAGTTTAGGGTTTAGGGTTTAGGGTTTAGGGTTTAGGATTTAGGGTTTAGGGTTCAGGGTTTAGGGTTTAGGGTTTAGGGTTCAGGGTTCAGGGTTTAGGGTTTCGGGTTTACGGTTTGAGGTTTGGGGTTCAGGGTTTCGGGTTCAGGGTTTCGGGTTTCGGGTCTAGGGTTTCGGGTTTAGGGTTTAGGGTTTGAGGTTTAGGGGGGTGTAGGGTTTAGGGTTTGGGGTTTGGGTTTGAGGTTTAGGGTTTCGGGTTTAGGGTGTACGGTTCAGGGTTTGCGGTTTGAGGTTTAGGGTTAAGGGTTTAAGGTTTAGGGTTTGGGGTTTGAGGTTCAGCATTTAGGGCCTAGGGTTCAGGGCTAGGGTTTAGGGTTTAGGGTTTCGGGTTTAGGCTTTAGGTTTAGGTTTAAGGTCCAGGGTTCATGGTTTGGGGCTTAGGGTTTAGGCCTCAGGGTTCCGGGTCAGGGTTCAGGGTTCAGGGTTTCGGGTTTAGGGTTTGAGGTTTAGGGTTCAGGGTTTACGGTTTGGGGTTTAAGGTCAAGGGTTTAGGGTTGAGGGTTTCGGGTTTGTAGTTTTTGGGTTTAGGGTTGAGGGTTGAGGGTTTCGGGCTTAGGGCTTGGGGTTTAGGTTTAGGGTTGCAGGGCTTTCGGCTCCGGGTCAGTGTTTAGGGTTCCTTGGTCGGGGGTTTGGTGTCTTGGCATTTGGGTTTGGATTCGGTTTCGGGGTGAAGGGGGCAAGGCTGAGGATTTAGGGTTGAGGCCCCAGGGTTTCAGGTCTCAGGGCTTAGGGTTTGGGGGCTGAGGGTTTCAGCGATTTGGCATTTACGCTTCAGGGTTTAGGGTTTGGGCTTGACTCGTGCCTACCAGCTCCTGCCTGGGACAAGATGGGTCTTTAAGGGACCAGAAGCGCGAATTCACCAACGGGCGAAGGGAGCTGCTCTGTCGGCATGGTCCTAAACCCTGCACCCTAAACCCTACACTCCCTAAACCCCCAAACGTGGCAAGTGGGTTGACACCCGGACCCCTGTAAAACCTGTTTTGCCTCGCGCAGGGCTCCACTCTGCCATCCAAAACGCGGGTGCTCAGCGCCAAAACCCTCGGATTTGAGGTGTAGGCCTTCGGGCCTTACGACGCACTTGCACCGTGAAGATGCACGGACTCCACTCCACACCTCTCAAGGGGACAGAATAATTGCTAGGCCAGGAAGTGAAATTAACGACCTCGGGCTAGAGGCCCTTAAAATTTGAACCCTGAACCCCAAATCCTGCAAGTTCTCAGCCGCTAAGCTCAGCAAGTCAGCAGGAGGGGGGCCGCACTTCTTCCCCTGCTTCCTGGGCTGCAGAGGCTGGCTCGAGCTTTTTTCCAGCTTGGGGGGGTTTATTGATAGGGTTCGGTACAGGGTTTTTGACCTTCCGGTTTGGGCTTTGGGGTTCAGGGCTCAGGCTTTAGGGTTTAGGGTTTTATATGGGGATTATTCTTTTTTGTGGGCCATTTGGGGACTGGGAATATCCGGGAAAAAAAGAGGACCGTAAAGAGGGGTCGCAATTTAGAACAACCCCCCCAACAATCCTAAACCCTAAACCCTAAACCCTCCACCCGAGGATTCAGCTGTGTCAGGGCCTACAGGGTCAGCAGCAACCACTGCGACATTTCTGTCTGCGAATGGATATCCATGCTCCAGCCTTGAAAGTCCTGCATCGCAAACCCAATGAGGCAATCCCTCCACCTTGGTAGTCCCAATGACGATGTAGGGTACCTTCCATATATATATATATATATATATCTCTATCTCTCTCTCTCTCTCTCTCTCTCTCTCTCTCTCTCTCTCTATATATATATATATACATCTACCTAGAGGGAATTAAGGATGCCTATATATATATGTGTGTATAAATATATATGGGCATACATATATATATATAAAATCTTTGAGGGATAAAGTGGTAGCCCCAGTAGCTGGAATTTGTCACGGGCACCCCTTGTTGGGGTTGGTCATGTTGTGAGGGAAGCACTGGGCTGCCAAGCCCGTGAAAGCAGGCACTGCACTCCACGCCGGGCTTGAGCCACATGGCCGCAGCGCAACTCTGCCGCCCGTGTTCGTGCGAACCCTCAACCCTAAATCCTAGACACTGAACCCTAAACCCTCTACCCTAAACCTGCCAAGAATAGCGCGTGAGCCATGGAGCCTTTGATGTGCACGTTGACTTTCCCTTTGTCTCTGCTGCTAGTCTCTTGCCAACGATGCACCGTCCCGCTCTGCAGGGTCATAGCAACATGTCGACTGTTTCAGGTCTGAAGAAAACCAGAACAAAACCACGAAGAAAGCCATGTAGTGATGATGTGCCACCCCAGATCGTTTTTGCCCTCAGCCTTCCGAAAAGATGTCATGATAAAGGCGACTAAGAAATCCTGCGTCAAAGGTGCTCATGAAGTCAGACGCTCAGCCATGAGACACGAAAGGGCGGAGCGGAGGAGACTGATCTACTTGCCGGGCGCTCGGATGTCGGACAGTGACGGCTTGAGAACCCCCCCCCCCTCCCCCGCCCCTCCCCAATCTTTTTTATCGCTGTTAGGTTTTCTTTGTTTTTTTCGCCCTCCGATGAAATCTGCATCCGGGCATACACCACACGGTGGGCCAAGTCCCTGTAACATGTTCACGGAGTGTGCCTCGTCGTCAACCGTTCCACCCCAACCCATTCTGGAAAGCGCCCATGGGCACCAGGGACATCGGCCATGTGCCTAGCAACACATGAGAAAGTTCTCCAGATCGCCAAGCCCCTCTGCAGAAACCCTGAAAACACTACCCTAAACCCTATACCCTCACCCCTACCCTAAACCCAAAAAAAAACCCGCTATCTGCAGTCCCCCTTACAGTGCACCTGGTAATAGACTCTAGGATCTAGGGTTTGGGGGGGGGGGGGGGGGATGTAGTGCGTAAGCCAGCCTTCCTAGGCCCAAGCGCAACCTATCGATAAAAACGAGGATGAAGTTTCAGGGTTTAGGGTTTCGGGTCTAGGCCCAAGAGTGACCCAAGCATGAAAGAACCTGGGCCAGATCCAGGCGCTTGTCTTGGTCGCCGTGAGGTCGCGCGGACTACGTGCTCCGGTCTGCATGTACCTTAATTAAGCCTCTTGTTCAGGGCTGATGGTTTTCGGACTCAGGGTCTGCGCCTCAGGACGCAGTGTTTGGGGCTCGCGGTTGCAGCGAATTTTCTAGCAGGCGACAGACTCCGCCCGTAAGGCGTTCTTGTCTGCACTGAGTCTAGACGACCTGAGCACAGCTGTAACCGGGCAGCGTCAGTCGATGATGTTGCCGCGCACGCGCCTGCGTGCGCCGCAAAGAGCGGCCGACAGGGAGCTCTCCGCCGCTGCCACTTCCTCCCAGGTGTACATGGGCAAGCGATGAAACGGCGCTCCGAACATAGCGCGGGATAGGATCGCCGATGTTCTCGCCACCAAAGCGTCTGCTGCTTCCAGTGCCGGGCGCAAGGCATCGGCTTCCCACGGGTGCGCCGTTACGAACCCCTTCGCGCGGACGGACAGCGCTCGCAGTCTGGTAGCCACTTCCCGGCCCCGGCTCAGAACCTCTTCCACGGCCAGCTCGGTCTCGCTGGAGATAATAGACTCGGCGGACGCCGGGCTGCGGCAGCTCTGCTCCGGGCTTGGGACGGTGTCGGTGGGGAGAATGGACTCGGATGCTGGGCTCCGGCTGCGACGGGTCTCGTCAGCGGCCTGGATGCACGATACCAGCCGTGCGTCCGACTTGCTGGACATGGCGCGGTCTCGGGATTTTTGGAGGAACCCCAAGAAGCCATCAGGCCTCCTACCGGAGTCTGCCATGAGGAGCTCCGCCTGCCGCTTGACTGCAAACCGTGGAAGCCTGCAGCACTCACGCCACCCCTTGCAAGCTCCCATGAAAGCACGTGCAGAAGGTCAACAAGGTCTCTAGGTCGCTAAGTCGCTTGCTCTGCAATCAGAAAACTGAATGCCAAAAATATCCACACCAGCAAGTCAAACAACAATTGAACCCGAAAGCCCCCAAAATCCATGCAGCGGCCCAGGCTTGCCAGAGGTCAAGGTCTGTAGGGCGCTGGGAAGCTCCACCCCTTCCAAGCTCGCATGAAGCACATGCCGAAGATCGAGGTCTCTAGCTAGGTCTCTAGGTCTCTAGATCGATAGGCCTCGGTCGCTAGGTCGCTAGGTCGCTAGGAAGCTAGGAAGCTGTGGACTGCGTCCCTGTGCTCTGCAATCACATAACGGAACTCACGAAATATCGACACCAGCAAATCCCGCAAACTGCAAGACAGAGGCCCAGGCTCGCGAAAGGTCAAAGTCTGCAAGCCGCTGCGAAGCACCCTTCCAAGCTCTCGTGAAAGCACATGCTGAAGGTCAAGGTCTCCAAATCGCTAGGTCGCTAGGAAGCTGCGCCCCTGTGCTCTGCAGTCACCAGCAACTCAGACAAGACTGCAACGCCGCAACCCCTCAAAATCCCTCGGCACGTCGTCCCACAGACTGCAACATTCAGAGACGCAGGGTCCTCGAGAAAGGAAGGGCGTCCCGTAGAGGACGCCACCAACGCCGACGCTGGCCTCAAGGTGCTCATTCGCGTTTTTCTCCACTCTTCCTGTGCCCTAAACCCTTTGGGGCCCCGAAGACAAAAGCTGAAGCAAAAAAAAACGATTTTTTTCTGGTTTGGGGATCGGGCGGCTGTTTTGATGCTTGTTTTGCAGGTGTTTCGCCACTGGTTCGCGCTAGCAAGTCTGATGCAGCGTGCAACCCGACACGACCGCTCTGCACTTGTGGCATCTACCCCGGTATCGCAGGAACAGCAAGGCCCTACCCTCGAAGCATTGAAGACCATTCATAAGACCCTCAACCCTAAACCCCAAACCCTCAGCCCTCAACCCCAAACCCCAACACCCTGGCCCCAACCCCTAAACTCCCAACAACCTGAGCCTTCCCCCCTAGCTGTGGCCCCCGGCAGCCTCGGCAGGCGCGCGCCTCGTCGTCTGTAGATGCCATGGCTGAGACGCTTCCATGCTGCCCAGAATCCTCGACCCTAGGCAAGTTAAAACCGTGGGCCCCCGGCAACCAGGAATAGGGCCGAACCCCTTTGAACCCCTGTGTTGCGAATGAACCGCACCCTGGTCTGTGGCTGAGCCGCGTCCTTTTCTGTGCCTGATCCGCACCCTTTTCTGTGACTGATCCGCGCCCCCCGTCGTGACGAGGCGCGACCCGGGGTTTGGCGTACGAGCCGTGCACCGCGCACAGCGAGACGCATAACGCTCCCGAAGATGACGAGGCTTCCCATCGGGCACGCTGGGCTTTTTAGGGCTTAAGGCCGCAAAACTTAGCCTGTTCAAGGTTGGCTTTTTGATCATGGTCTAAAAGGTTTAAGTTTGGAGAAAACAAAAAGGTAGGCAACACCTCCACCGGACAAGGGGTGCACCCAGAACTTAATTTGTCTAAGCCCCTGCCCCTTGGCACCTGGGCTTTGTTTCAAGACTTGCGGGAAGTTTTCGGGTTTTTCGGGCTTCTGGTGCTCTTAGGTTGTATGCGTTTTGGTGCTTTAGGGTTCTTGGGATGATGAGGCCTTTCTTCTGGGGTTCTAAGGGTCTTGAGCCTTTGGTGTCTTTGGGGTTTTCAGCCTTTAGGGTTTAGGGTTGTGTAGTGTGTGACCTGTACGTATTATTAGCTTGCCCGAGAAGAAAAAGACGCGGATACTGCGAGAAAAAAAAGACACAGATAACGCACGAAAAAAAGACACAGATCCCGCGAAACGTCACAAGAAAGCAGGCTGTTCCTCGAGACGTCACCACGAAACAGCCAAAAAAAGACACAGGTAACGCAAAAAAAAAAGACACAGATAACGCAAAAAAAAAAAGACACAGATCACCCCCTTACCCCCCATCCGGGGTCGCTTGCTAGGTGGCTGTGCTCCTTCTCGGTGTTGTCCAGTGCGTCTGCACCAGGGGCGTGTCGTCCCATTCCTCACGGTTTGCGGCCGCAGCCGCAGCCACGGCTGCTGTAGGGTGCATCGTGCTGGCTGCGGTGCCCCCTTCGTTGGGGTTGTGGGTGTTGGCGGTCGCATCGGTGGCGGCGGTGCCTGTGGTGGCGGTGTGCTCGGTGGTGGTGTGGGTGGTGGCGCGGGCCTCGTCCGCAGGCGGTGATGGTTGCGATGGCGTATGTCCCGACCCGGACGAGCCCCCTTGTTGGTAGTTGGGCCTTGTGGCGGGACGCAGTGGGGTGACAGTGGCACATCGATAGATGCGGGGGTCCACTCTGGCCAGTTGTCCCTGTTGAAGTGGGACGTATGTGGCAGCCTCCTCTTCCTCTCCCCCCTCACTCTCCCGCGGTGGTCGGTCCTCCCCTGTTTGCAGCACGGCCATCACCCACACATCCTCACGGATGGACGAAGGAATGCAATCCACGCATTACTGATCAATCCCGAGGGTCTCCACCTCATCATCGTTGAGCTCCTGCTGCACATCTGTGAGTGTGAGCGAGGCAGCTGTGAGACGCTCCGTCAGCGCATCTCCTGCGCGCGACTCAGGCGGCAATGCACGCCACTGTGCGATGATGGCAGCACCGCGTTTGGCCTGCTCTGCAGCAGCTTCAGCAGCTGCCTTCCGTGCATCCTCCTCAGCACGTGCACGCTCTTCTCGCAGCTTCTCACGTGCCTCGTGCTTTGCGTGCGTTGACTGCACCGCGCTCACAAACGAGTCGATCACCACCTTCTTGAACTCAGGAAGTGCAGCTTCTTCCACCCCGCTTGTGAATGAAGCCTTCGCGCCAGCGAAGAATGAGTCCGCCAGCTCCATGTATTCAAGGTCACCCGAATCCAGCATGGCCTGGGCACCTTGCACTGCGGCAAAGGAGCCAGTGATCATCTCCATGATCTCGTCGTCACTGACATCCACTGTCTTCTTCCCCAGTCCAAGGGCACCGCCCACCATTCCCAGCATGCCCTGCTGCTTGGTCGGCATGACCTTGCTCAGATCAAAACGTTTCACACGGCTTTTTGCTGCGGCAGCATCTGGGACTGCAATCTCCTTCGTTGCGTCGTCAGCCAGCGAGATGTCGCTGATGATGTCCGTCTCATTGATGTCTGGAGCGGCGAGGCTCCGCATTTCTTTGGGCACAGCTTCCCGCTTTGCTCTTATCTGGAGAGGTGTCGCTGTCTTGTCGATTGATCCTCCCGTGGCAGCAAGGACTTTCTTTATCGTGTCCTCATCGACTTTGGCAAGCGACACATGTGCAGCCAAGCGTTTGCCAAGGTCACTCCATGCGGGATGGGGCTTGGCGGCTTTCGCATCGGCGGGGCCGACACGAGCCCCCGTCTCACTGCTGTAGATCCCATAATATAAGGCGGCCAAGGGGGCAGCCGCCTTTCGCAAGGACTCGAGTCCGGACGCAGTCAACAGCGTAGACATGCTGCCACCTGCCATGCTGCGACGTAGAAGTGCCGACGTAAAGGGGTGGACCAAGTGCAAGATTGGTAGAGAACCCTTCAAGAGTTGCAGGAACAAGCGAGCCTGAACTTCTGTGTTGCCGAGCGCGAGGATGCCTAGCGCATCCATTTCAACCACGCGTTCGACAGTGCGTGTCACCCCACGTAGTTCGGATGGTCCGCCCTGGAACCTGGGCGGCTCCTCGAGGGCGCATGGGAGGACTGCCCACGCAGCCATATCCATGCCCTTGTCTGCCGTGTAGGGGATGACAGCAATTTGCGAACGTTTCTGGCCATTGTTGGAGTCAATGTGTGCCAGGACTTTGAACGCGTAGGGCGCAATCAAGACCTTGGCAACGGAGTAGAACTTTTGCCTCCCTTCAGATCCACTGATATCAATACCAAAGAGGCTGGCGGCACGGCTGACTGTTTTGTCTACCGCCAGTAAAGGGCTGGCCTTTTGGCATGGCCATACCGCCGAGGGCATGCTTCCGGCAGTAGGCCAACGTCGTGAGCCGACTAAGCATCACGAGGCCAAGATTCACGACATCCTCTGTGAGCGACTGCGCCACAGCCAGCCGGCTGAGTGCAGTATCGTTGCGCACCCCTGAGTGCGCGTCCGAATTGACGTTGGATCGGTCGATGATCAACGGGTTGTTTGCGTAGCCGAGCTCAGCAGCGAGTGTGAACGCAACTGCTGCGGCTTTCGCAATGGAGGCATCGCGGCTAATGTGGTCGCGTGCTTTCTTCAAATTGTGCTTGAACGCGGCCCCGGTGAATTTCATTCTCATCATTGCGTTCACGTCATCTGCAGTGAGTAGGTGCGGAGCCTGGGGCTCGCGCTTGCCGTCGCAGTACAGCAACTTGACTGCCAGGGTTTTCTGGCTAGCACAAGCAGCCTGGAACGCCTGCGCATAGTCTTCAAGGTTTTGACTCGCGGTGATGTGTCCGTCTGTGGCCGTCTGCTCGTCCACAATTGTGTCCTCTGAGGCCTCAGGTAGCGATGGGATGCTTCCCATTGCAGCGAACGGCGCGTAATCAAAAGGGCAAACTTCAGCAAAAGGTGCTTGAGCCAAAATGGCGTCTCTCTCTCTCTCTCTCTCTCTCTCTCTCTCTCTCTCTCTCTCTCTCTCTCTCTCTCTCTCTCTCTGCGCGCGCTTAGACCCCCCGGCTGCCCCAAGGGGCGCGCAAGTCCAAAGAGTCAGTCGGTGGTATGGGCCGCAGTCTTCGCGGCCAAAATACTGGTCTCAAAATGGGGCGATGTCGGGGCTAACGCATAAGAACACAGTGATGACAGTCCTCCCCCTCTATGCTCCCAGAGATTCATGCCTCTCTCTCATCCCTCTTTGGCGCGGTTGCGTGTAGGTGTGGAGGCAAATCAGTCACAAATCAATATACCCTCATGAGTACGTCTGCGTCGTGAGTCCACGTCTTGCAGTGGATGGCCTGGTCGACGTAGCCCCCAGTTTTGATCCATCCGCTGGTCATCACTCCCGTCTGACGAAGAGAATTCCTCTGTGGGCTCCCTCATCGGCTGGTGATTGTGGTGCGTGTGTGTGATGGGGTGCGTGGCGAGGGGTGTTGGCCGCGCCGGATTGCTGTGGGGATGAGTGAGGGCGAGGGTTCCATGGGATTGTGTCCGGTGTGAGCCCCCCTTCTTCCTCCTCTTGCCCTGTGCTTGTGGTGCGCCCCCGGTGCTCCGCATTGTATTTTCAGCCACTCGTCGAGGGAGTTCAGCGCCTGGGCGGGCTGCTTCGTCTTGGGGACTAGCTGCGCCAGAATGCCCTCGCTGCGGCAATGTTGTTGTGGTTGCTTTGGTCTGCTGGTCGGTTGCGTTCGTATGGGGCCTGCTTTGGCTGGGTCTGAGTTCTGCTGTGACTCAAAAGCTTGCTGGCTTCTCCGGTGTGCGGCGGCCGGGGGCTTTCGTGGTTGTGTTGCAGAGCGAGGTGGTTACCACTTCGCCGCTATCACTACCTCCGGCTTGGGCTCGTCACTGTCTGCCTCCTCGTCGTGCTGAACCGCGTCCGCCGGCACCGCTTCCTCCTGGTTCTTGCCTTCAGGCGACAAGTCCTTGCTTCCAATAGTAACAATCGAAAGGAATCACAATTGAATGGAAGAAGCTACAGCTATGACAATGAAAAGTACAATAACAATAACAACAATAACAATAACAATAACAATAATAATAATAATAATAATCCTGAGGATAGGTATGATCGACAGAGACAGAGACAGAGAGAGAGAGAGAGAGAGAGAGACGAAGAAGAGATTATCAAAGTGGTAGCAATGTGATTGATAACAGTAGTCGTTTTGCTGTTGATCATTGCTATTTTGATGGTATCAAGTCTGATTTTGATGTTTCTGATACCTTCAAGATTTTTTTCAGTCCTGTGTGATGCACTGCATATTTATATCATTGTCAGTTGTTGTCTTTGGATGCATAGTGTATTGATGTTGATGAAGAGTTGATATTGGCAGCGACTTCAAGAAATAAATGAACAATATATATCTTTTTCTTGACAAAAAAATAGCAATGTCTGATGGACACCAGATAACATGAAGACAGCAAAATTCTAAGCTACCCTTGAATTTATCAGTTTGTTTTTGCACAATATCTTCTTCATTTTATCTTAATGTTTAAATATTTACCAATGAATTTACTCGATTTTGGAATGTCTTCTGCTTTGGTATTTGCCATTATTACTGATACTGTATCATTAAATCTATTATAATCATTCTTGTCATTCTTTTCACTAGTGTCATTATTGCCATTATTACTATCAATATTACTGCCATTATCATTTCTATTATCAATACTAGTCTCATTACGATTAATTGGAACAATACCATTGCTATTATTTCTATTATTATTCCTGTTATTGTTACTGTCATTATTGCTTCTGTGAGCAATCCTATTATTATCACTATGGGTGACGACAACTTAATTTTATGCCAAATATCACATGCGTCAATACTTACTCTCGTTGATACCAGTGATTAACTCCAATTGAACGCTTAAAACCTATGTCTAACACCCATGTTGCTGCCTTTACAAAATGTCAAACATGTCAATATCCATCATTCCAATGGATTTGTGGGATAATGAAAGAGTGGAACAATTGAAAGGTAAAGAAAAGAACAAGCAAAGCAAGCATTAGAAATGAGAAATGATGATAATAATACTGAAAATCATGATAATAGTAATAGTGAAGAGAACATAGAAGAAAAATATCGTGTAATATTAGGTACATTAAAAATTCATATTGATTTTGTGCACTATTATTATAATTGTTGTTTTTTTATTATCATTGTTACACAGTTTTGCTAATATATTATGATATATTCTACTTTCACTTCTATTATTTACGAAATTTAACTCAGTAATATTATATTTACTATTTTTATGGCACGTTGCCGCGCCTGTTCGGCTGCGCCGAGCCGCAGCAGTGGCGGGTCCTCCTTCTGACATGCCCTGTAGAGCTTCTTGAAGCGCTCCTTCGAGACCACGATGTGGTCAGAGCTGCCTTTCCGCATGTCAACGAAGACGATGACAAACGGGTGGCGAACCTTGACTGTGACAGGGCCGGCTGGCAGGGGCGCTTCTTCCGCCGGGGGCTGGCGCTCAACCTCCTCCTCCTTCACTGCCCGGGCGTGCTGCCTTCTGACCTTACCGAAGGCGATGCCGCAGGTGTGGCAGAGTTCCGTCTTCTTCGAGTCGGAATTCCGGAAGTTGCCGCATGTGTGGTGGTTTACGCACGGCACGCTCTTCGCCTTCGCCTTCGCGGACTGCTTGGCGCCTCCCTTCTTAACCCGGTTTGCAGCCTTCGGGGCCATGGCGCTGCAAAGGTGCCGGGAGACGGGGGGGCTGGTGCTTTTGCTTGGGCCAGGTGCTTGAGCCAAGAATGGTTACCTCTCTCCCTCTCTCCCTCTCCCCCCCCTTGTTCTTCTTCTGCAGGGCTTGAAGGACAGGCAAACACGCCCTCCGCGCACGAGGCGCGCCCGGTCCGTGATCCAGTCGGCGTGAGACATACAGCCCCGATGAAAGTTTCCCCGGACCACCCAACATCGTACCCTGTGTAACTACCCCCCCACTACTCTCCCCCCCTCTCCCCCTCTCTCTCTCACTCTCTCTCACTCTCTCTCACTCTCCCTCTCTCCCTCTCCACCTAAACCCCTCTCCCCCTCTCCCCCTCTCTCTCTCGCTCTCTCTCCTCTCTCATCCTTCCTTCCTGTCTCTCTCCCTCTCTGCACTCTCTCTCCGTGCCATTAAGGGTGAGTCTCAATCGTTCCCAACCCTTTTCCTCCTCGAAGGCTTCCATGTGTGGCTTCTTTCCTCCAGATGTCGGAACACTTCTTCTGCCTCAGCAACTTGCCCTTTGATCGCAAGCTGGTTGAGCGTTGTCAGCTCCGCTACGCTGTGGCTTGGGTCTGCAGCTGTACGGGACGTACAGAGGCCGCGCAGCAACGGCAACAAGGCATTCGTGGTGCGGTGTTCAAGGCATCCGAGATGGTTTCTACGCCCCTTTGAGGTCCACAAACGCCTCAAAAGCATCGGGCAATGACCATCTCTGCCAGCTTCTGAAAATATGAGGCGCGCTTTCGAGGCAGAACGGGGTCACTTTGCCCGAACCGCCACATCGTGTCTGCAGGACTATCTTCGAGATTCCGATACACTGCTCTATTTGGGGGTGCCCGGGCTACCCTCCGTCACAAAAAGCGGCTGCAAAAAGTGGACATGCCAATGACTCGGAAAAACATCTGAGGACAGCCTTGGCAGCGCAAGCACTTGCTTCTTTTTGCCATCAGCGGACGACTCGCGTGGCTTCGCCAAGTACCGCTAGTCTGTGCCGCCAGCCTTATTTCACCTGCCCAAGCTCTGAGGAAGCGGTTTGCAATTAGCACATAGCCACAACTACAACATGCCCATCGCATGTGCTAATCGCCTTCTTGTTGGTTAGAACGCGGATGACCCAGGCCGTTGGGAGAGCCTTCGGCCTTAGAGTGTCGTCGCGGCGAAGAACTTGCACCTGCCAAATGTCCACAACAGCTGCCCGCACATTTCAGGCATCGAAAATGGAGAGATTCGGCCTGGGTGCGTCCACCCCCGTCTATCTGAAGCACCTCTGCTCGGACAAGATCTCCTCGCACCATTTGCCTCTTTGGCCCCGCAGTCGATGCGCACCGAATGCACACTGAATGCACACCGTCACCACTGCTTGTGGCTTCCCAGCCCCGAATTGCAGCCAGGTCTCTCATTCTTCAGTGCGGCATAGACCTACCACAAGCAGCCACGTGCCAAGTTAGCGCTGCATACCGTTGCTACAACAACACCCTGCGCCAAGCTGTAAGCCAGCATAGCCTGACCTCCTCTGCAGTGGAGAGCGGCCGCAGCATCAGCATGGTCACGAGCTTTGGTGGCTTCGGCTTGGTTCCTGCGTATCCGCCCGTTGAGGAGCCACCAGGCCTTGGACCAAACAACGCTGAGAACGAACAGCTGAGACTGGCAGAAAGAATCCGATCAGCCTGCACCCTGCCTTGGCACACTTTCCAGGCTGGAAAAATCGACCACCGGGCAGCAGAAGATAGGCTTTCGGCGATAAACTGCTTGAGAAAGCACCTCCACATTGCAGTCTTACTCGCGCTGCGCTCCCGGCAAAAGTGTCTTCCAGTTTTCAGCTTCGCCTGCCTGCAGGACACCCGTAGAGCCATAGACATCCAGTACTTTTTGGCCCAAAAGTTTAACCTGCTCCTCAACCTCGGCGGTAGCGCTCAATAACGAAACGGAAGAAGAACCTCCGCCGTCCTCATAGGCCAGCACGCCTGCAACATGTTTGTTTGCTTTGCAGACTTGTGAATTGCCGATACCTGCTTCTTGCCCATGCCCATGAAATCCATGTGCCTTTGCGCTTCTGCTGCCAGAGCCACAGCTCACTCCGAGCGGACACGGGCACACAGGAGCCTCCCAAGGCCGCCTGCAAACTTTCCCGGGGGGGGGGGGGAGTTAGTTTTGGGGTGGGGCAAGAACAGCTCTCAAAAACAAAGAGGGGCCCCCTAGCAAATGGGCTCCGTCAGTTGACCGCGAAATCTTCGCATATCCTCGCATCGCTCCTGCACGCGGGGGATGTGCTCGGCTGCTTCCGGCGTGTCGGCCTGCAGGCATTACGTACTATGTACTAAGTTTAAGCATGTCTGATCATGTCTAGGTTGCATCACGGTTCGATCCTTGCCTTGTTCAAGGCCACAACAATGGGGAAGCGGACTCTTAAGAAGCAGGCCACAAGCAGGTGGAGATCGAACTCGCCCCATTTCAAGATGTCCTGCGACGGAAGATGACGGGAAGGGACAACAGCGTGCTCGCAACCTGCACGCTACCCATGGCTTGTCCTCCGCTAAGGTTGGCAAGCTGTGCCCTGTCGCTTCGTAAACTTGAGCAGCCAGTTGCTGAGAAGCTCGATAGCCTCCGCAACTCCAACAGGACGGCAGACCCAGCCCATACAAAGTCCAAAGTGTACATATGTGTACGCTTTGGCTCAGGCTCCAGCCAGTGAACAAGGCAAACAGCCGCTCCGCAGCGAGATCCCGCAAGGAGGAATTGAGTTTGGCCAACTTGGCCTTTCTTCGCACTGTATCCCACTTGGCCCGCACATTGCCTCAAGTATTAAGTCCAAAGGCTTCTGCAGAATGCGCCCAGGCGCAGCAGCAACTCCCCCAAGCACAAAGCCTTGAATCCGACACTTGCAACTCCAAGAACCTCAATAGCACATTCAACAATACAAGCCCTTGTGACTTGTGATAGTGAAGCCTGAAGCTGCCTCAATCACACTGAAGGCCCTAGTCCAAGCATCTCTACACCTAGGCCAGGGGCTTCCGGCAGCTGATGGCAAGTTGCAAAATATCCACAAGTGGATTTCTCGGCGCACCCAGCCAATTTCATCCAATGGATCCGTCACGGCAGTCTTGCCCTGGGCTGATCAGAGGTAACAACGTAACACCGTAACACCTTTGACCAGCTAAAGTGGTTGCCTTGCCATGTCCAGGCAAGACTCCGCAGAAGTGCCCTGATCAACACCTTCAGAGTCACTTCTACCACTTGCATCCACGACGTGAATCAGGCTATCCGCGTCACAGAGGTCGTTCAAGAAGGCATTTCCGCGTCCGCGTCCCATGTAGGCACCTGCCCAGATCCAAGACCCAAAACAGCTGAAGGCATGTCAGAGAAACAGGCGGCAAAAGCCCTGGCAGACCCCAGCGATGTGCAGGGAGACAGGAGGGGAGACTAGCAGGGAGATGAGGGAAGACAAGCCTCCAAAACCCCGACAGAACCCCCCCAAAAAAGGAGACTTGAGCAAAAGACGAAGCCTGCAGATTGAGCCCACTGGATGCGAGCCACCGAGCCACCGGGGGCGGAGGCCACATGAGGGAGACAACGGGACCCCAGAAAAACGCACCAAATCCTTGCTTTACGCCAAAGACAACTTTCACCAGAATGTCGGCAATCTGAAAATACATTGACTAGAAGAACAGGACTCCGCAGTACACTGTTGGAGGAATACATTCAAATAGATCAGAAGCATGGGAAGCCGCCTGGGACAAGCCCAGCAACATCCTTCACCCAGAGAGGGAAGCGACGCTGACTCTTGTCAGCTCTGCCATATTCGGGTTCACACTCGTCCTGCACAGAAGGTCCCACAAGCCAAGGCCGGCTACAACCTACCGCGCGATTCCGGGGACAGAATGCGCAAATCTCCTGGCAGCCCAGTTCCACAGAAGGGCAAGGGGCCGCGAACCAGCCCGCGGCGATGTTGGGGTCGATGGTGGTGAAGGGATGCCTCAATCTGAGAATCCCAAGCCCTGGGTGCATGAAGTCCCTCGCTGCAATACATTGGGACCGCCTAAAACCTGTTTTAAAAGGAAGTGACCAAGACGCGGAGCCATAGCTGCCTCCTTGCCTGCCCCTTCCGGGCGCGTGGCGGCGTTGAACAATGTTGATTTGCCAGCCGAGGGCTTTCCGACCAGGCCAATGATAAATTCCCAGGCCTTACCATAATTTCCAGCTCCGCACTGTCGCGCCCAGGACTTCTCTTCGCCACCATCAGGCAGCAAGCTGGCGGCTTTCTGCTCCGCCTCAGCCAGAAGAGTTTCATCCACCTCGGTCTCGTCACGCAGCCACCACTTGTCAGAGCCATCTTCGAAGTCCTCCGCCTCATCCTGCTCATCTGCTTTCTTGCTGTTCGCGTTGTCTGCAGTCCGTCCAGTCACCTCCGCCTCGTGCTCGGAAATCCACTCTTGGGCTGCATGAACCATGGCCATCACGCTTGGAAAGCCCAGCGGCTCCCGCGATGCCTCCAGCGTGTCTAGAAGCTCCCGCGCGTGCGCTTGCAATCCCAGGTCACGGGCTTCTAGCTCGCAGAGACACGAGGCCTGTTGCGGGTAGCCTGGAGGAAAGAGAAATCTCAGGGCAGCAAAGCTGTCCCCATTCTGGAGCCGAATGGCAAGACGCACCGGCCACACAGGCCTCAGCAAGCATATCTCGTCCTCCCCGAACATGGCACAAAGAGCCTCCACCTCATCTTTTTGCTCCTGATTTACCCTCTGCTCATCTTCCATATCTGCGGCACTGGCTCTGCCGAACCTTTCGCGCGACTCCTTCAAGCGGGCCTCCAGAAACGCTGCGAGGCCACGAACATCCTCCGCGCGTTGTGGAACCGAGTGTCCACCGTCGTGTTCAATCACCTCAGGGCCCTCAAAAGCCCCGGCACAGCGCAAGCTGTCGGACAGCTGCACGACCGTGTCTTGTGCAGATGCGAAGTGCAAGGACTTCAGTCTCAGTGGTGTCGAGCTCATCGACCCTGAGGGGGGCGAGGGCGCCCCTGCAAGGACTGCAAAAGCGAGCTCCGAGAAGAGCGGCCTTGGACAAAGCATGAAACAAGATGGACATTCATAGTATTTCGCATGCACACACACACACACACTATTTGTTTAATAGTCTAACTGACTTATGCGCGAAAGCCTACAGCAGTTCCCCTAGAGCTGTAACCGCATGAAAGGTTACAGGCGCAAGCAACAGTAGGATATAACCAAGCCATTTCGGTCATATACAATACTCTAGAGATAAACAAACAAGCACGACGCATTACAACTGAAACAAGAACGTACGGGCTTGAACCTAATTGGAGCATTCATAGTATGAAGGTTTTCACAGGAACTACAAGTGATGGCTGACAAGTTGCGGAAAGGCAGAATAGGCATTCTTGAAAAACTGAGCACGCCCACTTCATACAGCAAGCAAACGCGTGAGACCACAAGAGCATGAGTCTCCTGCAATATGTCTTTTTGAAGGCTCTAGGGATTGCAACTACATTGTGTTCGGGCTACTGCGTGGTATTTTGTCGGAATACACAAAGGGTTTCACGACTCACAATCGAAGAAAAACCCTTGTTCATGTAGTTCCAAATGTGAGTTCAGCGTTGAACTTAAACCAAGCTTGAAAACACTACAGCTTATGAAGGTTGAGAAAAACAATAGCAGAACCCAATTTAATTGAGTGCAGGATACGTCGTGATCTATTCAGACATATTAAACCTGAATCCAGGTTGACTCAGAAATGTCGTGTATTTATCGGTGTCATAGCCTCAGTTATCTGACACTCAACAACACAGGTTCAGCTTGAACCTATGTTCAAATTCTTGAGCAAGTGCGGAAAATATGCTGAAGGATGGTGTTTCACAACTGTGGAAACACTTGTCAAGCACACGACATTATTGTAACTCATATATGGGCCGTTTTCGAAAAAATCGCATGACCCAGAATTCAACTTCCAGCCGACACTCCGCGCGCAATCGAACTCCATACCCGCCAACCCTGTCGGACTCCCGCTCAGGCTTGCTTTGACTTCAGCATCCAAGCTTGAACCTTGAAGCCCTATACAGAAGGGAGGTGTATGGGGCACCAAGTACTGGTATTCTTGGTTTGGGAGTCGGCGTAGGAGCTGAACGCTTCAATGGTTCAATGGTTTTATGGCTTCGGGAGTCTGACTGTATGGCCGCCCGAATCAGGTAGCGTAGGAACCGTTGTAGGCAGCAACCCGTAAACATTTTTGGATGTATGAATGTACTTCATGTATCCATCTATTTACATTTCTTTACGTCTTCCCTTGAGCTGGAACGGTGCTCTCTGAATCCCCCAGAAACCAACCCTCTAACTTCAAGCGACGGCACGCCGCATCGATCTCCTCGGCCCAAGAGTGGCTCAGAAGCACCCATTCCCCCAAAGTGCACAACAGTCTAGGGTGTTCATGGAATGCCATGGTTTTAGCCGCTCACATTGGGACAAGCCAAGCGAGGTAGGTGCATACGGCTCCAACCAGCACTAAGGTTGAGGATCTAGGTTTAGGGGGGCTTAGGTATGGGGTTAAGCATTCTGCTACTGTTACGTGCTTCCTCGAAAGGCTTCAATTTCATGCACGGCTCGGGGAGTGTGTCATTCTGCCCGGCCCATTGGCAACAGAGCAGCGCTGCAGCCGCTCCCTCCGAGAAGCCCAGAACGCCATCGAATGGGCCAAGCTCCATCCATGCTCGTGACAACACCTTTTGGACAGGTCGCTCTCAAACCGACCAGCAGCAAGGTGCTCTGCTTCTACGACCAGCCTCACGCACAGCAGCGTCATCCGATCTCGAAGCACCCTCTGGCCACCAAGCTCTCCTGACAGCATTCGTAAACTCCAATTGACCCTGGCCCCAACTTGCCATTGATTCAATGGAAAACAACGCTCACCCCAAGCCCCCACTCCGGTGTACACCAGGACCCACACACCGCTCATGAAGCCTTCTGCTTGCAACTCAGTTTCGTGTTGATGCGCTCCCCGTGCTGCAAAGGTAGCTCAAGTGGACCATCCACAAACCTAGGCCAGGGTGCAAGTGCCACTGCAACTCAGGAAGGTACTGACATTCTACCAATAGTTTCCGTCCCATCCGCGTACTCACTGCAGACTCGCGGCACGAAATCGGCGAAGCTGGCTGACTTAGCCACTACGCGCTCAAGCTTCCTCTCGAAGGTCGACGCTGTCTGGCAGCGTCCGTGCAGACAAAGTACGCGCAGCTTGGGCGCAGAGGCCACATATGGATCCATGGCTCCATGCTCTGATGTTCTTTGAGGTTGTTTTGTGTTCCTTGATGCTTTTCGCTGAATCAGTTTCAAGCCTTTGGAAGGGCGGCATGTTCGATTGAACTGCAAAGTCTTAAGTTTATCCACCTGTTATTTTTACAGGAAAGGTCTTAAAGCATGACTTGCCGACCTGACACTGGGGTGGCAGTCCAGAACATGAGAGAGAAGTGACGCTTCTTTTGCACTTTGGGGAAGTCATCGTAGGTCCCAAGACAGGTGTTCGCATCGGGGTGTGTAGCCGCAAAGGGCTGGTGTTCGAGCTTGGGGATGTCTAGCTGTTTAGGGGGGTCTTGCTTGAGCACCCGAGCCGTCTACATGTTGGCGAAAGGACGAAAGGGAGCCTAAAGGGTTTGTAAGTAAGGCGGGGGCAGGCGTGAGAGCGCCAGCAGGCTAAGTCACCCCGACCACGAGCCATTCGAAAAAGCCAAAAAGAGCAGGAGCATGGCAATGTCCAGAATTGTTTTGGGGGCATGTAGGGTCTCGTTTCATGGGATGGAAATCCACATGGTGTACCCGGAGAGAAGTGAGCCGCAAGCGTATCAGTGCCCAAGGAATGGATGCCATTGAATGGCCTACGATGACGTAAGATGACATGAGGCTACGGATGCACAATCACACCCGAGGAACCCCCATGTGAACGGTATGCTCTTGGAGTATGGACAAGCCTCTACTGCAAATTCACGGAAATCTTTCCCTGACCTCGCGATCGAGGACTTTGCGAGGTGAAACGAACAGGTGACTTTGACTTTGTGGGTCGCGCTGCCTCGGTCCAACGCGCAGGACTCGGGGAGCGATCTGTTGCCCAGTCTCCCAAGATGTCTGCCTCCGTGACCTCGAAGTACCGTGGGCTCGATGGGGATCTAGACGAAGGGTCTGGGCTTCGTGAACGCCAAGTAGCGGGGCCATTCAGGTTTCGGTCGCGCACTGGCCTGGAGTGATCTTCCGGGATACGCGCAGGAGACTCTGGCCGGTCGAACTCGAGCAGTTTCGCGGCAAGGGAATTCTTTGAATGTTCCTGCTTCAGAGCCCTTGCAGGAGACCTCGCTGGCCTCGGAGACCTCACAGATCTAGGCGGGGACTTCGCAGCTCTGGACGGAGACGGTGATGCCACACTACCAGGGTGAATCTCCTTGTCTTTGAGAACTTCAGTCACGGCACTTTCGCGCAACTCATCGGCTGCAAAATGATCCTGCATGGATGTGAGATACTGCCTCAAGTCAAAAGTCAAGTCTTCCCGCTGTTGTCTTGCCTTTTGCAACTGGATGTTCAGCTGACGAACCTGGTTGCTTAAAGAAGCCTGCACAGCGTCTTTCTTGGCAAGTTGCGATGACAAGTCGTTAACCTCGCGCCGCAGCGTCTGAATCTCGGATTCTCGGTCATGGTACTGTTGCCGTGCAGTTGCCTCCTGGCGCTTGGCAGTTGTAAGAGCGGCCTGCCTCTCCAGATCTGTTGCAGAGTAAGTGGCATCCCGATCCTTGAGCTTTCGAGCTGTGGCACGCGCCGCCGCAAGTTGCTCGCTTAAGGCCTTTTCCCTCTCCCGGAGCCTTCGCACTTCCTGCTCCTCATTGAGGAGGGCCTTTGCAAGGCGCTGCTGCTCATGCAGTGGCAGCGATGGCTGCGAAGGCTGTGAAGCGGAGCTAGCATCCTTGTCGCCTTTTCCCATGCTTTGCAGCTGCAGCTGCAGCTCCTCCACATGCTGCAGGAGCCTCCTGTACTCCACATCTGTGCTCCAGATGGCAGCTACTGCGTTCATCGCCGCCTCTGCCACACGGACGGCAGCAACTGGTGCATCGGCCAACATGGCAGGTGGCATTGGCCACGGCCGATTGGAGGCCACCGCCTGGGCAAGCTCTTCGGACCACCTTTCCCAGCCAAGACAGAAAACCTCTTCAGCATCAGCTGCTTCCGCAGCTTCTGCTTCTGCGATTTCAATGTCTCTGCGGTCGCCCTGTCCTTTGCCGTGGGCTGCGCAGGCCACGTGGGCCGCGTGGGCATGGGCCGCGTGGGCCGGTCTCGCACATTGGCTTGACTGGCTTGACGGTAGCGGCATCTGGCAAGGCCGCTAAGATCATGTACGGCGATGGACGTGCTGTAGTAAGCATGGTGTGCCACTTGCGGTTCTTGATGATTCTGTCTGGTTTGTTGGATTCTGTTGGACAGCTGCGAAGCTCAGTCTCGGCTGCGACGCATTGTGGCCCCTCCAGTTCTCCGGCGGAACGTGAGTGAAGTCATGAAAACAAACTCAAACATCTACTTCTGATGATCTTTGCTTGCGCAAGTGCACAATCAGGTGAAACTGAAGAGGACAAGCGTCCCGGGGCTATCTTTGGGTTGTCAAGCCAACAGCCATCTCAGCATCCTGCTGCGTATGGGGGTCGTCTGAAGCTTTCTGCAACCTCCTTTTGTGCAACCTGGGTCGCAATGGCAGCTGCAGTGTGCAGCCCGGGCTGCACCGCTTCAAGACCCGCAAAAAGACTTTGGGGGCATGGCTTTGATCGTTCGTGCTTGTCCTTGACTTCGGCAGATGCGAAGAAGCGATTGCCTGATGAGCCGGTGATATCACAAAAAAAACTCCTCCAGAAAGGGGGAACTCGGGGACTCTTAGATGGCGGCAAGCTATGCAGTAGAACTGGCCCATACCAGGCCTGGGTCTCTGTGCGTGTTCAGTGGTCAAGCAGCTGACTTCCACAGCATCAGCACCCTAGTCACCCTAGGTGTCATGCAGGTCTTCGTCACGTGGAAGCGTGCCAGGCTGAAACTTTTGCGGCGCCTGAGGTGTCAGGGTTCCGTCTCGTTTTTCATCAGATGCCACGAGAACTGCATGCACACAGTGCCTTCAAGTCTTCATGCACTTGATCGATGTCCTTGCTGCGGCGTTTGGCCGCGATGACTGATGGCCTGTTGCTACCAACATTTTCAACTTCAAGCGCTGCCACTGCAAGCACATCCGCTTGGCCTTGTCTTTTTGTTCTGATTCTTGTGCTTCCGGCCAGTGTGCTTGTTCCCCCGCATGGAGGCCTCCTTCAGACGTGTCACCAATGCCCATGATTAGAAATTTGCTCCTCAGCAGCAACCAAAGCAAAATCTGCTACCTGCGCAGGGTGCAGCGGCCCACAATGCTAAGTCTAAGCGAAGTCTGATGTTCGCGCTTCGCTGGGGGCACAAAAATAAAGCTGCGGACATTCACAGTACCCCAATACTTCAGTACCCCACAGGGGCTGTCTTAGTCTGAAGCTTGAATTGCACCTGCCTGCCCAAGCCGACGACTTCCCCGCGGCAGTTCTGCGAGCGTCTTGTGTCGAGCGCGCTTGCATTTAGCAAGCCAACGGATCGCCATACCTGTTTTTGGTATAGCTGCCGCCTGCTTTGAGACGCAACTTGCACAGCATTAATTAAAGCGAATTAGGGTGCAGCACAGCAGGCAGACATCACCATCTTGTCCTCCGTTTCCTGACCCTCCACGCTCACATAGCCACCAGTTCGACTCAGCAAGGAGGGCGTCACCTCTGGTTGCAGCTTCTTCCTGGCGCCACATGCGCGCTGGAGGAATGGTGTTGAAATGTGTAGAACAGCCAAGTTCTTGGGGTCGCCGGCACCGGAACCCTTTTCGCAAACCCTTGACTCTGATGCCATCGTCTGGAAAAGAAGTCGACTTCGGTGGGTTCTTAGCTAGCAGCTACTGAGCTACTGCTCACGTGAAAGTGCGTTCCACGCGCCTGTCCGGGACCAGAACATGGACCCAAAGCCATAGGACTGCCTCCAACATTGACAGGAACCCGAACACAACGAACAGAATACCTCAGTGTTGTCAGGGTCGCCCAACACTGTCTCCGCTGCTGCAGGAACCAAGCTTTCTTCAATTTCTTCATGCTGCCAAGGCACCGCTCCACCTTGCCGCATCCTCGAAGTCTTCGGATATCACGGCGCCATCAGAACTAAAGATATGGCAGGATTCCAGGCCCTGCACCACGCACTCTCATTGGGCCATCATTGAATGCTGGCTGGCACAGGCTTGCGTTTTGAAGGGGGCAGCTTGAACGAGTAGAAAAACTGTAAAAAAAATTGAAAACAAAATTCAACGTCAAAACTATAGTATCGGAAACTGTCGGAAACCACCGAATCGCAACCATCACAGCCCACTACTGCCTTCAAGGCGAAGTCGAAGCAGAAGTACGCCACGGCCAGCATTGGAATGGAGCACATGACCACCAGCACGCACCAGCCCAGCCAGAAGGCACAGTTCATGAGTCTGGGGCTGACACCACAAACGGTTTTGGAACAACCCCAGAACTTGTCGATTTCGTTCAGGATGCAGACCACCACGTGCCCCACCACAACGCAAGCCTCGGGTTTGTCTAACGCGTTCTTGGTAGGGAAGTACGGAACTGGGTACCCCAAACCATCTAAACGCTCATGTTTTTTGTAGTTGTAAAAAGAATTGGGGGGATACAAGGCACGACCTCCTAGGGGAGAGATCTGCTCGGGGGTTCTGCAAAAAGTGAGGGCCGCTCCCCACTGATTCTTGAGCCTGGTCTCGAAGCCAAGCTCTGGAACATACCTCGAATCGTCGAAGCACCAATTCTGGGCTAGTACAATCCTCGTTTTTGCGAGCCCCAAAGTTAGATAGATCAACCCTCGTTTAGCATAGGCGTCGTGCCCTCAAATCCACGCCTGCAGGGCGGGAGCTGTGACATGCGCTGAGGCCGCAGCGCCATGATGATGTGTCCCTTGCGCCACACGATCAGGAACATGACGCCGCGCATGGCCTGCAAACTGCAGGCTGCGCCCTCTGGGGCCAACAACATGGCAAAAACGAAAGTAGGAACAAAAGCTCAATTGTGCCGAATGTTGCCAACTGCACAAGAAGCCGGGCCTGCAGCGCCAAGCAAAGCATAATGGACATCCTGAGCGATTGCAGCTGACTTCCGGGGCTCTAAGGCTCTGTTCCAGTGGGCTGTGGAAATGGCATTTGAATGGCATTGTCGTGCACAGCCTGTACCAAGGAATCCGATTTCGACCCAGCAGCATTTTCACTCCGAGTCCCTCCAGATGCTTGTCGCATCGAGATCGGGTGGACGGTAGCCCTTAAACGCAAAGATTGCTGGCAGCACTTAGTGCAAAAGCAAGCAGGTGTGCTCCCTGGGTGCTGAGACGCAGACCAACGAAGTGGTTGGAAACTTCGTGAAGGTTGCTGACCAGAAACTTGACCACGAGGACCATGATCAGAAGAATATTTATTGTGTCAAACTGCTTTTTCCGCTCGTGAGGAACTGATATCTGCTCATGGCGATGGCAGAAAGTAGAATGGTAAGAACTGTTCCATCTTTTGGCAGCCCTGGCGCATGAAGCCGTCTGCACCTTGCCACGAACGGACGCGCAGCGGAAAAGGAAAAACCGTCTGAAGGCAGGTGCTTGCAATTGGCAGCGCAAGCTGGTTTGGCACAGACAGACTGATCTGCGGGCCTCGCTGATTTTTCCCTCGAAGATCACCATGCTAAGGTACCTGTCCTGCACGCAAGCCCTCGAGATCGACAATGCTCCACGATAAAAGCCACAAACCCAGAGCTCTCAAAATTTGGAAGGCCCCAACGAGCTGTTAAGCGCCCTACTAGGAGCTTCGGCTTGCCGAAGACGAGGTGAGATTCAAGACAGGGCGACTCGACCACCTCGAAATCAATGTTGTGGGGTTGGCCCTGCGCCTGCCTGGGAGCAAGGAGAATAGCTGACACAGACGTGCGCCTGTTCGCGTGGTTTCAGTCTGGGTCCTGGCGACTTTCGCGAGGAAGTGCTCAACCATTTGCACCTCGCTCCAAGCCTTGTCCTTGCGTGAGGGTTGGGGACTGCCGCTTCCGCCAAAAAGATGCCAACAACTATTCGCGATGACGGGGCCTCCAAAGCCCATCCGTCAACCCTCCAACACACATTCACCAAACAACGCCCCTGGAAAACACTGAGCCGTGCGTCTGTGGCATGGGACCGCTAGCTCTCCTAGTCATGCTCTGGCCATCTCTGGCCGATTCCGGTAAAAAAGGGGGTGCACCAATTTTCGGAAGGACTCGAGAGCAGATGGCACGGTATCGATGTTTTGCTACGTTAATGGGGACATCCTGTCGATGCTTGTTGCTCCAGAGTTGATGCCGTCTCGTCTCATACGACTACCCTCATGATTATCGTGGGCAAAGCATCTCACCCACTGTTGGACCGAGGCCTTTGGGCTGGCCCCCCTCAAAGGGCGAGCAGTGAGGGAGCGAGAGTGAGGGCGAGAGCGAGAGCGAGAGCGAGAGCGAGAGCGAGAGCGAGAGTGAGGCTGACTCACTGACTGACTGACTGACTGACTGACTGACTGACTGAGTAGCGTTTCGGATCGAGCTTTTTGCATTGCTGAAGCCCCAGAGCTTTCTTAGAAAGCTGGACTGCGCCCCGGCGCGCAATTCCCCACAGCCCAACCTGGCACCATGAGGCGTCGGCAAGAGCCATGGGGCAATCAGGAGTTCTGCCTTGTCGACGAGTGCATTTCAGCGCCTCAGGGGCAGCATCGCTTCGGAACTCAGGCTAGCAATACAGGAAAGTACTGGATTGGCCGGCACTTTGCTGAACAGGGGTGGAAGCGTTGATGATGATGCATGGCAGCTATCCTTGCGGAGCAGTGGCCATCACTGGTGGTTGGGGGCCGCTTCCCCGTATTCTGCCGAATCGAGATCGTGGACGTGTGACTTCAGTGATGCAAGTGCAGCAGCCATTAGATCAGGCAACCAAGTCTTTGACGAGCTGGGAGGTGACATGATGGCGTCACGCGGCATCGCCAATTTGAAGGCTAGACTTCTGCAGATCTTTGTGGAGACTTCGGAAAGAATAATGCCCAGAACTTCGAGGCATCGGATTCTGAGCAACTTGAGGTTGAGACCGAGTGAGACCGTCATTAAGCACTGTTTCGACTGCGACCAGCTGAGACGCATCCCGACAGGACTGCAGTTGGGCGACAGTTGCGTGTTTCAAAGGAGTCGATGCTTTGCGTGGCACTGTGACCACGGACTGCTGGCATTTTTTGCTCAGTGGTATGTTACGTCACCTTGAACCCCCGGTGGCGAGTTTGTGGCTTGATGGGCTCATTTCAGCGGTGGCATATAGAGCCCTGGCAAAGTCACGACTGGCATGAGCACCGCAGGGCTTGTTCTAGATTCCTTCGTGAGTGCCCGCGGACGGCTTTGGCCGTGGGGCGCCGGCTCACTCCTCAGCACTTTTGTGCAGAATACCTTCGGGATCGCTGCACTTTCTGCTTCACCTGACTGCATACAGTGTGTGCTAGCTGCATTGGTTTCTGCGCCAGGCTGTTTTGCATGGCCCGTAATTAGGCAGCGGCGTACTCTGATCGAACGAAACAGAAACAGAAACAGAAACAGAAACAGACACTGACACTGACACTGAAACTGAAACTGAAACTGAAACTGAAACTGAAACTGAGTGACTGAGTGAGTGAAAGCTTCACCTTTTCCCAGAAAGGAGAAGGAGGGGCTAAAACAAAAAAAATGCACGGCGATCCTAACATCCTCTAGACTCTACTTGCCATGGGACATGACAATTGGCCGGTATTGGCCGGTGGCTCTGACACATCGGTTGCAAGGGAGGAGAGCAGCTCAGAGGAAGGGAAGACACATTGGCAGGGGCTTCCTCTCGTACTGTTGGGCGACTTCACTCATCCCATATACCACTCCAGCACCACAATATCCACACCAGTTCTTTCTTTCCCATTCTTTCTTGTGGCTTTGGGGGAAACCCCGTGCCAAGGCACGCCCCGCTACGGTGTCCTCCGGACACTGTACATACCTGCTCGGGGTCGAGGCCAGCTTCGACCCAGCTCAAGTGCCGCCCCACCCTGTCCCGCGCACTCTCATGCCGCTCCTCACAGTCAGCCCTTCAAGTCAACCTCACCTAACCTCTCCTCCCCCAGACACAACCCGACACGAAGCCCTTCCCCAACCCCCATCGAGCCCTCCGTTTACTCTCTCAAGCCAACCTCTGCTCCTCCAACCAGCACTTCCCTCGGAGGCCCTCAACCATTCCTTGACCCCTACTTGGGCTCAGAGGCACTCTATGCACTTGGCTTCCCCGTCGCGTCCACCGCTCAACTTCAGCATCCAAGTAAAGGCTTTTCCCCCACTAGCAGTAGTTGACACACGACTTCACTGTTTCGCCTTTGGCAGGGGTGCTATCGGAGTGGTCAGTCTCTCGGGGTTGCTCCAGGAGTGAAACTCGATGCATGGTCCCAGCTCTCTCGCTCTCTCGCTCCCTCGCTCTCTCGTTCGTCGTTCGTTTGTTATTTCTGACTTTCTTTATTTCCTTCTTTCCTTCCTTCCTTTCTTTCAGCGTCGAGGACCCTGCACGAGTAGCGTGCCAGAATCAGGGTGCGGTGTTCAACATACGGACAACGAGGCAGGATGCCCGGTAGGTCCCCCGAATCCACCCCCCATCTCGCACAACACCCTCTCCCCCCGGACTGGCTGCTTGGGGAACCTTTGCCTTTTGGGGGGAGGAAACTCGGAACACCCCCCTCCCTCCTACCTCCATGCAGCCCGGGCAACACAAGAGGGGAGCGATCGACGGCGAAAAGAAACAGGTTCTTCAAGGCACATCAGTCTGCAGTCTGCAGTCTGCGTGCACAGTCTGCACGTGTTTGCTTTCTCGTGGTTGAGAAGTGGTCTTCTGTTGGAGCAGAGCATCAAACCCCGGAACCACGGCCGCGATCTCTTTCACCACCTTCGGCGGAGCGCCGGCGCCATGGTGATGGCCCTCCGGGCCCTCAAGGTCCTCCGACCTTCAGGCGCTTCAGCACAAGTGCTCAAGACCATCAAGACCAGTTCAAGCAACCTAGCATGTCAATCAAGCTGTCTTGCGTGGCTCCGACCCTTCCAGCGCGTCAGCAATGGCTTCTGGAGGCCAATAGGTCACATTCCCACCCCGAAGCGGGTGCATGCACAAGTATTGCAGCTCCGTGGAGGCATTTTTCCCCAACATCGTATCCCATCGGTATGTCAAGACGTCCACAGTCGAGCAATTGTGGAGCACGACAGCACGAACTACTCCCGCAAATGGCGTTGTCATAACCTTGGCTTTTCATGTCCTCGCACCAAGCCACAAGAAAGTAGCATGAATGCGGCACGCAGCAACGCTTCACAGAGAAGCCACTGAGAGCTGCACGGGAACATCGGAAATGTTGCTGAAAAAGCCTGCTTCGGCTCCTCTTAACCACTCATTCTGCATGGTCCACGCCAGTTTTGTAGTCTGCCAAATGACCATCCTGCCACCGCAAGTGGGCAATCAGCTTTGTCGATTCTGTCGCACTACGTCGCACTACATCCCGAGTCTTTCAATGTCACAGGGGATGGACAAGATGCCTACGTCACCCGGTTGTTTGCATTTCGACTCGCACTTTAGGGTTCGGGGTTCGCCTGTCCCGAGACTTCCGAAATAAACGGGCTTGTCCTTTTCTGATGCTGCTGCGCACGTCTCCTATGCGACATTGATGGTCCCTCCAAACATTACGTATTTCCTACCAGGCTCCCTCAGGCAAGCGTCCTTCACAACACGAACTGCCCTTACATGCATCGCCGGGGATTGCCAGATTTGCCAGGATGGCCACAACAGATGAAGAGTCTTGCCATGACGTTGAATTACTTCACACCACGACCCAGCTGACAGCCCACACATCACTGGAGCAAGCAGGGTGGGCATGACTATTGGTGACAAATGTGGAACAGCAGCTGTAGGTCAGACCATGGGCAGTCATTGGAAGAAGGCCAACCCATCCGAGCAAACAAAAGGGTCAAACGAGTCTGAACAGATGTCACACTCGGAATGTGACAATCAGAAGCGTGCACATGAAAATCACCTGCTAGTTGTGAGGGCTGTCCGCTGTCGGTGGCGGGACTTTCCCTGAATATTTTTTGCCACGGGGCACTGGCAGATTTGCTCAGTTTCGGTTCTTCTTGAACACTGAGATAGACGAAAACATCCTCCTAAGTATCCTTTCACGGTAGAGGCTCGACGTCTTGTGCACAAAGGGCAACTGCCGGCTCTCTTTTTTCATTGCGCAACTCTTCTTACCTATTCTTTTCTCAAAATCCAGGCGGGCCCAGTGCTTTCCCAGCTAGGGTAAAGACCGTGCACGGCAAATGACACAAAAGCCTCTGACTGCCACCATCTGCTGAGGGCCCGGCCCTTGTGCAATAAGGACTAAATAATATACCTCGGAAGGACCGGCGGCCCCGCTTTCCGCGCATGCGTTCCCGCTCTCCTCTTTATCCTCTTTTGTTTTTTGTTGCAATCAAGCGGCAAGCGTGCTGCAATGCACCTCTGTCATGGCTCCTGACTTTCCTCACTCGGATCACTTGTGGAAGTACCACCGTGACATGCCATGGACGCATACTGAGTTAACCATGGGCAAGCTATGCATGTCACCGGGTCAAGTAACTGAGCTACTTGGAGCCTGTGCGCATGCTCCGCATATTTGCTACAGCCACATTCCGCGGAGACATCTCGCCGGTGTCCACAGACTGTCTCACGGCTGTTCAAGAACACTGTGTGTGTTGCCCGACATCTACACGGAAAACGGAATGGAACGAACAAAACAAAGAAAACCTCCAGCACCTTTGCTCACCGGATTTCAGCAGTGCCCGCTCTGGGGCAACTGTGTGCCGTGAATTTCGGGTGATGTATTGCACACTGCCCCCTGGGCCTGCGTAAGAACCGGTCATCTTTGCATCGCAGGCGCAGCAACACATCTAGATGTCCAAGCGGATGCAGAAAACAATCGTGGAGAAGGAGTTTCAGCCACGTGGCTGAATCAGGAGCCAGGCAGCCTGCTGAGCTTCGCAGCGGCTGTGCTGAGGCACCGCCATGTGTCTTGGGCCGATCTCCGGGAAAACCAGCGCACTCAGTTTTGAGTTGCAGGCGAGCACAAACTAGAAGCTGGCAGGTCAAGTGCTCCAGTCCGAAATTTTTTTGGCAAGTTCGACTCGTGGTCCGGCCAACTATCATGTTTCATTGTGAGACCGTGAGCATCAATGGGCCTTGCAATGGCTAATGGGCCTTGCAATGCCTGCACCATCGGCAAGTCTTTGGCCGATAAGCGACAGCTGCGCAAGCTGCAAGGCACAGACTTCAACAATCTTCCACTTGCGATTCCATGCAACAGGTCTTCTGCCGCAAAGAACCCAATGTGAGTTTTTTTTATCTCACAGCCGGCCAACTTTCTCACAAGTCACAAGTCGTTGTCACTTCACTCTTCCATCAGCAAAGCTGTCACCTCATGCATGGTAGACGTCCATCTCCTTTCGAGAAATCTGAATCCAAGGCTTCGACTCGAAGGGTTGCACCCGTGTGACCTCTCAGAGATCAAAAGGGGTTCTGAGACAAAACTGAGATCGCAGCTCTCCGCAGCTCTCTGGCCCGAGCGAGGACCCAAAGTCAAGTTCAGCAGCCCATCGTACCCTGCACGACGGAGTCATGGGTTCCACATGTCGCACAGTCTTCATGTAGCGAGCCCACCACCCTCTGGATAAATCTTGTCGCCAGGAAGAAACGCCTAGGAAGGACGTGCTGGTGCTTATGCCCTTGCATTGTGCTGCCAGCTGTCTCCCAGCAGCGCCCGCTGAGGGAGCAACTCGTCCTAGAAGTTCGTTGACTTTCGGCCTGAGAAGCAAGCTCGAACACAGCTCCTTGCACCTCAAAAACCTCGGGCCTAGGGAAGTCATAAGTCCGATGCGCCAGACGCTGGCCATCGGGTACCCAGCCTGCAGGTGCAATCTCAGAATGTCTTCTGGCAAAGTAGAGAGCTCATCACAGGCACAGCAAGTCGCGTGATTCCTTGACCGTCAACACTGTAGACTTGCAGGACAAGTGCATCTCCAGGGCTGTATCCTTCCAAGAGTCTCTCAAGGCACCCTCGAGCCGTGAACAACGAGCGTTTCCCGTAAGGTCCCGACCCGGAACTGTTCGGCTGCACCGCCACCTTCTGCACAGCTATTGTCAGCTGTTGTCTCCCAGTTGCGGAGGCATGTTCTGCCGAGAGGTTACGAAACAGGACTCCACGTTGCACTGAGGTTTGTTAGGGCGCGCGCTCTGGATTGAGGCCTTCGGCCAAGTCCTCATGTCATCTCATGTCTCATATCGAGAGAGACTGTATGCTGCTGGCACCCTCTGTAACTCCTTGATCGAAAATGAAACCTTAGGCCAGCTCTGTCGAGACCTGGGACTCCCTCTTCTGTGGTATCTCACAGGTGCAGTACCTGGCCGATCCACGCAGGCCCACGTTCTCTTCAGATCAGTCTCACGGGCAAATAATGGCAGATTCTGCCAGGGTACGCACAGTTCTGGCCGAACGGACTGGCAAGGCCTAAGCACGGAAGGCAAGATGAGGAGAGCATGTGGGCCGTCATGGGCCTTTTGATGGGGGCGTACTGTGGGCATGCTGTATGAACAAGGGGGGTCAAGCATAGGTCCTGATAGCACATGATAGCACGAGCCTGCTAGATGCATCTCCAGTTGTGCTGAAGCCCAAACGCCCCTAACGCCTCCACGCGGCGCCTAAATTGTTTCAAAGCTGTTGATACGGCTTTCGTCTGGCCCTGATGCCTGAATTCGGGGCTTTCCTGAAGCCGAACTTCGGCCTGCACGGCCTGCCCTGTGACGCCCACAAACGGCCTTGTGCCAAAGCCTATATTCGGTTCAACCCATGCCTTACGCTTAAAATTGGCCCGGGCCCCTAAATTCGGCGCTCCAATTCCCAAAAACCCTGATGCACTCCTGACGCCTAAAATGGTCCTGAAGCCTAGAGCCGGCGCTCAAGTTCCCACACCGCGAGAAATCGGCCCACGCTGAATCGACTCTTTTCGGCTGGTCCCGATCGTCTTCGGATTTTGAGCTTCCGGGGGCAGGAACGAAGTGCGGACCCCCTAATGTGGAGTTCACGAGTTTGGGGGGTTAGCAGTTTTAGGGGCTTGGGGTATAGCAAGATGGCTGTTCAGGTCTCGAACGGCGCTTGACAGCGCAATTTTGCTAGATGCATCTCGTGTTTTCGGGAAGGCCGGAGATGCTGCTGGCAAGAGCCCACAGCATGCCTCCATGTTCTCGTCATCCTCACCTGCCTTGCATCCAAAGAGGCGAGGTGGCTTGAATTCTAGGATGTTTATTGCGAGTTCCTCATCATGGTTGCCTGGTGACCGGTTCGCTGCGCCAGGCTTGGCTTGCCTTGCTGGGTGCTGTGGCCTCGGCATGTGCTGGAATGGGCACCTGGAGTGGCTTTGGAGAAGGAATCTATTTTATGAGCCAGGATCGCCTGAAACCGCAAAATAGGGGAAAGCCGACAGGACCGAGGGCCACGTCATCGTTGAGCAACCTGTGGTCATATCTTCAGGCCCGTTCTGGGCCCTCTGGCCACCGCAGCGCAGGAGCTAGCAATGCTCCGAGCAAAGGCCGGTGGCCCAGGAGCATGCCCATGCAAGCTATGTCGAGAAGACGACCACTCCCTGCACTCGGGAAACGAAGGGGCTGATGATGCACCCGCCAGACCAGCCACACTTCAGGTAGCGTTTTAAGGTTGAAGGGTTTCAGGGTTCTGGGGTGTGAGGTTTGGCTCCCGGGGGCGGAACCCGCCCCGCTATAGCATAGACATGCCTGCAGAACCTCCAACGTGCACAGCTTCGTGCTGGAAAACCAAAGGCTGCAACCAGTTGACTTTAGGGCGCGCCTTACAAGCCAAAGCCTCAACCCCCAACTTAAACCCTTCCACCAGGATGAGGACAGTAGCTACTGGTAGTAATAACGTTGACTGATGGATGCTGATGATGGAGAGATGATGCGGCGGAGGCTGTTCATAGATGTTTTTGAGCAAGGAGCCGAAGGCGCCAATTATCCTCACCTTGAGCTTCAACTGCGAGGCAGACGAGAGCGCCACCTTCGCCAAAGTTGAGCTACTAGTAAGGGTCAAAACATGTCATTGAAAATTGTCGCAACCAGTGCAACGAGCGAGCGATGGGCAGGCCTCGGGAAACAGCAAGACAGGCGGCACCTGCTTGCGTGCTCGCACCAAGGCTTCCACCTGGCCGAAGCTGCATCAGCAACTGCTTCTCGACCAGGCAAAGCTATGGCAAAGCTAGTCTACAGCAGCTTCCTGCTAGCGCCAGGCTTGGTAGTATCAACTCGAAGCACACATCGCCCGAGAGTGCAACCTCGCCTGTGTCTGGGTAACCGTGATCCATGCTGGGGCGACTAGATTCCTGACCCAGCATGCTCCCGTTCTGACTCCAAGCTCTTCATGAAAGGCAGAAGCGGCCTGCCACCACAAGCTCGAACCCAATCACGCTCCTCCAAGCTAAGCGGCCTGGTCAACGTTCCAAAATGCAGACGGGGCCACATTGTGATGCTTATGTCCGCCATTGTGAGGCACCAACATCTTCGTGTTTTCGTCCACGTTGGAAAGCCACTTGCGCGCATGTTCTGCCATCTGCACCTGGGTGCCAAAAGCAAGCATCTGGCTGCACAGTGGCACCCAGGCAGATTCTTGACAACCACCCCTGCTAGTCCTGGGGCTGCAGCTTCTTTCGAAAGTCTTGCAGCCTCGGCCAGGCACTTCTTTTCCTCGTCCTGAGCCTCCACGAGAGAGCGCACTGGAATCGGTCAGCTCTCTTCCATCATGTCTTGAGCCACCTGCCTAGCTTGCACCGCATGGCGCAACAACTTTTTGGCAGGAGTAGGCTGGAAGTACTTGCAGCCGCCTGCTGAAGCTGCAGGTTGAGGTGAAAGTGCCTTGGCAAGAACAGATATACCCCCTGCCGTATGCACCATTGAATTGGTCTACAGATGAGATCTGCACTCATTTGGCTTGAAGAAAACATCAAGTTCCACGGTTCCACCTCACGTTGCTTTTCCATCTTCGTGACAGCTCATGCGCGAAAGGAGCGGCTGCTCAGGGTCTTGCTGCCGCCTTGCTCGAGCTGCTCGACCTAAGTAATCTTGCCAACGGGCGCATCCCCTGTTGCTGGACTCGTGTGTGTCTCAATCCCCTGAGGTCTCAACCAGCCGACACCACTCATTTGGCTGGAGGCTGCCTTCAAGTCAGAAACTCAGCGGAATACCTGGCCCTACTTGCTTATGTCAAGCTACAGTAGCTGCGGACACACATAGACTCGTGCCAACACAAATCTGCCGCATAAAGTCGGGGCGGGGCCGATGTTGACTGATACTTTCCCGAGACCTGGTGCGCGAGCATTGAGTTCAGACGGAGTCTATGCAGATTAGGCAAACGCCATCTCTGGAACATCTGCTTGGACCCATGCTGTCATCCCGAACCACATTGGCATTCATGGCCTAGAAAGGCGTCGAAGTGAAGTCGCAGCACAGCTCATTCGCCCCGGCACGAGCCTCCAGCTCGATAGTGGAAACGGCGTCGCTGACTTGGAAGGTGAAAAGGTTTCCCTCCTTGCACAAACTTCTCCAAATGAACTGGCATCAACCAAGGGACTGCTAACGCTACGAGACTCTGAGCATCTCTGAGCGAACAAGGAATCGAGGAGTCTCCCGCCAGTCAGGGTTCAAGTTGTTGTTGATTGTGGGTGTCCTGGCACAGCACCCGTTGACATCCCGCCAAAAACAAGTCTCCCCCGCCCCCATGCACCACCATACTCCTGCGAGTAGCCTCACCGACCTTCACGACCACATAGGGGTCTGACCTCGTCAGGGTGTCAGGTCCCTCGTCACATCCTCATCTCAGGCCAACACCCACACCAGAGCTGCGAGCACGCCCAGCTTTTGTTCTCAGGTTGAGACGACTGACTGCCGGTATGGTCGGCACAAGCCCGGCCACTTCAAGGCTTGCTATCTATCCACAAGCCGCAGAGTGACCCTGACCGATGGCAGGACTGCACCCCCCAATAAGGCTTGGGGTTCTCAAAAAAGGCGCCGCCTCGTGCCAAGTGATTGGCACTGTTACCGGCAGCAAGAGGTACATTTACGTGATCAGGGAATCGAAAGGCAAGTTGGCCCTTCTCTTCATGCTTGAACCTTCTCTGGAACCTTGTCCACTACAGCCTCAGGATCCTCAAGCTCTGGCGAGCTGCTGTCGAGGGTCTGACGCAAGACTACGACCTCATCCTTCTCATCGACGTCACAGATTATGCACTCGCCTTCAACGGTTGGCTCGTACAAGAAGGATTCTGCTAGCTTGTCGTCCAGGAGTCGCATGATGGCACGCCTCAATGGGCGAGCTCCATAGACGGGATCGTAACCCTCATCAACGACCATGGTCTTGAACCGATCTGTCAAGGAGAGGGTAATGCCCCGTTCCTGGCAGCGCTTGAAGGTCTTTCTGAACTCCAGCTCGGCAATCTCACGCACTTCCTGCTTGTTGAGGGACTTGAAGACAATGATCTCATCCAGTCGGTTCAAGAACTCGGGTCTGAAGAAGCCCTTCAGCTGGTCATGAACCTTTGTCTTGAGCCTCTGGTAGAGCGATGTTCCAGGATCGTCGGCCCCGGCATCGAAGCCCAGACCCTGGCCAATGAGCGTCTTCTCGATCTCCTTGGCCCCGCAATTCGAAGTCAGGATGATCAAGGTGTTCTTGAAGGACACCACGCGGCCCTTGGAGTCGGTCAAATGGCCATCCTCCAGGACCTGAAGCATCAGATTGAACACGTCCGGGTGGGCCTTCTCCACCTCGTCAAACAAGACGAGGCTGTAGGGCTTCCTGCGCACGGCGTCGGTCAGCTGGCTCTCTTCATCATAGCCGACGTAGCCGGGAGGACTCCCGATAAGCTTTGCCACGGTGTGCTTCTCCATGAACTCGCTCATGTCCAGGCGCACCATGGCGTCTTCCATGCCGAAATATGCTTCGGCCAAAGCCTTGCAAAGCTCTGTCTTCCCAACACCGGTGGGGCCACAGAAGATGAAGGATGCAATGGGCCTCTTGGGGTTTTGCAGCCCAGCGCGTGCACGTCGCACAGCTTTGGCAATGGCGACGACAGCTTCCTCTTGGCCAATAACTCGCTTGTGCAAGGTGTCCTCCAAGTGCACGAGGCGGACGGACTCATCGGCCGTGACTTTCTCAACAGGCACCTTAGTCCAGGCAGAGACCACGGCTGCCACGTCATTCTCCGTGACCGTAGGCTTTGACAGCGCTTCTTCAATGTCTTCCTGGCTCAAGGGCGGAAGCTCCACCTCCGTCTCCTCCTTGTCCTCTTTCCCCTCTTTCCCTGCCTTTGCCACCTCACTTGCCACGTCACTTGCCGTGGGTTGGGAGTCTGTCTCGGAGCTCATCTTGGTCACCTGATAGATCTGGCACTGGAGCTTCTCCTCCTCCATCTTCAGCTCGCTGGCTTTCTTGAAGTCCTGTGCCCGTACTGCCGCCTCCTTGGCGGCCTCCACATCTCTCAACTTGGCACGGATCTCCATGGCTTCCTCGGGAATTGCCGCAAGCTGCCTGAGCTGCACACGCGCACCCGTCTCATCAAGGATGTCAATCGCCTTGTCTGGGAGGAACCTGTCTTGGACATACTGAGATGCGTATTTAACGCAGGCCTCAATGGCCTCCTCAGAGTAGCGAAGTCGATGGTGTGCCTCGTATTTCCGAGCAAGCCCGCGAAGGATCTGGACAGCTTGCTCAACGGTAGGCTCTGGGACATCAACAGGCTGGAAACGGCGCTCCAATGCCTTGTCCTTCGTGACGTACTTCCGGTACTCCTCGATGGTGGTCGCGCCGATGATCTGCATGTCACCGCGGGCGAGGGCTGGCTTCAGAATGTTGGCGGCATCCATCGCACCACCATCACCGCCACCGCCGGCACCGACAAGAGTGTGGATCTCGTCGATCATCAGGATTATGTTCGGATCATCACGGGTCTCCTGAATGATGTTCTTGAGACGTTCCTCAAACTCTCCACGATACTTGGCACCTGACAGCAATGCACCCATGTCCAGCTCGATAATGATCTTGTCTGTCAACATTTCGGGCACATCCCCTGCGACGATTCGCATGGCAAGCCCTTCCGCGATGGCCGTCTTGCCCACACCGGGCTCTCCAATCAGGACAGGATTGTTTTTTGACCTCCGTGCCAAGATCTGGATTGCACGGTCGATCTCCTCGTCGCGACCCACCAGGGGATCCATCAGACCCTCTGCTGCCGCCTGCACAAGAAGACTCCAAAAAGACTCATCGTGACGACAGCACAGCAACACTGCAACCCCTGTCTAGTTCAGGAATCCCCCTCTCAAGCACTCGCTGACCGCTCCGCTCGATAGTTCAATGAGATCGAAGCCGGTTCGCTGATTCATTCGCACAGATCCAAGACATGCAGATTCTTGCCTGCGTCAGGTTCTTTCCAAACTCCTCCAGAGCCTTGGTGGCCTTCTTGGGGACGCCATCTGCTCCCACGGGAACCTCGGCATCCTCTTCCATCTTCTGCAACTCGGCCTTCATCTCTTTGATCAGCTCTTGAGGGTCCATCTTCAAAATCTCTTCTGCGGGGCATTCGTTTGGGCTTGCTAGGAGAGCGGTGAAAATGTGGCTGGGGTCGACCGCCGAGGCCCTCAACTTCTTCGACTCCTCCACAGCAGTTTGCAAGATTTGCTTGCACTCCGGAGAGAAGGGAATGTCTTTTGGCACCTCACCATCACCCTGTCCAAGACGCTCAGCTACTCGCTGAGAAGCTGCTTCAATGTCAATGCCCGCTTTCTTTACGACAGTGTCCACGACGCCCTTGCCCTGCTTCATGATTCCAATGAGGAGGATCTCTGTTCCCAGCTGGCTCTGGCCAAGACGACGGCACTGCTGCTGAGAGGACATGACGGACCTCAAGGCATGCTCGTTGAATCGTTCGAAAAGCATCTTCATCGAAGTCATGGACGAGGCAGAGGGTGCTGGAGCTGTCACTGTCACCGAGCCGGCCAACGTGGAGCCGAGGAAGGCGGAGCCACTGGATGAGAGGTTGGAGGTAAAGCTGGAGCTCATGGGGCCAGCAGGGGCTCCGGCCGTGCCCGTCACAGCCTTGACACTCTTCCGTGCCTTGCGCTTGGGGAAGATCCAACTCAGCTGACAGGCCAGTGCCGACATTGCGGCCGCAGCCGTTGTCCGCATGGTGGTCTTGGACGAGGAAGGCTCCTGGCCATCCCACACTGGAGGAGAGTTGAGATTGGTGTTCAAACTGGCTTTGGGAGTAGCACGTGCCGCGGAGCCAATCACAAATGGGTTGGCCATATCTGGAAGCAGCACAGCAGAGGTCGCCAAAGTGGCAAGACCCATGCGTCGCATGCGTCGCCTGCGAGCCCCATCTGAACGGCTGCTGGCTGGGCTGCCCATGACTGGCTTTGAAAAACACGCCATTTCACCAAGCTTGTCAACAGTACTGCTCGGTCTAGCTACTCCAGTGTCTGAGCCCAAAGCAAACGTCGAGGAGCTGAAGATTAATTCAGAGGCTTCATTGAACTTCATTGTGCAGCTTTCCATAATTCCATTCTGCGCAAGCCGCTGCAACTGCAAGCTCCACAAGGGCCCGGCACATCCCCCATGACCTTTGACTGGAACCATGGGGGGAAATTGCATTGAGACGTGCACATCGGTGAAGCAAACTGAGGCTGCATCGCCCGTATCCCTGTTGAGCAGATTTCGGCCGCAGTTGATGCGCAGGTGAAGCCTTCAAAGAAACTTTTCCCGAGAAGGTGCCATGAAGATGCAAAGGAGCCAAGACTTGCCGACTCTCAGCTGAGGGCACGCTCGTCTGCTCTGTTACCAACAGCCGGTACCTCGCACCAACACAATGGCACACCGTGGAGCAAACCTTTCGGGAGCTGGGAAGGCTTTTTAGGTCTTTTGGGGGGGCACTCAGTCGGCTTGAAGTAGAGATCGAACCTCCCGGTGTGCGCATCACAACAAATTCACTGCTTTTATATGCTTTTACTTTGCTTTGCTTTTCCACATCCAGGTCCCCGAGGCTCGGGCACCAGCTCTCCGCTGCCAATCTTCTCGCGGAAGCAGGTCCACATTCCCTCGGAACATCTCAGGACATCTCAGAACACCACCAAAGTCACCAAAGAAAGCAAGGTTTCTATCAACTACACAATGGGGCAGAGGGCGTGGCATGCTGAATGGAGCGGAGGTCTAGCTCGCAGCTGCCCAAGAAGCTGTCCTTGAATGTGTTGGAATCCAGCACCTGCAGCTCTGCACATTCCTCAGCACGAATGGCAACGCCAGCTGCCACGCCTCAAGCTCAACTTTGTGGTCGTCCGCAGCAATCTCGAAGGTGAACAGGTTGCCATCCTCAGGCACTCACAGCAAAAAGTCAACATTTCCACCGTCCACAACCCGTGTCCTCCCACACGGGATTCAGATTGTTCATGATGACCGGCGTTTTCTGCTCCACCCCTGCTGCCCGGACGACCACGTAGGGATCGGACCTTGACTATCGCAACATGTGAAAAACAGAGTGGTGGACCAGTGGGAGCGCAAGGCCAGGGCACATCTCCGAACAGTCCAGTGTCTCGATTGGGTAGTCCTATCGCCTGGTTTACGCCTCAGGTCCACAGAAAAGGTCCTCAGTCGCCCTTCCAAGGACCAAGAAGCTGAGAAATGCTGACACGTCCCCTCCTATAAACACCCTCTGAGCTCTTCACGGATCTGCAGAACCTCGGAGCGTGAGAGCAACCAAGTCCGCAGCATGGAGGCGGACTTCAAAATTACGAGAAAGGCTCACTGGTGGGGCGACCGGGGCCTTCACGCTTTTGTCTGCCTCCTTCACCTCGCCTAAAGGCCTCACAAGGGATACAAGGGCGAAGAGCAGGAAAAGGGGGCGACTCATGAGATTCAAGTCCATGCCTGTCACTTGCCGTCGCCTGGCCCTGGCTGTTGAAAACACTCAGTTGCAATAACAAGCCACCCATAGCCACCCACCACCCGCATCCACCACTGCCTGCGGCAGCTGCGGCTTTCCCACCTCGACCAGATTTGATCAGTCGAGCACATCCTGTGGCTTTTCTCTGTTGCACGAGTACGACTGGGAATCCTGCACCTGGGCCATACAAGAGTGATCGGCCAGAGCGGAAAGATTTCGCAGACCTGAGCACTGGCTTGCAGCCGCTCTCGTCCCTGCGCACACCCATCAACCGTTTCTGAATCTGAGGCCCGCGCGCGACACTCATTTCGGAGATCGTGCGTCGGTGCCCAGGTGAGGCACTCATTTCAGACATAGTCCGTCGATGGCCAGAGCCTACTCAAAAGAAGAAAACATGCACTCACTCCCAAGTCTTCCTTCGAAGTTTACAGAGAGTGATGAGAGTGCACCAGTTCATCTCATATCAAGTGAGATTTGTATTCGTTGATACCCGCAAGTGCCAGATAAGGCAGTTCTGCTGCCTTTCAACTTGCACTGTCAAGCCTGAGGTGGACCGAAGTATTAACAAAGCAGTGGCTGTTCAAGAACGTACCAGAATAGCTTCAAACCCGTTGAAGCAGGGAGTGAGGAGGCTGCCGGCAACACCTGAAAGCAGGGCTTCTTGCCTTTAGCAAGGGTTGCATCCATCAACAGGCGAAACAGAGGTTATCTGCCCTTTTTTTTCCCCTCTACCCTAGACCCTTTCAACCCAGAAGTCCAAGTACGTCCAGGAGCCTCGGCGCAGTAGCTTCACGCCCTGCGGCTCGACCTCAATGAAGACGTGCAACAGGGCCTGGGTTCCACAATGGTCGTCACACGCAATTACCAGCTTCATTATTGCTATCCCTGTGGTGATGACTTTTGATGATTGCGACTGCTAGCTTAACTAAACTATACAAAATATTTACATGCATACATACATACATGCATGCATGCATACATGCACACATACATACATACATACATACATACCTACCTACCTACCTACCTACCTACCTACCTACCTACATACATACATACATTACATACATTACATACATGACATACATGACATACATGACATACATTACATACATTACATACATTACATACATTACATACATTACATACATTACATACATTACATACATTACATACGTTACATACATTACATACACTACATACACTACATACATTACATACATTACATACATTGCATGACATTACATTACATTACACTACATAACATTACATTACATACATTACATACATTACATACATTACATACATTACATACATTACATACATTACATACATTACATACATTACATACATTACATACATTACATGACATTACATTACATTACACTACATAACATTACATTACATTACATTGCATTGCATTGCATTACATACTAAATAATGCACATGACATGTTATATGTTATACATAGTACATTTTGTTGAACATTATATGTTATCTACTATACATTACCTATGTTTGCTCTATGTGTCTATAGCACATCGAAATTCTAGTTATGTCATCTTCATTGATCTCTGTCCTGATGCAAAATATCGGAATGGGTGCTATCTTGGAAGAGGAGTTGTGAATACCTTTTGACCCCGCGCGCTCTGACGGGTCCGTGGCTACCGAACAGCCCTGCTGTGCGTCCGCTGATTTGCAACAGGTGCCAAGTTGTGAATACCTACATGCGTAAAAACATGGAGTCGGATTGTATGTATTGCCATTGTTGCTGAGCCTCGGTGATGCATGACTCTGCTCAGTGGGCGTGAAGTCTGCCGACCCTATCGGAGCCAAACGTTCTACGATAATTAGGCAAGAGCGGAAGAGAAAACACCCTGGCCTTGCAGGGAATCAGGGTGATGGAAAGTTTGAACTTTGTCAATATCATGCTGGCCTCTTAGGCTTATTGGTTCTAGCATGTTCCAGCCCTTGCGGACTGGACTTGGCAGCCCCGCCTTGGTAGGCGAGGCCCCACGAAACAATGGCAAGATGCCCTCGAAGCCATGCCTCCGGGGCACTTGCCGCAGCTCCGAGCAAAGCCGACCATGACGGGCACTTGCCATATCCAAGCGCCAGACGGGTAGAACTTGGACATCTCCGCCTCAGCGTGACCTTCGCCAGGGGTTACAATGCACAAAGGAGGCTGCCTCCGTCATCCAGGGGCCGTGTGTGGACAATGAATGTTCCGGAACCGACACCCTTGGATGCCAAGGCAGCAACCAAGAAGCTCGTCTGCATGCTGATGAGGCTTGCATGGCCTGGCCATTCTCGCTCTATTAAGAGAAACCATGAACCCAAGGCACCAGCACCGCTTCTGAAAGCCGCTCTCTGCTTTTGAGATCACGCAACACAAGTACGCACGTGGAAAACAAGCCAGCTTTGCGCAGCCGGCTTGAGGAACACATCGAATTCCAACCTGAAAAAGCCAATGTTTCTGCCAAAGTGCCCCAAAGTGCCCCAATTGAAGCCTGGAAGTAGAGTGGACGGGGGGGATATATGGACGTATTGGGTTCCATAAGTCCCGGGCTCGCCACCTTGGCCTTCTTCAAGCTGTGGAAAACGTGACTGATAATTACTGACGATGCAGAACCCTCAGCCAACATGGCCTTCCTCAAGCTGAAGGCGATAGTGATGCCTTTGTCTGCAAAGGCTGCCATGGCTCGCATTGGTGGATCATCCGAATTCGAGGATGCGGCCACTGACCCGGATCGATGGAGCGGGTGTCAACTTTGATGGTACCCAGGCTGTCATCCTTCATAACGTTGGAGTTCATCACCTTGACGTCTGGAGCGGGTCACGCTGCAAAATGCCCAGATGCCTTAAGCACTTTGGCAGCTGCAGCGGACTGCAGCGCCTTCAATTCGAGATAACGATCTGTAGTGTGATCCACGATGTTGAAGGAGAACTGGTTGTTGTCCTGCAAGGCAGGGCAATCAAACTCAGTTTGGGCTCAGAGAAAGCTGCTGATTCCAATGCCTGCCAAACGGGATTCAGCTCGTTGTTGATGACTGGAGTCTGCTGTGTCATGCTTCCAACTTGCGCCACCACGTATGGGTCAGACCTCAGTTGCCAACTAGATGGTCTGCACCTGTCTGCACAGTGTCCACCCCATGAGCTCAGAACACATCACCCAGCACCCCTGTGTCTCTGTTGATGAGGTTGTAAGCAGCCGCTACCTGAACGGTTGCAAAGCGAAACAGGCAGTCAGCCACGTTGCTTAAACGTCCTGCGCCTGCAGGTAGAGGACTGTAGTCTGTTCCACTGTGGCTGGCGCAGCAGACTTGTCGACAGGTCCGATGTCCGCTTCCTGAAATCCGCAGCGGGCGATTTCGCGAGGGCTCTCGATGCAAACCCCTGAGCAAACGCCCTCCAGTGACTTTTTTTGCTCCGCAGCCTTTGCCAACGAGAAGATTCCAGCACATTCACATCGGGCCACATGAGCTGGAGAGTCTGAAGCACACATGTCAAAGAATCACCGAGACTTAGCGAAGCTATTCCTGCACACGCAAGCTTTAAGCAAGAAACCCACTCCGCACATGGCCCGACAAGGCGGCTGCCTTAAAAATCCCGGCTGCCCTGGTGAAATCACCAGTAGAGGGTGTCCGGGAAGAAGCGCTGGATCTCGATCAGGCCGCCGACAGTGAAGAGGATGATGATGGAGAAGAAGTTCACGTTCAAGGACAGCCACGCCTTGATGTCCTCTGACTCCACAACTGGAGTGATGTAGCTGACCTGGTTGCTGGCGCCAGTGCTCAGCTGATATTCTGGGATGTCCCAGTCGTTGGTCTTGACGGTAATGCGCGGTGGGTTGTTGTTCTTGTCCCTGGTCGTGATCTTCCCGGCCTCCTCCGGCTTGATGATCAGTCCGTCCTCCGTCTCGGCTCTCATTCCAACCTGTCCGCGCAGGCTGCTGGAAGGGGCATTGGCAAAGAGGAGGGTCCCGACCCTTTGGCACAGCAGCACGCACGCCGCCGCCAGGAGCAATGGGGCCAGCTGACTACGGCGAGCCATTTCGACCAGCAGTTCCCGATATTGGGGCAAGGTCTAAACAAAAAAAAACCTGCGGCGATGCCCACGCTTCATGCTAACTCACTCCGAGCTTTAGAGGAACAACAACTGTCAGAGACACGGCAGCTCTGCCGAGGCTTTCGCAACCAAAGTTAATTCGCCAAGACACTCGGGCACCGACATCTTTAAACATGTTCAACGCACGAGCTGCTATGACCTTTTGCTTCTGCATCCGAGCAGATGTCAACCTACATACAACACCCCACCCACTGTCTGTACAGAAGCATCCACCTCCGCATCCGCATTGTCCAAAAACCGCGCCACCCCAGCCAGGCAGCCCCAAGGGAATCACCAGTAGAGGGTGTCCGGGAAGAAGCGCTGGATCTCGATCAGGCCGCCGACAGTGAAGAGGATGATGATTGAGAAGAAGTTCACGTTCAAGGACAGCCACGCCTTGATGTCCTCTGACTCCACAACCGGAGTGATGTAGCTGACCTGGTTGCTGGCGCCAGTGCTCAGCTGATATTCTGGGATGTCCCAGTCGTTGGTCTTGACGGTAATGCGCGGTGGGTTGTTGTTCTTGTCCCTGGTCGTGATCTTCCCGGCCTCCTCCGGCTTGATGATCAGTCCGTCCTCCGTCTCGGCTCTCATTCCAACCTGTCCGCGCAGGCTGCTGGAAGGGGCATTGGCAAAGAGGAGGGTCCCGACCCTTTGGCACAGCAGCACGCACGCCGCCGCCAGGAGCAATGGGACCAGCTGACTACGGCGAGCCATTTCGACCAGCAGTTCCCAATATTGGGGCAAGGTCTAAACAAAAAACCTGCGGCGATGCCCACGCTTCATGCTAACTCACTCCGAGCTTTAGAGGAACAACAACTGTCAGAGACACGGCAGCTCTGCCTGCGAGGCTTTCGCAACCAAAGTTAATTCGCCAAGACACTCGGGCACCGACATCTTTAAACATGTTCAACGCACGAGCTGCTATGACCTTTTGCTTCTGCATCCGAGCAGATGTCAACCTGCATACAACACCCCACCCACCGTCTGTACAGAAGCATCCACCTCCGCATCCGCATTGTCCAAAAACCGCGCCACCCCAGCCAGGCAGCCCCAAGGGAATCACCAGTAGAGGGTGTCCGGGAAGAAGCGCTGGATCTCGATCAGGCCGCCGACAGTGAAGAGGATGATGATGGAGAAGAAGTTCACGTTCAAGGACAGCCACGCCTTGATGTCCTCTGACTCCACAACTGGAGTGATGTAGCTGACCTGGTTGCTGGCACCAGTGCTCAGCTGATATTCTGGGATGTCCCAGTCGTTGGTCTTGACGGTAATGCGCGGTGGGTTGTTGTTCTTGTCCCTGGTCGTGATCTTCCCGGCCTCCTCTGGCTTGATGATCAGTCCGTCCTCCGTCTCGGCTCTCATTCCAACCTGTCCGCGCAGGCTGCTGGAAGGGGCGTTGGTGAAGAGGAGGGTCCCGACCCTTTGGCACAGCAGCACGCACGCCGCCGCCAGGAGCAATGGGGCCAGCTGACTACGGCGAGCCATTTCGACCAGTACTATCGAGACTTGGGCGCCGCTCGGACACAAAAAGTCTGCAACGAGAATTTCAGAGCGTTTCAGACACATGTGCAACATTGCGCGGAAACCGATACACGCAACGACCACGACCACGACCACGACCACGACCACGACCACGACGACGACGACGAGGACGAGGACGAGGACGAGTTTTTCTGAATGCTGAACGAGCGGGCTCTGCTCATGGCGAGCACTGAATGACTTGAAAAGCCTTTTGGAAAGCTGGGTGAGACACGGACTGGAGAACATCTTAGAACAATTCACTGCGGGGTACGTCTTATGGGTGGGTGCCATGCCGGCGCCCTCGAGTTCCCGCGGCGTCCCACACTAGGCCCCCTGTCCATGCAACAGGCTCTAAGATCGAGTTCCTGCCGGTGCGCAAGCAGCCACCGGACAAGCAGCAACCCGTGTTCGTTTCAACTCCAATTTCAGGGGCAAGTACAAAATGCAGTTCACCTAGCACCGGAAAGAAGATACACCAGCGAAGACCCCAAGCAGTTAAGCAGCATGTGATGTTGAGCCAACATCCATGCTTGAAGAGTGGATGTTGGGCCAGCATCCAACTTGAGGGGGCCAACATCCACGCTTGAGAGGCGTTGAAAACAGCAAAGGGGGGAGCCGAGGTGAGGCAAACTGAGGCAAGGAGTCTAGGCACCCGGCCAAAACCACCAGAAACCCGACCGAGGACCCCACCTGAAGACAAAGGTGAGACAAGGAGACCAGGGGACCCGGCAAAGCATCCGGCTAGGTCGGAATTCTTAGAAAGAGCAGGAACCCCTGTAGTAAATTCCTTTTGGCCGTCCACTATGTCGCCTAAGATTCCGCATTTGGAACGGGGCCAGCTCCTGTCTTGAGAACGCCTGTTATTCAGGGTGCCAGGCACCTTTCCAATCTGCGTCACGCTGGTAGGCTAGCCTCAAGTCTCTCACAGCAATGCTTCGTGTGCAATGGCCATCAATGTATCAGAAGAGGTTTACGAGGTTCGAAGTCTGTCGGAGCAGCGATTTGACGGTTACGCCCGCGGACCCGCGAGCTGGTAGCGCTTGAACGGCATTAACAACATCAACAGCAACAAGAGCAAGCAACTGCAACAACAGCAACACCGGCAGCACCAGCAACAAAGAAGCAAGACAGTCCGGCAGTAGCTTCAAACAGAAATGCTGCATGCACGACGTGCACCGACCGGTCATTACCTTTTGCTTCTTCGTGGCCACCTCCCCGAGCAGATGTCAATCTACATACACCACGCCACGATCTGTACATGGAAGCATCCAACTGCCAACAGCATGTTCCAAAAAATGCTCTGGCCAGGCAGGCCTGAACGGAATCACCAGTAGAGGGTGTCCGGGAAGAAGCGCTGGATCTCGATCAGGCCGCCGACAGTGAAGAGGATGATGATGGAGAAGAAGTTCACGTTCAAGGACAGCCACGCCTTGATGTCCTCTGACTCCACAACTGGAGTGATGTAGCTGACCTGGTTGCTGGCACCAGTGCTCAGCTGATATTCTGGGATGTCCCAGTCGTTGGTCTTGACGGTAATGCGCGGTGGGTTGTTGTTCTTGTCCCTGGTCGTGATCTTCCCGGCCTCCTCCGGCTTGATGATCAATCCGTCCTCCGTCTCGGCTCTCATCCCAACCTGTCCGCGCAGGCTGCTGGAAGGGGCATTGGCGAAAAGCAGAGTCCCGACCCTTTGGCACAGCAGCACGCACGCCGCCGCCAGGAGCAAGGGGGCCAGCTGACTACGGCGAGCCATCAGTGCACTAACCCTGGTGGATCCCACTACACTCGTCGCCTGAGCCCTCGGCAGCAGCAACAGCAGCAATCGGCATTGCTGGCTGCAAAACCAGTAAAGAGTTTGACCGCAAGTCACTCAAGCTCAAATTGCAATAGAACGCACTGATCTTTCGCCGGCACTCAGCTGCTGATCTGTCGCTTGTGAAACGTCAGAGGCGCGGCACCGCATGTGTTTCAAAAACTCAGGCATCTCCTGCCCAGGCGAATCACCAGTAGAGGGTGTCCGGGAAGAAGCGCTGGATCTCGATCAGGCCGCCGACAGTGAAGAGGATGATGATGGAGAAGAAGTTCACGTTCAAGGACAGCCACGCCTTGATGTCCTCTGACTCCACAACTGGAGTGATGTAGCTGACCTGGTTGCTGGCGCCAGTGCTCAGCTGATATTCTGGGATGTCCCAGTCGTTGGTCTTGACGGTAATGCGCGGTGGGTTGTTGTTCTTGTCCCTGGTCGTGATCTTCCCGGCCTCCTCCGGCTTGATGATCAATCCGTCCTCCGTCTCGGCTCTCATCCCAACCTGTCCGCGCAGGCTGCTGGAAGGGGCATTGGCGAAAAGCAGAGTCCCGACCCTTTGGCACAGCAGCACGCACGCTGCCGCCAGGAGCAAGGGGGCCAGCTGACTACGGCGAGCCATCAGTGCACTCACCCTGGTGGATCCCTCTACACTCGTCGCCTGAGCCTTCGGGACCAGCAACAGCAAGATCCAGAGGCAATATCAAAACACATCTCGTCTTACTGGCTGGCACGTCCGAAGAAAGATTATAACCTCAAGGCACTCATGCTTAAATTGCAATAAAACTCCTTGAACTTTCGCTGGCACTCACCTGCTTATCTGTCGTGTGAAACGTCAGATGCGCGGCACCGCATGTGTTTCAAAAACTCAGGCATCTCCTGCCCAGGCGAATCACCAGTAGAGGGTGTCCGGGAAGAAGCGCTGGATCTCGATCAGGCCGCCGACAGTGAAGAGGATGATGATGGAGAAGAAGTTCACGTTCAAGGACAGCCACGCCTTGATGTCCTCTGACTCCACAACTGGAGTGATGTAGCTGACCTGGTTGCTGGCGCCAGTGCTCAGCTGATATTCTGGGATGTCCCAGTCGTTGGTCTTGACGGTAATGCGCGGTGGGTTGTTGTTCTTGTCCCTGGTCGTGATCTTCCCGGCCTCCTCTGGCTTGATGATCAATCCGTCCTCCGTCTCGGCTCTCATCCCAACCTGTCCGCGCAGGCTGCTGGAAGGGGCATTGGCGAAGAGGAGGGTCCCGACCCTTTGGCACAGCAGCACGCACGCCGCCGCCAGGAGCAAGGGGGCCAGCTGACTACGGCGAGCCATCACAGAAAGCAACGGAGCACTTCCCCGACAAGCCTGAGCCAATATCCCCTAAGTAATATCAAGTCACTGGATCAACATGACGCTTCCGGGACACTTTCTCAGTTGCATGTGCATCAACGGAGTCCTTGCAGTAGACGGCAAACTTCAGAACATCCCCAAAGGCATAGTTCGGCACCAGCCCCGTGTAATCCCAGGCTGGCTGCGTGCCCTCACAGAACAGCAAAACTCAGAGCTTTGCGTGGGAGCCCGAAACTTGTGAAACCAACTTGCCTGGAGCACCCCTGTTTGCAGTCGAGTGTAGGGTTTGTTGGCCAGCTCAATGACGCAGTACCTCATTGGTCCGAAACGCACTGCCAACATGCTTCAAAAGATATCCGAGAAAGAAAAACATAGTTTTGAATAGAAGGTTTCGCAGTTGCTGGCCTTCTTGGAAACAGCAACTATCTCAAACCGTCGGACGCGTCTGTCACACAGCTGACAGAGGCTCAACATCGGTAAACTTCAACAGGCGCAACTTAGGCAAGTTGATTCGAGTGCTTAGGCCGGCTAAGCTACTCCAATCAATGTCTCCATGTTTCAACTCTGATGGACACGACAACGTTTTCTTTCCTCCACCAATCTGTTCGTGGGCCTCATGTACAAAAAACTACGTCCGAACCATGGCGCAGTCCCAAAATCAAGGGAGAAGATGTGATTATGATCGTCGGCACAAGGAGGCATTCGAGCGAAACGCCAGATGGAAGATCTACTGGCGTGCACTTCGAACCGCGAAACATCGATTCATTGATCGCTTGGATTTCTTTAGCTCGCCAGCGTAAAAAGGCAGGCAACCAAACTTGCTGCGTTGGCCACAGCATGCCGAGCGTGACGCGCAAGCAAGTAGTTAAAGTTAAAGGTCCGCCAGGGTGAGAGATGCGGAGCCCTGCTTATTCTTGACGCCACCTTACTAGAACACTTCCGACGTCTAACTCGCCTTCAATGAGTGCCGATCGTGTCCAGTATCTCCTTCAATGAGTGCCGATCGTGTCCAGTAGCCTACCGGCCAGCCAAGGCGTGTGACCGACTCGCACAATGGTGAGGTATTCATGCGTGCGATGTCTGGCCGCTGCTGTAGCACATTCCAGGCTCTGATTCAAGGACTCGTGCGCTTTCCAGGCGGACACGCTCTGGAGGTCCTGCTGAGAGTTGGAAATTCAGTGCCTTGCTCAAACACTGGTTTCTTGTTCCGGATAACATGTGTGGGCAAAACCCTGGGGCACGCATCCACGTTGCCGCCTTTCGTTTCGCTCTCAAGTCCTCACCGCAGCGAGCAAAGGAGGACAGCCTACTACTAAGTGCGCACACTCTCTTCCACAAACCTTACGTATCTGCTTTAGCCCGTCAATCCAAAAGAGTGCGTTGGGTGGCGGAAGGTGCCAGGCCTTCGGCACCATCGATGGTCACCCCCACAATGGGTGGCACCTCTGCAGTAGAGGGGATGTTCTAGCAGATTATGGCATAACTCAATGCAGTATACCATGCAACTACAGCAAGACATCCCAGCCCATCCTAGAAGATTCCAGCATCTGGCGTACATGACTAGTAACTTCATCCTCCTTCATTCCTTTTCTCCAACATGCCACCGATGATACACTGTTCGCTTAAGAACCCCCCAAAAAATCTATAAAACAGCAACCCCATTTCTGCCCCTTACAAGGAAGAATATCTTTCTGTTTATTTTTTGGGGGGGGGCTCTTTACAAGGAAGAATATCGAAGAGAACTCAGTAGCATCTCTAATTCTTTGGGGGCAAAAAAGGCAACTGGTAGAATATTTTTAGAGGCGCTTTTCTTGAGAACCCAGGGGGGGCACCCCTGTCTGGTACTGCTCGCGGAGGAGCTCCATCTTCCGCTGCTGCTCGGTTTGGTCCATCAGCCTTTCCCCCCGACATGTTCCCAACTCTGCTCTCTACTTATCTAACTTTGAGAATTTGAGAAGAGCGAGGTTAAGGCGGCGACTGTTCGTGGAGCTCCTGCTGCGCATGCCCCCGAGAATCTGAGAGGTCTCGCCTTGGAGCGGCACCCATGTAGAAAAAACAAACGGCCAAGAGAAGATGCCTGGCCACTCTTGATACCACATGTGTCAGCCAAGGTTCTGTAGCTCAACTGCTCGCTGGGCCTTGGTCGGTATGCTGAGGACTTGTATTTTAACAAGGCATAGTGAGGTTCACTTCGTTTTGTTCGTGGGTGTTGCTCATGGATGAAATACGCACGGGGCAAAGGCGCGAGAAACGAAAGACGGAGACACGAGGCACTCCCTGTGCCGATACAAATGATTTGGAGCCACGAGTATGTGTCTGCACGTGTCTCTCCCGTGTCTCTCCCAATTGTACGTATCAGGGTGCCCACAGACTCCTGGACTGGAAAGCGTGATACAAAAGGAAAGCAGCGCATGATCCTGTGCACGCTAGTTAGGTGCCTTTGCACTCAGAATACGGGTATTGGTTGGCATGCCATGTCGCACATTTTGCGCCAAGCTGCACAGTTTGGGGACCCGCTTGCATTGTTTTGGCAGTAGATTTGGACACCAAGATACATACATGAGCACTGTGCAGTTGATTCACCTTTCTCCCGTTGATCGTTGTTTTCTTTCGTTCGCCCGTTGTCACACTCCTCGGCAGAGTACAGTCAGTGACGCTGTGTGAGATAGAGCTTGCTTTGACACTTTCCATTCATCTCCAAGCATAAGCAACTTCAAAGTGTGTCAAGAATTTGCTGTGTGCTTGTGCAGCGGTTCCCTTTCCAAAGAAGACTACGTGCTTTTGGCATTGTTGAGGTCGTTGCCTCGCGCTAATCCAAGAGGTGTCCAAATTCCGTTTTCGTCCCTTGCGACATGAGAAGCTTTCAGCGATGCTGGTGTCAAAGCCTGCAATTGATGACCGAAAAAACCTGAAAGTCACACATACAGCAGGTATCAATGTGTACGTGTTTGGTTTCGCTCTGCACGCTACATCGCACATGTTTTACTAAAATAGAAAGACACGCCACAAGTTATGTTGAAGGTTTTGCCAATCTTGTACGCACTTCAAGATCACTTCAGCGCACACAGGCTCAGCCCACAACGACTGAACTCCCCCTCTTGAAAGCCCAGCTGCCATCTCCAGGGCTTTCTCTGCAGCATCTTGTTGTCGCTCCCGCAAAGTCTCGACCTGCTCTGCACGCTGCCTGGCACAAGGCAGACACAGAGATGGCCCCCTCTCTCTTTCAAACGCTTTAACGACTCCTCTTCTTTTGCACGCCAGCGAACCGGCGGTCTGGAGAAGGAGCCTTCGACGTTTCATCGACTCAGTCGCGGAAACTCATGAAGCTACCATCCATGAGGAGGGGTGGCCGAGTTCTTCAGCATTTCAGACACCACAAGCTCCATGAGCTCGCGCTGGACAGGTAAAGGATGGTCAATGCTGGTGCCCACCGAAGTGATGATTGTACACCGAATGGTCTTTCCTTGGTTCTTCTTGTCAACGGCCATCTTCTCCATGAGCTTCTCTAAAGTGAGGCCGGGCGGAGGCACCACCGGAAGGCCATATGCCTGGAAGCAGGAGCGAATTTCGGGGATGGCTTCGGCGCTCAGATGGCCCATCTTGTGAGCAAGCTCGGCCTCAGCAATGCAACCTATCGCAACACACTCGCCATGGAGCATCTTTGGCGAGACCAGTGCCTCAATAGCATGGCCAATTGTGTGGCCGTAATTCAGTGTTGCTCTAAGACCTGTCTCCTTCTCGTCAATTGCCACGATCTCCGCCTTGTGGGCTACTGCCTTGTGCAGGACATCTTGCAGCAGCTGTGGGTCCAAAGACATGATGGCCTCAGGATTCTTGGCCATCGTACGGAAAAGCTCTGCATCTCGGATGACCCCCATCTTGATGGCTTCAGCGAGGCCCTCCACAACTTCGCGGCGGCTCAGCGTTCTAAGCATGTTGGGATCGGCGAAGATGATTTTAGGCTGGTGGAAAGCACCAATCAGGTTCTTTCCGGCTGGGACGTTCAACGCTGTCTTGCCTCCTACGCTAGAGTCAATCATCGCCATGGTTGATGTTGGAACCTGAACCACAGGGATACCCCTCATGTATGTTGCGGCTGTAAAGCCAGCAAGGTCACCAACAACGCCGCCACCAAGCGCGAGAATCGCGGAGTCACGCGTACACTTGTTCGAAAGCATGTAGTCCTGCAGCTGAGTTCGAGGATCTGCGCTTGTGGACCGAGGGACAGCATACAGCAGAACACACAATCTGGCCTCTATCGCGGACTTTGTGTCGCGGTTCTTGGATGACTCTCCAGCCGGAAAGGCATACCTCAAAATGCGGGGCGCCGCCGCCCCAGCTTTGGAGGCATGTGTCTCGAATGCCTTGACCAAACGATCGCCATAGTGACCTGCAGCTGCCCCCCCTTCCTTTCCCAGGTAGCCCCGAGTCCCTTCTGAAGCAACTGAGGAGAGCTCCGTCGACGGTTTTGTCGCTCACAACAACCTGAGCATTGCTTCCGGCAAAGCTCTGACAGGAGCCCAGAAATCCTGGAAGAAATGACTTCGGGGGAAGATACTTCAGAAGTATCCTGGGCCCGGTGCCAGTGCTGCAGGCTTCATGCCAGCCGACTGCAGCCTCGAGGGGATTTCCTCGAGTAGGCCAGGAGCTATCAGCACTCGGCTGTCGCCGATGACTTTGATCTCCTGCCAGTACTTCAACATCTCTGCTAAAACAGTGCAGGCAGCGCCACCGCTGCACGACTTTTCACGATGCGGACTTTCAGGAGACGAATGGGCAAGAGGCCCCCCCAAGCAAGCAATCAACTTCTGCCACAACCTGGCAAGTCTGCCTCTCCTTGACGCGAGTTCCAGCAGCTGTGGGAGGTGGAGACCTCGACCTTTCGCGTGCAGAAACTTCGGCCATGGTAGCCTGCGCTACGGGCCACGAGCCAAAACTCACTATGATAAACAATACCTTCGAGCCAGCTCTCATTGCGGTGCACAAGGCGCAGCAGGTAGTTCTCATGCGACGACGCAGCACTCGTACACAAAAAACAGGACTTTGTGAAAAGAGAAAGCCGTGTGCTCAGCTGCGTCATGCCGCAGCCTGTGCAGCGCCTCCGCATCCATCGGTCTCATCTCCTCCACAATCCAGTCGATTCCTTTCTCCTGTGCAGGTGGCAGCTGAGGGGTGACCATGGTGAATATGCAGAAGTGGCGGTTTGCAAGTCACAGATTCTTCAAAACGCCGCTTCGTCATTTGTTCCTGTAGCTTAGGCTGCGATTGGAGCCCAAGGTGGCGCGTGAACCAGGTGGACTTGCGTTTGTTGCGTGGCTGTGCTTTGGGCTGCGCTTTGGGGTGTGAGCAGAGCTGTGGGCAGGAAAACCGCAGGACATTGGTACGAACATCACAGAAAATCAATGCAGGAATCTGACACATCGGAGCAGGACTCGCGAGCCCGTCAGAAACATCACAGACAGGTCACAGAGGGCTCAGTGCCGCCCCACACATTAAACACACAAAATCTTCCAGACCGACTCACAACATGGATCACAGAAAGACTTGTAAGTTTTACATTTTCCATCTGAAGTCTGAAGAATATCCGTTTGAAGCACGTTTTCGGTAAAACCTCCTGCTGCTTTGTCAATTGCCAAATATATAGACAAAGAGCCCCACATCCCGCCTTAGCCGAGACCTTCAATAAAAACAAGCTTTAGGAGATCTTTAAAAGAGTGGAACTGCAAGGCCTGGAAGGCCTTCACCAGGTCCTGCGCAAAGGAGATGCATCTTCTGTTGCTGCAATGGAAACGATGGCAACCGCAGCTGCCTGAAAGCTCCAGCTTCTTGCACAAGCCAGAAGCTCATCTTGATGTTTTTGTAGATCCTGGCATTGAAAAACTACTTGGCAAAGATCGCACCTGCAACAGACTGTTCCAGTGCCTCCCAGGTGTAGCCTTCGAGCTCCTTCCGCAGCTTGTCCATATTCCCTCAGCAAAAGCAGGGTCGCGAAAGTGCTTAAACATGCAGCTATGGAGATTTCGCCCCTGTGACCACCATTCAGTGTCAGCGAAGTCAGTTCAGTCGAGTTCAGACAAGTTTCCAAAGCGCTTTAGCAGGCTCTCTCGGCGGCCCAAGGCATGAAGGAGCACCCATGCATCATGAGGCTGATGTCCTGCCATTGTCTCTGAGCACAACTACCACACATGCTACATTAGTCAACTTCTGAAAGGAGGTCCGCGCAGACTGTATAAGATTGGGCCTCTGCACACAGGGGGCAGCATAAGCTACTGAAGTTCAGGCCCCCAACGAGTTGTGCCGTCCTCGTCCAAGGAGTCGAAGGAAGCGGCCGTCCAGCGTCTGGAGCAATGGACTGGCCAGGAGCGCTACAGGCTCAATGCTGGAGATGCTTTGGCAGTAGAGCCCAGCACGATATCGGCTGATGTGGACCAGTTGGCCGGCACCGGTCCGTTGTTGCCGTAGCAAAGCAAGGCCCACGCCGCCCAGGGCATGCTGGGCCACCGCCAGCTCTCCTAGGCCGGGTGGCATGGCGTTACCGTTGAAGGCTTGGCAAAGGCCACTGGCCTCCCAGAAAGCATGTGCTTCCTGACCACCCTTCCGACTGAAGGAAAGTTCCTTTTGGCGCGCCGGCTCATCGTGACCCCAAGTCGTGATCCAAAGGATGACTAAGTGTGGGAACATCTGCCGCAGCCGCTTTGGCTCCAGGCCCCAGGCCTCTAAAGCCGCCAGCGGCAAGTTTGTTACAAAGACTGTAACTTTGGCCAAAGTCCTATACAAGGCGGCTTGTCCGGGCACTGGGTCTCCCCTCGCATCAACGCCTCCAACCCCCGAGTAATTCACCAAATCCACACGCTTCCTGGCAGTCAAGTCTTGGTACAGCTGGGGACAAGTTCGCTTCCATGGATCTGGACGCTGTGGTCGCTCCAACTTTGTTACTCGAGCGCCTAAGTCGGCAAGTAGTGCCCCGACGGCGGCAGCGGACACTTGATATTCATCGCTGATTTCAATGACGGAAACCCTTGCCAGCGGTAGCTCGGACGAAATGGGGGAGTCCGGCATAACTGCAGGCATTAACACTGCCGGATCCTTGATGGTCCATCTGATATGCGTGTCGGGCTTTGCTGAGGGCCTTTGTGCTGGTCTGACATGCGCCACGCCTTCCACATCGAAGGGTGTTGCCAAAGGCCTTTTGACATCCGGCTCCACAAAGAAACGCAGATCTGGGTGCTGCGGCTTGTGCCACCCAGTGAGTGCTCCAAGTGCTGCACACCATCTCCCTGCCCTAAATATGCTCATCTCCACACGGTCACCTGGACTGCCACAGCGCCGGCGCATCACCGCCATGCACGCAACTCCAAACAATGACGAAGCTGAGACAGCAGCAGCAAAGCCAGCTGGACCAAGAAAGTGCCCAAGCTGCTCAGCCATTCCAGACAAACAAAAGAAAGCACCAGCATCGTTTACACCCTTGTTGGTGACATCTGCAAGCATGCCAATGCTGGAGGCATGGATGTAGATCAACCACGGGCAGCTGCTCCGCAATGACTGTGCACTGAGTTGCATGCTGTCAAGCTCATCTGCAGGGAGATCCGTGAGGAAGACGTTGCAGCCCGTCAAGAGGTCCGATCGGAGCAAAGCCATTTCTTCAGGGTCATCTGGGTGAAGGGGCGCAAGGCGCTTCCCTACGTGCAGCTGCCTTGGCACAAGGTTTGCCTTCGCCTTCTCCAGAACGTCAGCATCGTTCTCCTCGTGCTTCGATTTAAGTGGCCGTCTGGGAGCGCTTCCCTTCTTTCGAGCTAGAAGCGCCTCCTCTCCGAAAGCGACCCGAATAACCTCGGCACCTGACGCAGCCATCATCTGACCACATAGTGCAGCCGTCCATGTTCGGCGGGTTAATTCCAACACCCGAACACCTTCCCAGGGGAGCGCATTCGATCTCGGCTGGAACATGCGAGGCCCAACTTGGTACTCAAGATGCTCTTCCTCGTTTTGTGCTGTCTTGGACTCCGTCCGACGCTCCGACGCGAGTGTACTCAACAGCAGCTCAAACTGCACTTCGCCAGTGGTTCCTGGGATTGGAAGCCTTTGCCGCTGCCACTCACCAGCCACAAGGTTGCGCACGCCCAGTGCCACAGAAACTGTGTGCAGCAGCTCGTCTTTCAAAGCACTTATTCTCATAATGTTGAATTGAAGGCTGTCGTGTGCAAGCTGGAAGGTGAAGTCGTTGTCCGACAAAATCGGCTGGCCGTTCTCAATGCAAGGGGTGCAATGAGCTTGGGGCCCAAGCTGGAGCTTCACGTAGAGGTCCGCCAAGTCTCCTAGCAGGCCTGTGCTCGGCTGCGGAACATCCACTCTGAGAAGTCGTACTCGCAACGCCTGGGTTGAGCTGAGCTCGGGCGGTCTGCTGGGACTTTTTTTCAAGTTGCTGTAGGACACGCTGCTTTGCACGGTCTTTTTCCGGTCCGGCAAGAAGCCGAAAATGCCAAAAGAATCGCGCTCTCGGGGGGTTGGTGGCAAGTCAGGCAGGTCGTCGTAGGCTTCGCCTCCCAAGGATGGTTCGGTCTCGGCAAACTGTATGCCAGTCGGCCAGGACTGCTGGGCTTTGATGCTCGGAGGCCGCTTCGTTGTCTCCATCTCTGCGAGCCCTGCAAGGCCCACAGGCCCCGTAGGCCCTGTAGGCCCCGTAGGCCCTGTAGGCCCCGTAGGCCCTGTAGTGGTCCCCAGGCTGGCTTTCTGGGAAGGCTCAGGACATCCCTCCGGCCACTCTGGGTCCAGCGAGTCCCCTGGCCGCGAAGACCTCTCTGGACCCGTTGACTGCCATGCCGCCTGCCATGCCACATGACGTATGATTCCCTGATGTGCCCTGTAATCATCTGCAACTTACTTGCATGGCTCAGCTGCTTTAAAGCATTGCACATGCAGGAAGCGACTCACAGCTGCACCTCCGCAGTTGGGAGAGATTCCTCCACTCCATCCGTGGTACCTTTGCTATCTTCAGCTTGTGCTGCATTCTTCTTCTTGGAGCTCTTTCCTTTCGACCTGGCAAAGGCAACTTCTCAGATCTAGCCTGGAAGAAACTCCGCAACAGCATCACATTCAAGTCGAAGCGAGATGATGGCAAAGCTTGCATCTACGCGCCTCTTCTTTGTATCAGTTGCAGGCTCTGCAGATGAAGCTGTACCCATCTTGGAGATAGTGGAAACATGTGCAAACCAATAGCATGCGGAACAAGGTTCAAGATGGGCCAGGGGCCCTGCAGCCCGCTCAGCTTTCTCTCCATGCTTGCAACATGGTCTGCCCTTGTGCTGGCCAAGTATCTATACTGATCCCAAATGATTACTATGTGCGCAGATGACCCGGATCACAGACATCTGTCAACATGGTGAACCGTCTTCTTGCCATATCATGCATTGCCACACGCTTTAGCTGCTGAACCCGACTTCCTTCAAGCCACGCGAATGGCAATAGCCACGCGAATGGCAAAGGCCCTTGCGCTGGTAGAAGAACTCAGTCAAAGAGCATTAGTGCCACTCTCTGCTTTTTCGCACATCCATCAACGGCCACCACAAAATTTAGAGCTGTCGGAGCCCCGTCAAGCTTTAACAGCAGGATTTGGGCCTTGGAGAGGTAAGTGTTTGAGACATCTGCCCACTTTGGCAGACCTGAAGAATTTTACATGCTCAACTACGAAGGCATGTTCCTTCAGCGGGGATACCGAGCTTCACGCATGTCGGCTGTACCCCGTGGCAGAATCAGCTACACCAGCATATTAGCAATGGGATTAAAAGTCGGCTGGCTTGGAAAACGCTGCAGATGCAGCTACCCGCTGCCAACTTTTGCTTGTCAGCCCTCCAATCGTGCTGGTGTGACACTGCTGATAACATCGAGTCGTGAAGGCTGCAAGCGTGATTACTTGCCGGCTTTGTCAGCTGGCTACTCTCATCCTGAAAGCCGATGCCAATGCATTCCGGCGTATGGGCGGCAAGAGCGGTCCACTTGCGGACACAAGCTCACCAGATTAGTAGACCTCCGTGACCTCAAGGAGCAACAACTTCTGAGTGATAGCTGAGCTGCTGGGCTGGTTGAGGCAAGCTGTGTTCCTGGCATATCGGCCAGCGAGCTGCAGACTCTCCATCTTCTTGTGAGCCTGCTCGTTTGTGAGACCTCACCGAGCCAGTAGAGCGCAAAGAAGCCAGCTGCTGAGGCATGCAGAGTCCGGAGTCAGCTATGTCATCAAGTCATGCTGGCTGCGCCTCCCTTGGTCTCCATGATCTTCACAAGTGCCGCAAAAACATCCTTGCACACAGGGCAAAAACCGGGCAAATTGTGCGTGTAGATGGATTCTGTGTCTACCAGTGGCCTCTAACACCTACCATTCGTAGGGTAGCAAACGGCCTCTCTTTGACATACATAAACTTGAATGGTTGGCTAGCATGAAAGCGAATTATCGGCCCTTGCACATTGCTCTGATTTGCTTTCTCAAACGAATCTTTGGACTGAACAAACAACCAGCCATATGTTGTGGCAAAAGGAAGCGCGGGATCGTTCAAGTCGGGTCCTTCTCAGGCTGCTTGGAGCCACAAAGGAAGAAGAAGCCGTTGGACCCTTCCTTGCCCAGGTGCTGCCAAATATTGGCCTCAGCAAGGCGAGACGGCTTTGCACAGCATGAGAAGAGTTGCGCGGATGCTTGGGGCAAGACAGCCTCCTCCATGATCTTGTGCTGAACATAGACCTTTTCCTTCTGGTCACGGGACCAGGCGTTGCAACACTTTACCAGGCCCTCCTTCTCGTACGCCTCCATCCTCAGAAGGTCTGACAGCATGTACAAACTCCACAGTTTCGGAATGTCTGGCATTTGTGCAGCAAGAGCAAGGCCGCATATCAGGGACCGTCACTGGCCACCCAGGTTTCGTCCCAGCTCCGGCTGTCGGGCAGGACCCCAGGACACGTCAACAGCGAGCATCTAAATCCAAATCTTTGCACCCCTCAAAACCGAACAGGTAGAAGGGGGCCCCGCATCTTCTGGCCGCTGTCAAACATTGAGTTTTCTTCTAGCATCCGGGACCCAGTGAGCGACCCCGCGTTTCGTGAAGCACACGCCTCCCCCCCCCTGGATCGGCCCGGTCCTTCCCGTTTAAACAGAGCGCGTCAACTTAAACATGCTGAGCAGTACGAGTGCTGATGGCTGCTCCCTGTGGCTGCGGCTCATCCTGGTAGTAGTACTCGGCCTTCTTGTGCCGACCACCGAAGAACAAAGTCATTGGTCCCACTCGGTGCCCCAAAGACTTCTCGTACTTGCGCTGCTCGATGTAAGCCTAAAGCCATTGGAAAAGCTGCAGATGCAAGCAAGATAGAATCACTGAGGACCTGGCTCGGAAAGGAGCAAGGCCTGTACCCAGTCCGGCCATGAAGATCGGAGCAGATTTGTCCTCTCGATGCGCGAACTCGAGCTGTGGCATAAGAGGGCACAACAAACAAACACCCGAGCAGGCCATGTTGAACGCAGCAAGTTCCTGGCCTCGGGGATCTGCATCACAGAGTGCGTGGCATGAGCAATGCAGATGGCACCGGGCCTGGACTACATGGGACATACCCGGGGTGCAGCTTGACCAGTCAGGGAGGTTGCAGCGCTTGGTAGAATAGGATTAGCGCGCCTGAGAAAGGTCATGAAGCTGGAGCACAAACCGTACTTGGTATCCCCACCTTGCTGCCGCTTCTCTAGGAACACATGACTTGAACACAACACTCACGACCCCCACGCCTTTTGCTTGCCAGTCCTCTCGCACAACCAGCAACTGGCACTTGCCAGGGCGGAAGGCGCTGGAGGAGCAAATGGAATACACGCCTGGTCAGGACTCTTTTTTTGTTATCTTGATTCTTCTTATTATGATGATTTTTGCCATTAGTATTTTTGCAAGGTAACAGAGAAATCATCGATCTGAGGTTCGTGCGCTGCTTGATGGTTGGAAGTAGCTCAACATACTTTGCCACCTGATCTGCGAGCATGACAAGTTGACTGTTGGCATCCTGGAGTATACACAAAGGCTGAGCGGAAACCTGGTCCAAGTAAGCTTCTGGCCGGAATCTTGAGCCTGAACAAATGCCACAACAGCCATTGGGCTTTGAAGGCTTTGAAGGCTTTGTGCATATCAGCGGCAAGAACTGACAAGCCAAGTTGCGAGGGATACTCGAGGATGTAGTCTGCGTAAGTGTAGGCGCGCGCTTGCCGATCCAAAAAGTCTTCGGTCTTTCTATCCAGCGTCAACTCTGCAATTGCCACCTTCTCCATGATGTCCTGCAAAATGTCGAAGGCAATCCGCAAACACAACGTGCTTTCACTGCAACACGAGCCAAGAATCAACGTCAATCCCCTCCTGGGCAAAGGGGAACAACTTTTTCAGGAACTCCCGGCTGGGCTTGCCAAACAAATCCAGGTACTGGGTGAAGAGTTTGTACACAGTCCTTACGGGCACACGTCGCAACACCGCAAAAGCCGCAAATGCCGCAAGCTTGGAACCAGCACCTGGGCCCACCACGTGACGACCACAGTCCCGTCTTCGGATTGGGGCGCAAAGTCTTCCACGGACACCAGCTCATCAGGATCGAGCTTCATTTTCGTCAGGAACTCGTTCACCTGCTTCAAATTTTAGCGAGGCTTCGCGCAGCTTTAGCGCTTGCCCTGGACGGCATAATTTCCTTGGCACACTTACCAGGCCTGGTCGGCTGGGTTCAACGCATAGACAGACAAAGCCTTTCCCATGCTGCCGTTCACCAAGTGTTCCAAGCCGGTTCCTTTGACGTCCACCTTGGAACAAATCCGAGCATGCTGATGAACAAGCGCTGTCTTGGGCACGTTCCTACACGTAGAGCACTGTCTTAAAAACAGAAAAATATAGTCGTACCTGTCACAAGATAGTAGTAACACCAACAACAACAGTAATCATGATAGTAACTTGTTTACATTAGACTCACTGCTCTGTCGGCATGTGTAATGATAGTAGCAGTAACAATAACAGTAAAAAGAACAGTAACAGTAACAGTAGCAGTAACAATAACTATAACAATAAACTCTTTTACTTCGAACATCCCCACCTTGCTTAAAAGGAAAAAGCGCAAATAGGATGTTCAAACAAAGACACATTGATTCAAATACGTTTTCTTGGTTTTGCTTGCAATTGGCGTTGGGAACTCCAGGGAGACTCTGGGGTTGGGCACTCCAGGGAGACTCTGGGTTGGGCACCCCAGGATTCTCTAAGGTTGGGCACTCAGGAGACTCTGGGGTTGGGCATTGTAGGGAGACTCTGGGGTTGGGCACTCTAGGAGTCTTTGGGTTGGGCACTCCAGGGAGTGTCTCGGGTTGGACTCCATGGAGTCTCTGGGGTTGGGCACCGCAGGGAGCTTTGGGCACTCCAGGGAGGCTCTAGGAGTAGACCGGGCGAGGAGAAGAATTCCGGGCGAGGAGAAGAGTTGACTTTAAAATCTAACAACTCGACACCGAAGGTGGGGAACAATACACAATACACAGTACGCAATACGCAATACACAATCCACTTGACACTGTAAACAATAAAAGAAAACAATAAACACGAACAACAGCAACTATACTAATAATTAATCTAACACTAACAATAATAAGAATAAGAAGAAAAATAATATGAATAGCAACAATGACAAAATTTCGATGATAAGAATAAGAAAAAGAATAAGAATAAGAATAAGAATAAGAGTAAGAGTAAGAGTAGGAGTAAGAGTAAGAATAAGAATAAGAATAAGAATACGAATATGAATAAGACATGAGAATAAGAATAAGAAAGAATTAAGAACAAAAAAAGAATAAGAATAAGAAGAATTAAGAATAAGAAGGAACAAGAAGAATTGAAAGAATAAGAAACTGAGAGAATTAGAAGAATTGAAAGAATAAGAAGAATTCAGAGAATAAGAAGAATTAAGAGAATATAATTAAGACAATACGAATAAGAATAAGAATGAGAATAAGAACAAAAAAATAGAATGAGAATGAGAATGAGAATAAGACTAAGACTAAGACTAAGACTAAGACTAAGACTAAGACTAAGACTAAGAATAAGAATAAGAATAAGAATAAGAACAAGAACAAGAACAAGAACAAGAATAAGAATAAGAATAAGAATAAGAATAAGAATAAGAATAAGAATAAAAGGATAAGAATAAAAGTAATAAAAGGATAAGAAAAAGAATAGGGAGCAATAGGTACCGATATCTTCGGGGAAGCCTCGATGTGAAAGCACGTGCGGTCATAGTTCTCAGGGGTCAACAATTTCCAGTCCTCGCAAGTGGAACATGTGACATCATGTGACGTGGTTCCCTTTCATCTCAAGAGGAGACCCCCACAAGCCAAAGCAGTGAGGGCGGTCCGTCACCCGCACCAACTCACCCTGAGAAACATCTGGCCGTGCTCTGAGCTGTGCCTGTTTGCATTGCTTTCGAAGCGCACCCGAAAGCACTGACAGCACAGAAAGCAGAGAGCTTCAGACAAGCCTTGTACTGTGGCTGGAAGGCGAGAAGCCGAGACAAGTCTCCAACCTCCGAATCGCTGTGCAAGTTGCATGTGTGCACATCCGCAGACGAAGACGTCAAAGTACGGCACTTACGCCCCCATCCTTGTTGATTGTGTCCGCATTGATCTCTCCCGCTTTCGACTTGGCATCTTGGTGGTGCTTGTATGCCATGGCAGCCTTCTGGGCTTCCACCTGGTCCATGAGATCACTGATTTTTGCTGCCAGCCTGACTACACAACCAGTCGCTTGCCGAAGCCCGCACTCCCATGATTTCCTTCACTTTCGCCATGCCGACCTCTGCGGGACGAAAGGTCGCGTGATCAGGTTTGGCATCGGCACTGACCAATCAAGCTTGGGACCAACCATGCCGGTTGGAAGGGCCGCGTTGGCAACACCAAAGGTGATGCTGCCTGTCACATGAAACGCCACATGCTCACCTCGCGAAGATATCAGAATGACTGCCTCTTCAATTGTAGGCGCCATGTGGGGCCTGAGCGTGCGGCACTCAACAAAGCACAAGAAGGTGTTGTTTACTGGTGACTTCCACGTCATGTCCACATCCACATCAAGCTGCAGGATAAGAACCGGAGCTGCACGCGCGTCTTGAGCCTTCAACACCTTCACTTGTTCACGCTACATTCATGCTCTCCCACGCGCTCGCACGACAGGGTCTTATGCTCATACCACGGTGCAATGCAAATTTCAGTGCTGTTTGTGCTCAGTGACGTATTGGAAGGCAAGGTGAGTTTCGGTTCAAATTGTCGTCACCTAGCCTTTCTCAAGCAGGAATGCAAAAATCCTGCTCTTTTGTGCCCATGGTCTGGCCCACTGCCCCCCCCGGGATGCAGCAGGGTGCCCGCTGGCGCGCCCTTGCCCTCGCGAGGAGACAGAGGATCGTCATCGAATTGCGGCTGATGCGTCCAGTTCCAAACCGAACACGACGAGCTTGCAGTGTCTCGCACTCTGGAGCTCTGGGAATATTTTGCCCGCTTGTTCGCCCTGGGGCAACACAAGGCGCTGCAGCAAGCAAGCGGCCAGCTCCACGTTTCCGATGCGCTGTAGGCGTTCCTAGACGACATTTTCAGCACGGGGGACCCGGCACGAACCACGGGCCAGTGCCGGATCCTCCAGGACTCCCTCCGCCAGCATGCCAACATCCAAGTGCACCTCGGTAAGACACGTGCATGGAACAGTGCGGGGGAGGAGCCGGCCATGTTGCCGCAGGAAGACCCGGCTAACCCATGTTGGACAGGAGACCGGACGCTCGCAGAATCCCACACCGTGTGCAAGGCGCTGCGAGGAATATATTGATTCATGCTCAGGAACGAAGCTTGTTGAGAGCAATGCGCTGATGTTGTTAAGGTGATGTTCTGTTGACTCCTGTGCCCTAAACGGACCACCTTCGGGGGCGTACAGGCGACCTGACCTTACCTGGTCGGATGTCGGTATCGAAACCTCCTTGTTCGTTACGTTTGCGTGCTTTTTGAAATTTGTTGCGAATTGAAGCTGACAGTCGCCTTGCGTTGGTTCAGTCGTTGGCAGCAGACTCGTCTTGCATATCCACGGTTCGGAACACATGATATCATTGTACACTTTTGCAGCCTGCCACGATTCCGGTGGTTTCCTTGCTTGCTGACGCCGGGCCTGCTGACTTGTCTAAATTCATCAAAATTCTAAACATGTTGAATTTAAACGTTTTTTTTTCTTCGGACTTTTATGCCTGCTGATCCGTTTGGTCGGCTCCAAAACTACCCGGGCAAGCTACGCCACGCCCGCAGCGGCAGCCGGCGGGCTTCAGCGCAGCGGCAAGCGACTCGGTCCGTCCGGGTCGCCAAGAGCCAGGACGGCAGCCAGGGTCGGCAGGCTGTCTTGCGCCGGCCCCACTACCGCCCTTGCCCTCCCCAGCGCCGTTGAGCCGACCGCCTGCTGGCATGCGACGGACAGGGCGCTCCACCACCTGCGTGCCCAGGCGACGCCGGCAACCGCGCGCAGAGGTGCCGGGGCGCGGCAGGCCCGCAAGCGGACCAGGCGTCGCACCACTGACGCAGCCTCGGCGTTCCAGCGCCCCCCGACCTCACAACCAAGCACGCAGAGCTGTTGCGCCCCCCCCTGTGCGAGCTCGGGGTAGGTGGCCCGCTTGCGCCGCTCGGCCGCGCGCAGTACGGCCCCGTCACGGTCTGCGGCTCTGCAGTGGGGCGTGCCATCCCTCGCCAGCGGCGAGACGAGTGTGGCGTCGCAGCATAGCGCCCCTCCCAACGGGGTCGCCCCGTAGATGACGAGGTCCAAGCGGCGACGATCCCCCGAGGGTACTCCAGGCGCGGTGGTATGGGCCAGCCATTGCTGCGGCACCACTTGGCCCTCTGGCCCAACAGCCTCGCGCGCGACACGCACCCAGGCGCGCTCGACGACTTTGGCACGGCGCGCAAGCAGGCCCGTGCGGGGGCAAGCCAAGGCATGGTCGCCGTGCTCATCGACCCACACCCCGGGGTGGACCGCCCGCCATCCCCACCACAACGCCCTGCGGCCAGCGGAAGCGGCAGGCGTAGGCGTCGCCTCAGTGCGATCTGCATCATCTCCGGGGAGAGCGTAGTGTGGGGGTCACTTGGGATGGCCGTAAGCCATGCGCCGGCGTGGGGCCCAGCCTGTGAACGCACGAGAGCGCGATGAGCGGGCGACAAGGAAGGCAGCAACACGCGGTCGCGGAAGAAACGGTTCCGAGTACGCGACGCGTGAAACTGCCATCCATGCACCCGCCCGCCAGGCTCAGTGGCGTCGGGCTCGGGTCCCGGCGGTCTCGCCCCCCTAGCAACCCGCGACCATGCCGGCACATCGACCCAGCCTTCGTTGAGAAGTAGCTGCCGACCAGCCTCGGCGGCTCGCAGGCACGCTGGGCCAGTGCCATCTTGGAGAGCCGCGACCGCCCATGCGGCAAACCTGGGGCAGCGGGCCTCGAAGACGGCGAGCGAGTCAGCCCACGCAGCCCAGTAAGCTGCGGGGGCTGCGCGTGTTGCCTGAGTGAGACCCAGACCTCCTAAGCTTGCGGGCAACAGCGCGATGGCGCGTGCCGGGCACTCCGCGTCCTCGGCCGGCTCACCAACACAAGCTTGCAACGTGCCCCACACAGCCGCATCGTGCGCCGCAGCGTACGGCTTGATCAACTCGGGCGGCACAGTTCGCAGGGCGTGGTTGGCGCGCGGCGAGGCGCAGTACGCCAGGAGCAACCACGCGCACTGTAGGTCGGGCAGCAGGGGGAGCTGCCGCAGGAGCTCGTCTTCCTTCGCCACGCGATCCCGCCCCCACGCCTCTGTGAACTGGGGTGTCCCCACGGGGCAGCCCAATGCGACTATGCCGCGTTCGAGCAACGGCTTGTCCCCGCGCCACACGTCGTCGCCGAGGTCGCAAACCCCCGGCGGCGCTGGTCCCCCGGAGAAGTTGAACACGCGAGTCTTGCCCAGGTTGGCCGCGATCCCGGTGTGGGCCTCAACAGATGCCGTTGCCGTATCGAAGGCTGCACGGGACCGTGTTGGGCACGGGAGCACGAGGTAGAGGTCATCCAGAAACGCGAGGAGTTCCTCACCATCCTGAAGCCTCTCAGCCGCGTGCTGCAGCCCCGCATGTTGTCCCAAGGCGAAGAGCGCGGGGGCCAATGGGTCCCCTTGCTCGCATCCCTCGCCCTGGAAGATGCTATGGCGCTCGCCGCTCTCGTCCCACCAAAGGTACTCCGAGGCCTGACCGTAAAAAAGCCGGGCGAAGGGGACGAGGGCGGGCGCCACTTCATGGAGCTTCTGCAAAAAGGCAGCGCGGGAAATGCAGTCGTATGCGCTGCGACCGTCTAGCGAGACGACGGTGGTCTGAGGGTCGCATTCGAGAGCGGCCCGCAGCTTCGCTGTAAGAGCGTCCATGCCCGCGCGAGTGCTTAAGGCATATTGGAATGGTCGGGTCGCCTCATCGAATGTGGCAGCGTGGGAGGCGGCCAACGTGCGGGAAACAAGCCGCCGGAACGTGTCGCCAGTGGCGATGCCACGGACCCCGCCTCCAGGCTTCTGGATGGCAGTCATACGCGCAAGCGCAACGCCGGCAGCGACTTCCTGGGGCACGTCAGCACGGGCGAGGAGGGTGGCAGCCTCGGCCAGCAATTCCAGAGCATCGGCCTGAACTAGGAGGACTTTGTAGTGTTCGGCCCGCGCTCCCGACAAGCCCGGCGCGCTGCCGCGCTTGCAAGCACGCAAGCTGCGCGCGATGGCGGCGGCCGAGATGTGTACCTGGGCAGGAGGCCGGAACTGGAGAAGCTCATCAGGGATATCCTGCCTGGGCCGAGCCGGTCTCTTCGTGACGTCCGTCAGCGCCGCGAGGGTAGCCGCATCTCCGGGTGCCAGGGGCGCAGACGTGAGGTCGTGGCGGGTGCGCGAAAGCTCACCTTTGCGGACTTTGGCGCAGGCGACCTCGCGTCGGTGGGCCGCAGCAGCCTCTGCATCGGCAATGTTGCTCGCTCCGCAGGCGGGCCGATGCTGAGCGCGCGCACGTTCCAACAGGGCGGGCCATTCGGCACGCTCGTACGCACCAACGCGGGCCAATAGCTCGCGCCTGCCTGCAGCACCGGTCTCTGCCGTCCGCGCGAGGAGCATGCGAGGCGTAAGGAGGAAAAGTTTCCAGGCTCGCGCGCGTACAGCCTCCTCTGCCGGCCCCGCATAAGCCTCCTGCAGCGCTGTCAGGGCGAACTCCAAGGCGCGACGCAACCCGCCGCGCAAGAAGACCGGGACGTCTTGTAGGGTCGGCACGGGGCCACGAAGTTTTGCGAGAAGATCCACGGCATCAAGCGCTTCAAGGGTTGGAGGCGAGGCGGGCCTGCGCGCAGGCTGGGCGAGGCAGGCAGCGGTTGGAGCAGCGGAAGCAGCGTCGCTCGAGTCGCCATCCCCCCGCCTCGCAGACGACTCCACCGGGGTCCGATTACGTCGGCGCGGTCGCCCGGTGCGTGTGGGAGATGCTGCTGCGTGTGCGGGAGGTGGCTCGCAAGCACGCAAGGCATCGGCAAGCATTGCCGCCTCCGCAGCCACCGCAGGCCCCCCGTATGCTTCGAGCAAGGCCGCCTGCGCCACGGCGGGCACATAGCCGTGGGCGTCGCAAGCGCAAGCGAAAGCCGTCGGGAGAGACACGAGCCGGTCAGCATGCGCGTCGAGGTGGCGACACAGAGCCTCAGCTTCGACCACTGCCGCCTCGGCGTCGTCCTCCAGCACTGCCACCGCTCTGCACAGCGCGACTAGCTGGGCCGCAAGCACAGGCTCAGCTCGGGCGAGTGTATGCACCAGTGCTTGCCACCGCACGCCGCACACGGGATGGGCCACCCACTGGCCGGAGGCCGCAGGGGCGAGTGTGGCCGAGGCCGCGTGGAGCAATGGCACGTAGAGCCACGAGTTGCGGGCAGGGAGATCCCTTGTGCAGGGCGGGCCGCAGCCGCTCCACTCGCCGAGCACAAGGCCCGCCATCTGCTCTGGCGGCGCTGGCACTTCAGTCGGCGTGAAGCCCGGCGTCGCCTCCCCCGGCAACGTCGGGGCCACCTCACCGGCGTGTGTGAAAGGCTCAGCGTCCCGGGGCGAGGCGAAAGGCGTGTTGGCGCTGAGCGTGTCGGAAAGTGTTTCGGCCTCGCTGGCAGCGCGCCCGTCTGGTGGAAGAAGCCGCATCTCACCCAACGCGTGCAAGGCTCGCTCGCGGCGGGCTGCAACATCGCTCGCTTGTGGCGGGCCGGGGTTGTCAGCCTCTCCAACACGCCGGCCCAAATGCGGATGGGGCGTGTGGTCGACGCAACGGGCAGTGTCTGCGCGGAACGCGCGCCTTCCGCCGTGTGTCCGATGCGCGAGGTGCCCGCAGCCCCCGCAACAGGAAGAGCCCCCTGTAGCGAGCAGGGCCATCGGCGGCACTGCCTGCGAGCAAGTGGCGGTAATTACGCGCCGCCCTGCCCCGCGCCCTGGCAAGGCACGGGGACGGCGACGAGTCCGGAGGTCTGCCCGTGGCAGGCCTGGCGGTGTTTCCGAAATGGGAGGAGGGGCCCGCGACTGTGAGAGGGAGTTGCCTGGTGCGCCGTCCAGTACTGCGGTCGCCTCGCGGAGTAGCCGGCGCAACAGATCTTCCGGGGAAGTGCCCGCTTGCGTCGCCAGGTCCAGTAATTCGCCAGGCTCCCCAGCGGCGCAAGCCAGGACGTGCTTCGCCGCTGTGTGCCACAGTTGCTGCGCAGAGGTCTGCACGCGGGGCGGCCACAACCGGGTGGACTGCAAGCAAAGGCCGACGGCAACCACCAGCCCCCCCACCAGCCCCCCCGCCAGCGCCCCCAAGCAAAACCACCCCCAGGACAAGCACCAGGGGCCCCAACCTGGGGGGTAGTACGTCGGGGAGGCGCCCGCACAAACCAAGGCAGCATGTGCCATGGCTTCGCGGCATGTGGGAGGCAACTGGGCCAGAGATGGCACGGCTCGCAAGGCCTCGCGAGTCGCCCACTGCCCCCAAACTCCACAGCAGAGCGAACCATGGGGCCATGTGGCCGCGCGATGATGCCTTGGCTACGTCTACTGCGACCCTCCAGCTGCGCGCGACGCGCCCTAGGAGCAGTCACGGCCCTTGAGCCAAAATGGCTTGAGCCAAAATGACGTTGTTGCAGTGCGGTACCCGTCGCGCCAGTTGCAAAGTGCCACCTGCGCCTCGTGTGCGGCCGACGCTCAGGTTCCAAGCCCGTCGTGGGACCGGCTTGCTTGAGCGGGAGATGACCAGCAGCCCGCTAATTTCATTCGCATCTGGGAGCAGAACGCGGCTCATTCCCTGGACGACACGTTGGCGGCATCCCTGGTTGTGCATGGGCGCTTCCCTGCGGGCGTCTGCAGCCAAGGTTTTCACGGCCCTGCCCACTACCCCGGAGCTCCGGCTTTCGCCACCGTTGCCCGTTACTTCTGCCTTGTGCGGACAGTGCCTTGGCGATCACAGACAGAGCTTCGTGGTTCTTTTTCTGGCCTACTCGCCACCAATGGCTTTGTGCGCGAGTTCGTTGAACGGATGGACACAATCAACGCTGGGTTTGGCCTTGGACTCGGCAGGCCACCAGCACCGAGGGGCGGACCTAGTTACCCGGAACGTGTCCTGTCTCCTATGACCAGAGCCCGGATGCCAGGTTTCACAGCGCAACCAACCGACCCACCCAGCCGACACCTGTTGGGCAGCATGGCAGCAAGGTTGCGCCGTGATCGTCCAAGCGCTCCGCGCGGGCTTAGAAACGGAGCGGGACTTCCGAGCGGCATGCTCATGCTGCGTTACTGCGCTGCCCCGCAAGCCAACTACCTCCTGCGTGTTTTGCCCCCAGCAAAAACGGCCCATTACGCCGCCAAGCACGACGCTGTTATTGCGTTGCTAAGTTCCTCGGACAAGCGGACAATCCGCTGCGTGAGGGCGCGCTGCAGACGGCACAGTTTGCTGCTCGCTTTGGTGGCCTTGGCTTGCATTGCGCACTTGCTGATCGCAGTGCCGGCGGGGCCCGTTGGGCACGCACGCGCGCCAAATCTCTGACGAGCCCCTGCGCTGCCTCGTTCCAGCGCCCCCCTATTGCGGAGCCGACGACGAGGAGCCGCTGCGGACCGCCCGCGCATGCCCGCGCTGAGCTCCGGTAGGCGGTTCGCTTGCGCCGCTCGGCCACCCGCAGCATGGCGCCGTCGTTGCGGGTTGGGGCTGGCCCGTGCGCGTGAGCGGCGACACCAGGGTCGCATCACAGCACAACGCTCCTGCTCCAACAGCTTCGCGTGCGACCCTCACCCATGCCCGTTCAACGATCTCTGCTCGCCGAGCCAACAGTCCTGTGCGAGGGCCAGGCCAAGGCATGATCGCCGAACGTGTCGACGAGCTCGCCGCAACCGGGAGATGGGCCGCACCGACTTTATCGCAAGGGGAGCGGGAGGCGCAGTCAGCGGCGCAAGGTGCGCTGCATTGCTTGCGGGGGCAGTGTGGTGGCGGGCTCCGCTGGAATGCTGTTAACCATGCACGCGTGCGGCCCAGCTTGAGAAAGCAAGAGCGCGCAGGCGCTTGCTGGCAAGGCTGGCAGCAACGTGCGGTCGCTGAAGTTCAGGTTGCGAGTTCGCGACGCACTGTGCTGCCAGCCATGCGGCCACTCGCCTAGGCCCCTGTCAGTCACTGCTGGTGGGCGCGCCATCCATGATGACTGGGACGATGTCGGCTGGCACCTGCGCATTTGCCAGCCGGGTTGCAGCATAAGCGAGGAGTTCCAGTGCTGGCCGGTCCTGGAGCCAGACTTTTAAATGCTCTGCTCGCATGCCACGCCGCCTCGCTTCGCATCTCGCAGGGCCGCTGCGACAGCAGTCGGGCCGAGCCGGAGGAGACTGTTCGGCCGGTAGTCAGCCACGTCAAACGGCACTGCCGTGCGCAGTCGCGGCGGGCCGCGGGCGGGGTCTGTCAACATACGCCAAGTGGTCTCGTTGCCGGGCGCAAGCTCAAGAGATGGCGGGTCTTGGACAGCTCGCCCTCCCCCCCGCAATCACTGCGGCTTTCGCCGACCGGCACAATGCTGCAGTCCTCCATTGTTTGGGGTCATTGCTGGCGGGCGGCGAAGATGGGGCGCCGCTCCCAGACATGAGCGCTAGGCGTGCTCAGCTCCCCATGCGCATGGGAGGGCTTGGATAAGGGTCGTCCTGGGCCCACACACTGCAAGCGATCGGCACACACCACCCGGGCACACTTGCAGACCTCGTTCGCCCACTCTTGGACGTGAGCGCCGCCGATACGCCTCCAAACGCACACGCGGCGGAACACGCCGCATAACACCTGCACTCACAGGGCTTCCACGCACCCCCCTGGGCGACGCTCCTGGAAACCTCGTCCAAGGAGGCAAACCTTTTTTTTCATGCCTGCCGGCTAAGCGGCTCCAAAACCCAGCGGCGGGGAACCTGGCGTCCGCGGCCGCAGCACGGCGTTCCGGTCGGGCGCCCAGCGAGCAGCTGCTGGGCGGAAACGATCGGAGTGCCGGTTCCAGTGCCGACGCCAAATGCACGCCTCCGTAGCATTCGAGCAGGGCCTCGTGCACGGGCGCAAACAAGTACCCATCCGGCTCCCGGAGCTGGCGGACTGCCCATCCGACGTGGACACGCACTGCTGGGCAAGCCCACGTCCTGGATGCGTGAGATCCGGCAGGTGGTGCTCGTGTGCTGGCGCGGCATCCACGGCACGTGCCAAAGCTGCTGTGTCTCCGATCTCAGGATCAGCTACGCAATCTACAGCAGACGGCTGGCACGGGGGGGGCCGCGACCAAGGAGTCGGCGAGGACATTGCAGCCGTGGGAGCAGCGAAGGTGCCCGCGCTCGGTGGCCCGGTCGTACTCCCACCAAAGCCGGCTGCCGCAACCTCCGCACGCCTTTCCGGCATCTGCGAAGAGTTGGGCGTCCACTTTTGACAGAGCCACGCGCCCTTATCAGTTTGCCTTGCAAGCGCGAGCGTGCACGGACGCACTGGCGGCCCATGTCCGTGTGGCCCTGGACCAGGACCCCAACCAAGTGCTGGTGTCTCTGGATGGGCGCAGTGCCTATGACAGCATCTCGCGTACTTTGTTTCTGACGGCGCTCAAGTCCGTCGCGCCCGAACTCCTCCCCTCCGTGCGGCTTCTTTATGGCCGTCCTTCCACGTACTGTTTGTGGGACGCGTCGGGGCACTGTCGCGATGTTGCCCAAGGAGAGGGATGCGAGCAAGGTGACCCGCTGGCTCCGGCACTTTTGTTTTTTTTTTTTTTTTCCGGCTCTTTTTGCCCAACATGCCGCTTCATGCCAAGCCTCGTCCTCGCTCCACTCCTCCGATGCACTCCCGGTCCTTAGCGAATGCGCCCCAGCTTCAGCCGAGGCTTGAGGGGACATGGATGTCATCCAGCTGGACATCCCGAGTACACCCAGGGGGGTCGCCAAGCCGCAATGCCGGCGTCGTGCCGTGTCGGCTGAGGCACCCACTGCATGTCGCGGTGCGGCATAGCGACAAAGTCGATCCCCCCCGCACCTCGTGTGGCCGCGACCCGGTTGCAACACAAAACAACGACGCCCGGAGGCGGTGGTGGTTCGGCCGCGTCGTTGGAGGTGAAGGTGCGACGTGCATAGTCTTTTCACGGCCTCCCGCACCGTCTCTTCGCCAGAAATCCGGGCTGGCATCTGCACACCTTGGCGCGCGCGCTCGTCGCGCAACGCCGCATCGTGCTCGGCCGTCCATCCACCCGGCTCGCACGCGGGGCAGCGACTGTGGCGGCACAAGGGACACAATATGTCGGCCGGGCGCGAGGCTTGCACGCGGAATTGGGCCAAGCACCCGAAGTGCAGTTGGTGACGCGCGCCGCGGCGCGCGATCTCCAGACGTCTTGGTTGGAGTAGTGCCCCCCCTTATGGGGGTGGTCCGGAAATAGGCGGCCCGTGTATTTCGTTTTTTTAAGGTTTCGGGGGGGGGAGGGGGACTGTAGCAAGGCATGTTCTCTCAGAAAGGCACTCGGACAGAAACCATTTCAGCGCGAGCTGTCTTCACCGGCGTCTGTGTCTGCTGCGTGTCTGGTTTGAAACCTCGATCCTGAGTGTACGTTTCATGGCCAAATTGAGTTTGTGAAGTGTGGCCCCTGGAGTGTTGCTCACCCAAAGTGGCTAGGCACAGCCCACATGTGACAGTTTGTCCTTTTTTGTGTCTGTTCCTGAACCTACAACACGACGGCGGGTGAAATTCGCAAGACCTCAATGAGTTTCACCCGTCATCGTGTTGCAGCAGGTTCCGGAACAGACACAAGAGGGACAAGCTGTCACATGTGGGCTGTGCCTATCCGCCCCAAAACCCCCTCGCCTTCCCCGCCCATTTGGCATGCGCTTGGGAAGCCTTTATCCCAGCTGCAGAGGGCGGGAAGGGGACTATAGCGTGCAAGAGGCCCTGTCTGCCTTTCCGTGGACGTGTTGTGCGACTGTTAGGATGTTTTCTGGCTGTCTGTGGGACCCTGGAACCGGGAACGCTCCAAAAATAAGCGGGACTGTGGCGCGCAAGAGGCCCTGCCCTTTATGACCCACCCCAAACCCCCGCCCTCGCCGCCTGTTTCTGGCATTTTCTGGCTGTCTGGACCCTATGGGATCGGGAAAGCCCCAGAAATAAGCGGGAAGGAGGGGGGGGGACTGTAGCGCGCAAGAGGCCCTGCCCTTTACGACCCACCCCCACAGCCCCGGCTCGCCGCCTATTTCTGGCTGTCTGTGGGACCTTTGTGGGACCCATAGGACAAGAAAGAAATAAGCGGGAAAGAGGGGGGGGGACTGTAGCGTGCAACAGGCGCCCTGCCCTTTATGACCCACCCCAACCACCCCCCCCCCCCCCCCGCCACCTGTTTCCAGCCGTCTGTGGGATCCCCAGGATGCCCTGTGGGACCCTGGGATGCTTGGCTGGAGTCCTAGAGCTAGAGACCGATCTGTAAAGGAGTGCAAAACATGCCCTGCGCATCCCTCCCCGCCTATTTCTCATTTGCCCTCTACCCCTCCCAAGATTGCGAGACTCCTGTCAAGTGCCCTTCATAATCTGCGTTGGGCCGAGGGAACAATGCTATGCCTGTGTTTGCGAATCTAGTTTGAACATAGGAAAACAAACGCATGACTAAGTTATGGGCAGCGCTACGCAGGACAATTTAGGAACTGATCCTTCACCAAACCAGCCCTGGACCCTGAAGCCCAAAAACTCAACCCCCTTACATCCTCAAGACACCAACCCTTCAACCTCCGAACCCAAACTTGGAACCCCTTAATTAACCTTAAGCCCCTATCCTCTAAACTCCTCGTCGAAAGGAATGAGTTGGGCTCTACATCCCATGCTGTTTGTTTAACATGACAGGCAGCCCCATAACTCAAGTTAACCGATAATTCCCCCGCTTATTTTCTTGACTCCCCCCACTGTAGCAAAATAAGCGGCGGGGAAGCCCGGAAATAGGCGGCAGTGGGGGTAACCCCCCCCTCATTCCCAGATTTTTAAGGGGGGGGCCGTGTTGGAGTGCCTCCAAGCACACGCAACACGAGTCGAATTCAACCTCCGGTGCTCGCGGCGCGGCACTGCCGGAGGAGAGAGTGGCGGCGGCGACCGGGATGCGACGGAGAGAACCGGGGACGGCTGGCGACGATTAGCGATCCGGCGAATCCGTCCGCGAAATGCGACGAACCATGTCTGCGGAGGATGCGCCGTCGCGCGCCCTTGCGCCGGCTGCCATCGGAGGGGCACGTCGATCAGGCGTGTGTGACCGAGGCGCGCGTAATAGGGGATCATCTCACGCACCGGCTGCCGCAGGCGGCGCACTGTGCAAAGCGAGACTGTGGTTTTCGGAGTCATGCAGAAGGCCGGACGTCCGGAGCACGCTCGGGGAGCGAAGGATGCCGGACCGAGGACATGCTGCAATGTGGTCCCGCTGAGGGTCATGTAGTTGCCGGCAGCGGCATCGCGCAGCGTTGAGGGGCAGTGTGGAGCAGCAGCTGTCAGGACGGCGTTCCACGAGGTTTTCCCGGGGTAGTGCCGGCCACGGAGACCCAGGGCGTGCTCGCCACGGCCTGTTGCACCGAGACGGAAAGCATCGCCGACCACCTGCGCGCCCAGGCCAACGACGCGGCGATCGTCATCATCATCATCATCATCATCATCATCATCATCATCATCATCATCATCATCATCATCATCATCATCATCATCGTGTATGTCATGCGACATCGGAGATCTGGAGCGCGCCGCGGGCGCAACAGGAGAGCAACAGCCATGCTATTTGGGAGTCATGGAGCGCGGGGAGGTTGTCGAGGCGGCCGCCCTGCGGGCAAGGGCAGCACACAGGTGGGCTTCGACGAACTACAGAGTGCCAAAAGGAACACCAAGGGCAACAACACCACGCTGTGCTAGGGGGGTTTCTTGGCCACCAACCCAAAATCGGGAGTTGATAAGCCACTAGGTGTGCGCTGGGACTGCTTCGCCTGGGACGTTGGTAAAAAGTTCGGAACGTGCTTCTCAAGGCCCAATTGTCGCACCAAACCCTTCGTCTCCATCAAATATTGGATCACAGCAGATTCGGAACGATCCGTGACATCCTCATGCAACGGTAGAACCGTGAGAGCACGCGAAGAGCGCGGCCCGGCGTGTGATAGCCGCAGCGCTTGCGAGGCAGGTGATAGGCTCGAAAAAACCATTTCTACGCGCATTCGTCACAGGCGTGGGCAGCACGTCGCTGCCATCCACGGAGGTGACATGATTCATCGCGTCTGGGGGCTTCGACAGGAGGCCGCACGGCCTGCTCCCAGCCAGGCACTGTGTAGCCTTGGGCGCCGAAGTATCCCGCTGCGTTTTTGCAGCCGCGGGGCAGGCTGTCAGCAAGCGGCCCCTTCAGACAGTTTACTGATGCATCGGTTGAGAACAAATGGTGTAGCGAAGCAGTGGGACCATCATGCTGATATGGATATGACAATCTATGTGGGGATCGACTAAAGGGGTAAGCTTCTTGGTCTCGATTAGCCGCATGATTAGCCTGTTGATGACTAATTGGGTTTGGAATTTTTTGGGGCACTCGCTTCCATCTTCTGGACAACAAGCCTGAGCATTGTTTTACATACAGCCTCTTTGGCACCCTCACGAGAACGCGTCCTGTTGTCGGCAACGACGGGCGCTCTGTCAGAAGCTGGCCAACGGGCACGTCGGTCACAAGAATCGGCATCCGATCGCGCTCGCCCGGCCGGCCCGGGGCGCCAATTTGCAGCCCCGAATACGATTTGAGGCAACCGGCCTGTGGGGGAGGGTATGTGGGACGTTTGCGCTAGACACCTGGTGGAGCTTTTCCGTTGGTCAAGGTCCCCCTACACGCACGGGACTCAACAGGTGCTCAGGCCTATACAGGCCTTCGCACGTGATAAGCCATACACACTGTTAAGAACCGTGTGCCACCCTGATTGTTGATGGCCAGCTCGCACACAGTCGCACGCACGCAACCACACTGGAAAAGCAGCTGACACTTTGCGCCAGATCACTCGGACATCGCTGATTTTCGAAGTGCGGATGCTTTGCCAACTTGTCGTCGATTTGAGTGAGATGCTCACGCATCGAATCACGCATCGAAGCACTGGTAGACCTGAGAAGCATGCAGAATGGCTGCTTCGGTATGCAAAATGCTGGGACCGTACACCCCCACCTTGAAAAAGAGCGCAATCAGCCATAGCACGAAGCACGTAGTGGTGCAGAAGTACGCCTTCTTGTAGCAGGAATGAGCAGTCAACTACACCAAGAGAGCAGTCCTAGATGTGCAGACCTGAAAGTCCGTCTGCAAGGAGAAGGAGATGATCAGGGACAGTCCAGCGCTGAGAATCGCCCTCGCCACTCGCATCAGTGCACCCGCCATCTGCTCTGCTGACGCTGGCTGAGACCACCTGAGATCCGCTGAGACTCGCGCCCGATGACTACAAGTGCGATTGATGCACCCATCTCCTTGACATTCGGCTTCTGCACCTGAAGGGTTCAGGAGCCAAAGACCATGTAGCCTAAGTTGGCAGCGGCACAAGGCCCACACTGCGCCGACGTTGCCCATGTCGTCTTTCACCGGTTCCGGGCGATTGCGCTGCCAAGCAACATCAATGCAGCCAGAGGGATGCAACGCGCAAGATGCAAAGATTCAAAGGTCGAAGAAAATGACTCAGAATGGTGCAACCAGGTCCTGGTAAACGAGGCCCATGGCTGACGCCGCGGCCAGGCCAATGAAGTTGGTCGCCTGCGTGGGTACCTAAGCGTCTGAGACCGTCTGACGCACAACCTAAGTGCTGCATGCACAAACCCCAAGGACACCCAAGCACAGGGCGCAGAGGCCGAAAAGTGCGAATGCGCCCAAGAGGCCACTCGCCCTGGTCAGCTAGTGGCACTTCCAAGCTGGTAGTGGGCCAGGGGACGATTGCGTGTCCAGGAGTCCAAGCTCACAGCTCATGTCTTCACATGTCAAGTGCGCAACGACATGAAAGTGTCATTTTGTCTGAGTGCAGATCTCCTACATTTCGAAGACATGCTACTGGCCATGCAAGTGGTCAAGACATCCGGAATGGATGCGGAACCAAACACAGTGTCATTAGGACCAAGGCACTCGGGGCAGTAGACTCTGCAGAACTACTCTAAAAAAGACTTCGGACTTGCAAACCGGTTCAACGTTTGCAGCCTCACTCGGTGAGTCCTGATCAGGGTTCGACGCTTGTAGTTCTCCGCGGGCTTTGCCCTGATTCAGCAGATAATGGAGAAGATAACATGTTCATGTCTTCATCACATCCGCACCCAAGGAGTCTGTATCCGTGGCGTCTGGAATGTTTGGCTCTTGCCGATCGTGATCATTTGAATCGCCGACGACATCTTCTTCGGGGACGGCATCAGTGTGATCCTGCCTCTGCTCGTGAAAGCGTATGGTAATATCTTCCACAGAGTTTTCTTGTCGGCAGTACGTCACGTCGAGGTGCTGCGCATCACCCTTAGCAAGGCAATCACAGAGCCATGGTTTAGCGAAGGAGGCCACTTTGTCCCCCTTTTCTCTGCTCAATCTTGCCCGTTTGGCTGGATCTTCGAACAGGCTTGTGGGGAGCCGAGGAGGAGAGGCCGTGTAGTAGCCGGGGAAACCAAAGAAATGAATTGCAGGAACAGCCAAGAACGAAGCGTCTCCAAACAAATTCGAATTGTGCTCCATCTTCTGTGGAGTCACTAGCAACTTCCGCGCTCGACATCTCTTGAAGAGCCTGAGGGAATGTTCCACTGGGATGAGGCCATCCGCCTCGCCGTGGATGAAAAGAGTGGAGCAAGACACGTTGGCGATGATCTTGCTGTTCGGAAATCGCTCTGTGAACGTCCAAGCGACCATCTGACCGACAATGCTTCGCACGGCTGCCTTGATAGAAGAGAACGCAGAAACCAATATCAGCCCTCCCACCGGATACTGCGCAGCTAAGAATACGGCAGGCCCGCTTCCCAAAGAGCGGCCGAAGAGTATGATCTGGGAATATCTGACACCGATTTCGTCCACCAGGAATCGGAAGGCTGTCAGCGCCACTTCGTAGACCGCATCCTCACTGGGCTCCATCTGGTGCAGAAGGCCGTAGCCAGGATATTCTACAGCCAGTACATTCACCTTAAACTGGTCGCGGACGTGCCGGAGGACCGCGAAAGACATACCGAGGTCCTCGGCATTTGCATGAAAGAAGAGGATGACGCTTGCAGCTTTTGGCGCCGGGAACCAGAGGCAAGGAATGCCCGAGAAAACATCTCCCGCCCTCTTTGGGGAGATGACTTTGTTCCATGGTATCCAACAAAGGTTTCGCTTGTAGGACTGCGGACCATACGAAGGCCGAGGCGCCGGGAAAATGAACCGGTTCTCTAGGTTTCCTAACATTTCCTAACATGCCCGAGGGGACGGGCCAACATCCACTTTGAGATGAGCGTGAGCTGCGGCGGCAAAATGTTCCCAAAGCAAGCTGAAGTGGCTCTTTTGGAGTGACCCCTACATCGCAACTACCAGTACTAGTACCTGCCCTAGGCATGGGCGAGGCGCGCACCATCGGAAATGTTTGGTAGTCGGCGGCTCGATCATCTGCCGCACGCCAGGCGGCACGTAGCCAGCCACATACTTGTGGAAGAGCCTGGTGAGACCCTCTAAGCTATTTAACTACATTTTTTGTGAAAAAAAAAATATATATATATATATATAACCCATGTTTATCGGAATATGTAACATGTATATATATATATATATCACATCGGGAAACTCTCAGAGCCAACTGCATGGCTCCTGCGCGGAGAATCTCCAAGCTCTCGGAGACGATTTGCAGCCTGCTTGGCCCGCAGGGCTTCCTCCTTCCTCGGCACAAAGCAAAAGGGAAATCCAACAAGGCTTGAACTACTTCCAGGCCTGAACAGAGAAATCACCAGGTTCCACGCTCTGACAGAATCCTTGTCATTATCCAAAGGTTCGCAGCTTCGACACGCTGCAGGGACGCCTCTGAAACAGAACGATCGCTTGCCGCTCGTCGTTGCACACAAACACACCGAGAGACCCTACGCATCTGTGACTGGATGCGGCGGCCTCATCTTTGGAGTACTTCTTCCGTAATCGTGAGGCTGCCTTTGAGACCTGCTTCAAGCTGAGTTCGCTCCAAGGCTTCCGGAGCCGATTCCGAAGAAGGGGAAGTCGGTACTTCAAACCGCGTACTGGGTGAGTATAGAGCTACAGGGTACGATTTGGGTGCAAAGAACGGGGAAGATGACCGCGAGACGTTCACCAGACCTGAGCCTTCGTGGCATCCTGGGAGAGACCCAGCGTTCGATACCTGTCAGAGAAGCGTCTCTCAAGCCGACCCTTTTGCTGTTGCTGCTAAGAGAACGCCGCACTTTGCCGAGGCCAGAGCATGCGCTGCCATTCTCGGGGACTGAGCCGTTCAGCCGACCAACTGCAAGAAGCACGGAAGATGTGTTTAGGCTGCTGCACCGGTGCACAAAACCTGTGGGGCACTGCGAAAGAAATGTGTGGGGCAGGCTATGACAGGCTGCCTGCTGCTGGGCGTCGACCAGCTGAGGGTCGAAGCAGCGGCTAAAGGAGTGGACAGCTGTGGCTGGACCTGAAATCAAACAAATGAGACAAAAGAAGCTCGGGAGAGCTTGGAACAGAGTGCTTGGGATCCAGGTCCAGGCTTGTCGTTGGCCACAAAACCGCGCAGCTGTTCTGCCCTGTATGGCAAGGCACAGATACTGGGGCACAGGCACTCAAGCAGGCTGCACAGTGGTTGGAAAACCCGGTGGTTGCAGTTTGCAATGGCTTGCAACAGTGAATTCGGTTTGTGCATGTTGGTTCTCTTCCGGTGCCTGGGAAGGCAAGCTTGGCGACAGGAACGCTAGCACCGTCAAGCTGGCAGCACCTCGACGGTAAGTAACAACAGCAACAGTCACAAAACGATCTCTCAATTTGATCTCGTCAGCTGTAAGCCGAGCACTTAAAAGGCTCGAAGCTGCCAATAATCTGAAGTGCAACCTGCGTGTCACCTGCACAGCAACAATTCAGCAAGCCTTAAATTAAAGACTCCAAACACTTCGCTACCCTACCCACAAACGGCAAGAACACAGGCCACGAGGCACAAGCTGAGATTCGCACATGTCCCCGTTTGCGACTGCGTGCCAAGTCGCACGCACTCCCCAAAGCCTCCCAAATCAGACACATCTCCTGGCGAAGCTAAAGCAGCTAAGACCAGGTCAACAAAAACAAGGTGTTAAGGAGCGGACCAGGGATGACACCAATTCCGTCATCTTGCTACGCACTTAGGCCCCAAGCTTCGAGCCCAACCACGAGTCCAGAATCGGCAATTTGAGCTCACTACGCTCATTGTCCTGCTGATGGGGGGCCAGGCGTGATCACAACAAGTTGATGAAGACGTGATCGACAACGTTGGTTCGGTGATTGTCGGCACTAGCTGACTTCCGACTCTCAGGAAGCACAACAGCGGCAGAGAGAAAGAGGAAAACAAAAACACACCAAAAGATTAGGAAAGAAAAATTGAAAAAGAGAGCGAGAGAGAGAGAGAGAGAGAGAGAGAGAGCGGAGACTTGTGTGACAAATATCTGTTTCCGGTCCACAAATACAGCACTTGAAGAGTTTACGGCTCTATGGGGAGGAACCCTTCTCTCGAAACAGTTGGAAAGCCCTTGTCGTCGAAACAGTTTTGGAGAAAGCCCCGAATTACATCCCGCATGGCACGAAGCAACTCTACTTCACCCGGGGGCAGGCAGGCAGCAGACAATGTGTCGGAGATCTGTTCTTACATTGAATCATTAAAACGCATTTTGTTCGTGCAGGACTGACAGGGACTGCAGGCCTCGAAAACGCAAGTGCACGTCCTACAACACCTAAACCGTTGCGCAACGCTGCTTTGGCGCGGCGCAGACTCAGCTTCCTCGCAAGTTCGTTGCGGCTGCAGTGCCTCGAGTTGAAGCTGACATATCCTGACATGATCCCGACATCCGACAAGATGGGGGGAACATCTGTCACTCTTGTGTCGGGGCATGTCAAGGCCGGCACCCAAAGTTCCAGCAGCCCCGGCATGCGCCAACTGTGCATTCAGGGTCTCAACAGCACCTCTCAGCTGCCACTCAGCTGCCAAAAGAAGCACGCCGCGAGAAACCCTGCCGCGACGCGCCATATGCGTTGCGTTGAATCAGACAACTGCAGTTCGGTTTGGGCCCCGGCTTCCAGCATCTGCAGTCTGAACGGAGCACGAGGCAGAGATGGCATACAACACCACAAGGTGAGCCTAAGGCGGCGCACGTAAAGTAAGCAAAAGGCGAAACTCAAGACCCTGCGCTTTCGTCTACCCTGATGCAATCTGCTCCGCCTAAATGATGCTGCTGGCCTCTGCTGCTGACATGCTCCAGCCCTTGGCTGAAGTTGCAAGCCCAGGCACGTAAAAGACCCAAAGCCACGCCTCACTCTTCAGCAAGCGCTCCTGCCGCAGCGTGTTCGGAAGGGCACAACGTTGGGTGGCACAACTGTGGCACCACATGCACCACATGCGCAACACAGCGAGAAACAATCGCGCTGTTAGGCTCCGTAAAGCCCCGAAGTCCGCTCAAAGATAAGCGATGCAATGCCACAGCCACTGCTGCGACATGAGGACCTGGCGCCGGTGGCTTCTTCCCACCCGGTGTTCGATGTGTTTATGTACGCACTGAGCTTTGCCAGCAAAGGTTGGGGGGCTGGCAGGATTTCGGGTTTAGCCCGCGGGTGCCACACTTCAGAAGCATTCTTGAAGCTTTCTTCGGCTTCTGAGTGTGAGGCTTACGGCCTGAAGCTTACATTCGAGCTCTCCACGCAAGGTGGAACCTTTTGTGTTAAGTTCAAGACCCTTAATGCCCTCAATCCAGAACCCGATTTCATCTCGTCATGTGACAACCTCGGATTCTCTTTCGACTCGTTCTCGCCTGGCTGCTTTCGAGTGAGTGAGAAACTTGGGAATGAAATCACATGGAACACGCCTGCCGTACACTCGTCAAATGAACTTACAGAGCTTCAAAACTCGGGGCCCACTAGTCCCTCAGATGCTGAGTCTCACTTGTTCTGTAAACCTGAAACCCTACGCACTAAGGTTTGTGTTTCTTCGGCAGGAAAGCTAGGTCACCGACGCGAGACGCGGCTGCTAATTACAATTTGTGGCTCTGCGCTGGCGAACTGCAGAGCTGTATCAAGGCCAGCCGCCAACAGCCCCAGAGCCAAGACATGGCAAGGTGCGTAGTTCTGGATGTGTGAAGCAGCGTACACAGCCGTGAACCAGCACCACGGTTTGTATGCCATTGGTGTTGCTGTCACACGCTTCACGTACAGCCAGAATCCAACGCTTGTCTGCCGGAAGCAGTGCCTCATGGCACACGCCTATGGAATTGCGTACCTGTAAGCGGCGCTGCTCAGCTTTGGCCAGACATGCTGATACCAGTGCAGATGTGGCGGCAGCAGCAGCAGCAACAGCAGCAACAGCAGCAGCAGCAGCAGCAGCAGCAGCAGCAGCAGCAGCAGCAGCAGCGAGATCAAAATGGCGCATCAGATCAAACTGATCTAGCATTCGAACCCCCAGAATCTTGGAAAGGAAAAGCAAACATAAGATAGGTCTAACAAGCCGCCCCTCAACCCAACAGAGAGTAAGAATGTCCAAGCCCTGGCAGAGGGGGCGGGGGGGAGGGGGGACGTGGGGGCGGGGGGGGGGTAAATCACCACAAGAAAGGCCTCATTCATAAACCAAATTCCCTCCAAGCTCAGTATCTCCGAACCCCCCGCCTGTCAAAGCAGCTAACCGCAGCTCCCAGCTCGGTCTCATGTTGACGCCAGTCAAGGCATCTTGTGAGCGCAGCCGCCTCGGCCCCGTCTTGGCGCTGCTTGCACTCGAGCGCCACTCGTCTCGACACAGCACTCGCGGTTCCGAGCCTCTGCAACGTGGCGCACCTGCGAAACGCCCGGCACAGAGCATCAAAACGTTAAAACAACCTCAGCGCCGGCATCGCATCCGGCAACAGCCGAGAGCCTGCTCTCCAAGAGGTTGATCCTCTTCTGCATCTCCAGCACCTCTGAGGGAAAAGAGGTCGCTTAAAGCACCCTCGGACCACTTCGGCAGCTGGCCTGAGACCCATCCCAGAGATCCCCAATCGCGGGAGCCGGCATCTCCGGCGTCGCGCCGACCTTCCAAGAATCTGAAAAGAAGTTCCGGAAAAAACGCTTCTCCTGTCGCTATCTGCAATGCAGAAGGGATCCCGATCCAACCTCGATGCCGTCGGGCTCGGGATTCAGACTGTCAGGCTCCGGGCCTCATCTCAGGACGCGACCACGCTGCTTGTGCTTGCACCAAGGAGCTAAGATGATGCAAGATGAGCTAAGGGTCATGTGAACAAGGGCTATGTGCTCAATCATCCGCAAACACCTCATACCCAGGATGTCTAGAGTATAGAACTGTATCTGCTTAGCCTGCAAAGCAGCGAGGCACGTTCAGTACACAAAACAACAAATCTTTGAGAAATGCATCCATTCCCCACATCATCCAACATCCCCCACCCCCATTGCAAACATGCTGAGTGGCACACGATGCACGGAACGGAGCGCTTCAGCTTCATGCCTGTGTGGCTCTTGGGCGAGCCAAGGCCGGCATCATGCATGCGACAATGTGCGACCATCGCCCCGTGTACTGCCTTGCCTCGCAGCCGCTGCTTCCACAGCAGCAGCTTCGGCATTAACCTACATGCAAGCAAACGTTCTTCCAAACGTATAAGGGGCAGCCTTGAGCGCATGTTCGGAAAGCATATGAGCGCGTGCCAAATGTCAATTCTAAGCCCACAGCTTTGGCTTCCAGCAGGGCCTCTTTGGACCTTCCAAGATGCCAATACTATTACAGTGGCCCGGGGCTTAACTCACCCATACCATACCTTCCCACCTCTGCAGCTCGGTTTGTGCTTCTTGCCGATCTTTCTCGGCCTTCCCAGATTTTTTTGAAAGCACAATCAGCGGCGGGTCTGCAGGCTGAAGTTCCCTCAGAGGTTTGCCTTCAGCTCCTGCTCTTCCAGCCGGTGTTGGAGCTCCTTGCGACGAGCAACACTTACAAAGCCGATGTTTGTTTCTGAGGTGCTCCGAAACTTCCTCCATGTCGAAGTAAATAAGCGAACAGGTGCATGAACAACAAGCACCGAGCTCACGAACAACGACACAAGAACCAACGGGCGACGCAAGACTCTGACAACATCTTCGCCTACATTTTTGTTGGGATGCCAGTGTGGAGAGGAGAGGAGGCAGATGCTGTCTCGTACAGAGAAGCAACTCGTGGAGTCCTCAAGCTCATGCCGGTGCTGGCCATTTCGCCTCTCTTGCTCCTGGCAGCTTACTGGCAGGCACGAATTCTGCGATTTTCTTGACTAAACTCCGAGATGTGTTGACGATCCTCCCGGTAGAGGTCCAGCTCAGCCTCATGGGCGGCCCGGAAACCTGCAAAAGGCACAGAGAGCTCACAGCAACACAGATCCTTTGTAAAGAGGCCGGAAAAAAGCAGAATGCGGGGAATGCGAAGAATGCCAAAGGCCTTGGAGCTCCTGCAGGGCACGATAGGGCACACGGCTGCTCTGAGGGCCAGCGGTCAATTCGGGTGTCCGATCCTATGGTGTGCTCTGGTGTCCTGCTCGTCATCTCCATCTCGGGTTTCGGCGGATTCGGAAGAAAACTCTTGTCAAACTGTTTGGGAGGGTCTTTCCACTCCCCAATAATCTTGTCCTACCCGAGTAAGGGGGGATTCGTGGACAGAGTGCAGATTCGCTCCACCCACAGCTCACCACTATACGATCACACATGAACCACAATTCTTGTACAATCTTGCAACTTCATGCAGCATCCTTCTCCAAAGGCTCAATCTGCAGCTTACGGCTTTCGGCGCATGCCTCGACATCTGGAAGAGCGCACACTGCAGACACACATGCTGGCGCTTGCGAACAGATGGCAGTCTCATGGCATTGGGGACCCTATTCAAGCCAAGGTTCTGTGACATCTGCCAGCTGCAGCATCAATGACTTCACCTCCTGAGCAACGGAGTGAAAATCTCCAGAACTAAGCTTTGGAGGCCCTTCAGATGTGAGGCCGTCCAAAACCAGCCTGCGCTTGCTGCTGGCACTTCTGCTCTGCAGCTGCTGTTTCGGCTTGCGCTGCCTGCAAACCATGGAAATGCGTGAGCATGCTACCATTGAAGTAGTCGACACGCTCCCCCTCTGTCTTCGTTCGTCAGGGCCTGCACAGCAGCTTGGCTCGCTTCTTGCGTGGCTGCCAGCGCCTCGCATAAAAAAACGTGTAGCAACGAATAGCAAAGAGAACGAGAACGGAACACAACGTGGAAAGTGCGAAGTTCGGGCGAAGCCGCCACGAACTCCTGACATGCTCTGCATGCGGGGCTGCGAGGCTCCTGGCGCAGCTTCAGCATCTCTTCATCAGTTCGGCTTGCCGAACTGGCATTGACAGCGCTCACCAGCTCCTTCAAACACGTCTCGGCCCCACCAGCCCTAGCATAGCACCCCCCCCAGGCCCTGAGAGCCCTAAGAGTCCTTGTTCTGTGTCCGTAGTGTCTGCACCTGCTCCTCCAAGCAAGACATCATCAAGACAGTTGCAAGAAGGACATTTGCAGCTTTGCGTCCTCCATCTCAGAAAGCCGACGGAGGTTTGGAGCTGACTCCTTCTTCAAGGACTCCACTTGTGCGACTAATTGGCCACAGGTCTCCTGGCTGTCCTTCAACAGTACACGCAGTCTTGTGGCACCAATGGTCGCCATGCGAGCGAGCAAAGATGAGTCATTCCCATTCGAAAGTGGATCTGACCTGTCCTTGAGCTCAGCTGCAAGTTTTTTCCGCTCCTCCTGTATGCGCTGAAGCTCTGCCTGCAATGCTTTGCACCACATGGATCATGGACCGTTGGGTGTTACCACAGGACAAAGAGCTGCCTGCAGAACCTGCACGGCGCCAGCTTTGGGCACCTACCCAACAACAGGAAAACATGACAGGCCTATGGAAACGTAGCCAGTGCCTCTTCAGAACGCTCTGGCAGATCTGCACCACATGGGCCGTTTGTCTCCTGACCAAAGACGTCCATGAATTTTTGCAGGGCGCAATGTAACGAAGACCTAAGCCTCATGGCCGAAAACAAATCTACACAACGGAACTGCCACAGCTGTGCATGGTCCCCTCACCGTCCTCGTCATCTTGCTCTGGCAGCTCGAAGGTGAGGATGGCTGGTCGAGGCATCTCCTTGCCAGTGCCACATGCTAGAAAGGCACACATGAAAGGCCACCACAGCGCCCCTGAGAGTTTGCACGAAACGGTCCTTCAGCCATTTTGCTATCACTTTCCGAGCACGCTGTTCTTCAAAGTCTGTCTCGTATCGAGGAACCTGCTCCCGAGACACTTTTGCTTCTTTGGCACGTCGAATCTGACATCAACCCTGACAACAGTGACAGCAATCCTCGTAGCCATCAATCTTGACCAGGCGGTCGCCGATCTCCACTCCAAGACGCTCAGCCTGATGCATGGCAAACAAATGTAAACAATGAAGAAGCCAAGCCATACTCTTCCGCATAGCAGGGCCGATCCAGGTCGCCACAGCGTGGGGTTTATTGCAAGGAGCAAGTTGCGGACCTGCGTGCTCGGCTGAACCGCGACCACGAGGCTGCCCTCCAAAGTGAAGCCCAACGGGCCATCCCGGAACTCCAAGTCCTGGACAAGGAATCCTACAGAGTCATAAGAGACTAACCCAAAGTGTCCTAAGATCCCTGAGGTCCTTGAGATCCTCCGACGCTCTCGCCGCGTCGAAGGCCTTCGTCAACTCGGAACTCCATGGAAGCAAATCGCACCAGTTTCATGCGTGGATTCGTGCTCCCATAGCGCAGAAAACACAAGGCAACTTCAAGAAGCGAAAACGCACAACAGCAGCACAGGAAGTGCCACGGTTTCATTGTTAGCTCTTTGAGTCCGCCACCACCAGCTTGGATGCAGACTGCTGCACGGCGGACACGTGGTCTTGAGCAGCCTGGCCACAAGGGGAGAAAAGGGGAGAAACCAAGACCAAGCATCACGCATCTGCTCAGATTTCATGGGCCTGCGCCAGCTGATCCGCCTTTGATTTCAGCCATGTCTCCATGGCATGGTGAGCACCCCGATGTGCCCTGATGTGTAGTGCAACTTCACATGAACCTCTTCTGGGTCTTGAACTGTGGCGTCAACGTGGTCGGTACTGCTCATGTCAAGTTTTATGGCATAAATCATACGTCCGATTGCTGGTGTGGCGTGCGCCTTCTCGTGTAGGCTCCAGAGCCAGCACAGCTGGGCAATCGAGCTTCAGACTGAAAAGACATGGCTAAGCACGTGAGCCGGCCAACCTCAAGAACTGGCTTCTGGCGACGACGATCTCAAGGCTTTCGTTGCGGTGCTTCTTTCCGCTCCAGAATGCTCCAGATGTAAAGGCCGCAAGTCCACGCAAACAAGATGCCGGCAGCAGTAATCAAGCTGCTCAAAGTCGGATAAGGTAGGCGTCTGAGTTCACCTGCTCTGCTGGTTTTAGGCAGCACTTGCTCCAGCTTTCATGCTGCTCTTGCTCCAGCATGCCAAGTGTGTGCGCCACACACCGCGCATCGAAGGTGGGGCAACGCACTCTTTGTCCCCACTGAAAACGGCCCAAGCACACACCCATCACTCCCTCTTTCCCGTCTTTCCCGGAAACCTGACATCTGATGGGACTTACCATCCCAAGCCACAGTAGGAAGCGCCAGGCCAGGGTGGAATGCCGGCAGATGGGTTCCACACACCCCACATCGTCCACCAAGAGGAAAGGCCGAGACTTCACGACCAAGGCCCTCAACAAAGGCATGAACGTCAGAACTTGCAGAACATCATGCGGGCCATCATAAAAAATCATGTCGCAAACTCCTCCCCCTTGTTGAAGCAGCAACGACCGAATGCTCAAATATGCATCTCCCCACTGAATATTCATGTTGTGATGTGGGAGCCAGGACCGGATCATCCTGAAAAGCTCCTCGTTCAACCCAGGGTTCAGAATGGACCAATCGAAGCCCAAATAGGAAGAATTCTCACCAGCTGCTAGAAGCAGTGTCAAAGCGGAATGACCAGCATTGAAACCAACTTCACAAATCTGTTGCGGAGAAATCCATGCTGCCGTCTCAAACAAGAACTTGGTCTGCTCGACACTTTCCCCTGAATGGCCAGACACCGCCCACTCGCCATCCGATCCTTCAAAAGAGCTTCGCCCTTCCTCAAAAGCCCTGCCATCCCGCCCTTTCTGGCAGTACATCCCAGAATCCAACCGGCAGGCCCAGTGCGCAAGGAATGAATTGAGCACTGCGTGCAGAGTTTCCAGAACCTTGCATGGCAGCAAAACATGAACTGATTCCGGGTGAGGCAAAAGAAATCTGGTGTTGCAAGTAAGCATCACGCTGCTTGCCGTCGCTCCAACTCACAACTTTCCACTGCCTGCACAATGTCAAGAAGACAAGAGCACCCTGCAAGACACGCGGCACAAGCAAACGCCGACCACGCTGTCATTCAACCCTGCGCCAAGCCATGGCAACCATGGCCACGGCGACATGATGAAATCAACAACACTGTGCCACTGAGTAGTGCTTACTTTGTAGGCATACAACAACAATTCAAATCCCATAGCGCACAAGGACAACGGTCTTTCCATCTCGTGGACATATCTTTCTGAAACGGAGACATTGGATGGCTGCCTAACGATTGAAAGCGGCATTGCTTGGCATAAAGCTTTAACTGAACTAGTTTCGTTCGGCTCAACCCATGTTTCAAGCATACTGGCTGCTCGTGGCCCGTGATTTGCCTTCAGTCTTTCAACTGCTGCCGGGGGCGCTACTTTTTGTTTGGGCGAAATGCCGGGCGATGACCATTGCAAACTTCCCATGGTCGAAAAAATTCGCCACACTAAACTGTACTAAATTGTGAGAGCATTTTGCCAGTAATCCGTCATTTGACGACTCCACATTCAGCTACTAACTGGAGTTGTCTTGCCACGAATGAAAGAGACCATGGGTGAGCAGATGTTTCAATGTCAAGTTGACGACAAGCTAGTCTCAGGTCCCGAAGCGCAATAAAATTAGTAGGTGAACTGGCACACAAGCTCAAGCGACAAACGAATTTAGTGATATTTGTGCCTCACTTTCGAAACACCATCACAAAAGCTTGCAATGTAAGCCATCAGAATATCAATTTTGCTGTCGGAATGAATAAGCTGGATGCAACGACATAAACAACTTCAAAACGGCGTGCTTGCAGTGGTCTATGTTACTACAATACGGTAAAAAAATACAAAACGGGTGACGTTTACAAACTGCCACGGAAACCAAAAAAACAAAAAACTAAAAACTAATATTTCAGGACTCTCCACCAAATCCAAACGGAAAATCCGAAAAGAAAACGAAAAAGAAAGCAAACAAAAAAAATTCAGGACTTCTCCAGCATTTCAAAGTGTCAAAGAGTCCCTGAAAGTTGTTTTTGATTTTTTTGGCTTTTTGGTTTTGCGTACGAACTGGAAAATCCTGAAATATTGTTTGTTTGGTTTTTTTGGTTCCCGTACGTAAGTTCGCGCGTTCCCGCAGTAGCAGTGCCGCCTTGCGCAAATGAAGGAATTACACATTGAACAATGACCCGAGAGACATTGAAAGCGAACATGAGACAAAAGCAAAAACATTGAAATGTGAATAGTAACAAATAATATAATCTTGAGGTACGACGAACCTCACAAAGAACAGGCGACACCTGAAATGGTACCAGAACAACCAAATTCAAGGGACTGTCCCAATAGAACTGTCTTTTAACATTGCTTAAATCGCTTAATTTTCTTAGTTTCTTCATTGGTGCAATTCCTAGAAACCTATTCTTCTGACACAACAATATAGACAGCATGAGTGCTCGTTTGATGGTTAAACTTCAGTACATGGGTCTTATATTTTGCATTGCATATTCTATCAGAACCAATGTATTCCATAATGTTCATATTTTCCTTGCTATAATAAAGTAAGCAAAAGGTAAAGGTGGGATGGGGGGGGTAATGAATGCTTTCAATCTAAACATGTTGTTGCCATCTTTTGGGAAATATGAGGCAATTTGAACACCAATCCTCCCACTACCCATGCCGACTCCTACATTACAAACGAAAAGAGTAAAACATCACAGATATTGAACTTGCGATATATATTGTGATCATGTAAACGTCTAGATTATTGACCTTCGGTGTCTTCTTCGGGTTTAAGTGTTGCTGCGAAAATGGTAATATATATATGTATGTATATGTATATGTATACGTATATGTATATGTATATGTATATTTATAGATATCGTGATTTTTTCTCTTGGTTATATTGTTTAAAGGCCAGAGCATTCTGAATATTACAAGTGTCACATTACGCTTTGTGTAAATGCACAGTTTGTGCGGAGATCTGCTGTTTTGGCAGCGTCTTCATTGTGCTACCAATGTCTATATGGCAGATATGTGTCGTTGTTTTACTTTAGTTTTCTGGTGCAGGCGTTTCAGGATGGGTTTTCGATGGCGAGCCGCATGTATATCCACAAATATATAAACATATAAATATATAAATATAAAAACATAAAAATATATAAATATATAAATATATAAATATATAAATATATAAATATATAAATATATAAATACATAAATATATAAATACATAAATATATAAATATATAAATATATAAATATATAAATATATAAATATACAAATATACAAATATATAAACATATAAATATATAAATATATATAATATATATATATATATAAATATATAAATATATAAATATAAAATATAATACTAAATAATATATATAAATATATAAATATATAAATATATAATATATAATAATATATATAATATTAAATATATAAATATATAAAATAATAAATATAATATAATAAATATATAATATATATATATAAATATATAAATATAAGTAATAATATATAATATAAAATATAATATATATATAAATATATATATAAATATATCATATAACAAATATACAATATACAATATAAATATAATATATAAATATATAAATATAAATCATATATAATATATATAATATAAATATAAATATAAAAATATAATATAAATAATATATAATATATAAATATATAAATATATATAATATATAAATATATAAATATATAAATATAATATATATATATAAATATATATAAATATATAATATATAAATAAAAATACATAAAATAAATAAATATATAATATATAGATATAAATATTATAAATATAATATAAAATATAAAATAATAAATATATAAATATATAAATATATAAATAATAAATGTAATATATAAATTTAAATATCTAAATATTAATTATATAAATATATAAATATATATATAAATATATAAATATATATAAATATATAAATATAAATATATAATATAAAATAAATAAATATATAAATATATAATATAAAATATAAATATGTAGATATGTAGATATCAGAAAAAAAATATAATAATCTAAATATCTAAATATCTAATATCTATTTAAATATGAATAATCAATATAAATATATAAATCATATAAATCATTTAAATCATTTAAATCATTTAAATCATATAGATATATCAATATATAAATATATAAATAATATAAATATATAAATATATATATAATATTTAATATAAATATATAAATATATTTGTATATACATACATAAATATATAAATATATGTAAACATATAGATATATAAATATATTCAGAAAATAGGAATTGAAATTTAAATATAAATATATGTATAAAATGTGTTTATTTTAATTATTTTTATATATGCACATCTAGACAAGGAGGAGGTTGTTACAAACACTTCGCTCTTGGATCTTTGCTGACATAATAAAAATATGTCTCAGCCCCCCCTTTAAAGGGTCTTCTCCCCCTCTTCGTTTCTCCTTAAGCCCCCCTTTGGCCCCCTTTGGCAAAGGTGATGTGCCCATCAAGCACCCAGGGTTCGAAACTGGAACTCCAGGTTAACCCAAGTTCGACATTGTTTTTATAACCCAGACCAGAGTTCGACATTGGAACTCCAGGTCACCCAGAGTTCGAAGAAGGCAACAGCCTTTGATTTTTCAAGAGGAATAACTTGCTGACAACTGTTGCTCATTGGTCAGCTGCTTCTTTTTGAACCTCTTTGTACAGTATTGAGGTTTTTAAAAAAAGTTGTTTGTTCTGTGTTTCTCATGCTCAGATTTTTAGCATGAACAGTGAATTTTTTTTGCAGTCTGCCTTGCAACTGCTTTCTGGGCTGTTTTGCATTGTTTTTGAAATAGAAGACAAATGATTGCAATTGAATTGCTTTTGTTAAGATCTTCCGTACGGTGTTGGACACCGTAGTTGCAACTGAGCGCGCAAGATTGATCTGACACTGCATAGAGTTGGTCAAGACCATTGATTCAAATCCCAGCAACACGAAGGTCAATATTGGCTGATTGTGAAAGCACACAAAAAATGTCACATGGAGAATTTTGCCTACATCTTTGACTGTTAGTCAGGCCAGCATGTTTGCTAAGAGCTTGAACAACAGGAAAGGAAATGAAAAAAGTTGTTCCAATTGCAAACGGCATAAAGGCCACATTTGTTAAGAAACATTTTTAAAATCCCAAAGCTTGTCCGAAATTCCGAGCAAATTCAGAACCGAATGTGCATGCAAAAACAAACGCTGAAACGGCTCCAGGCTGTGCGTTTCCAAGACTTTGCAGTTGCAAACGTCGCCTGCCATTGTTTTTGCAGAGCTTCCATGCGGCCCTCAAGTGGCTCATGCAAAGAGCAACAATCATGGAAGAAATGTTGAAGGCTGAAGTCCACTTGAACTTGCAGAGGCTTACAGGCCTCGAATCTGTTGACACATCTAGCACTGGTCCGTCTTGCATGGAGATTCTTTTTCTGTCCCTGGAGTTTCCTTTTTTCCGCCTTGGAAGTGGCACTGGAGAGAAACCATCCCATCTGCTTTCTGTCAGGCCAGATGTCTTGGCCTTCATTTGAAAGTGGTCCGCCATGCTTTCCACATGCTCCAGCAAATTCTTTGCTTTGTTTCCCAGGCAGAATGCCTTTAGGAATGGCACAGCCTTTTGGCAGAGTGCCACAGGCGTTCGAACAGGTGCATCCATTCGCTCGTGCTAAACTTCATCCTCCTTGCCTGTTAGAAAGAATGTTATCGCTTGAGAGTCAAGGGCTCTGGCTTTGTGGAAGGATTTCGATGGCAATACATCAAAATCCAAAAGCTGTTTAGACTTTGCTCAGTGCGCTGTAGCAGCATTTTGGTCATCTTTAAAAGCCGGGAGTCGGAAGGAACGCAGACGTCACTTCTTGAGTGGTGTCTAGTTTCGAAAAGCGCCAATCATTTACTTTATTGGCCTGGCCTGGTGTCTGAACCTTGCTGTTCGCTGCGCCGCGGATCTTTGCTTTGCTGCCCAGGAAAAAGCCCCCTCGAGCCTCGAAACCTTCTATGGAATCGTTATGCACCGTG